CACATCCTAATATCAGGATATCTTCATGCACCGAATATGTAGGTATTGCTTGTTCAATAAACTTCCGGTAAACCATTTATGTACATGTAGGTAGACTATAATATGACACCCTTTGTATTTTAAATGGTTTTTTTTAAAAAAAAACAAAACAACCCTGCTATATAGTGTTATGTATGACTCAAAAAGTTATAAGCATCTTAATGAGAAGTTGACGTATTATAACGGGAAGTTTTGTAGATGGTTGTTTTTTAAGGATATGAATAATACAATGCGTCACTTAATAAATGCTAGTATATTTCTTATTTTTTTCATTTTTGTAATTCTGTATTTAAAACGTCCACCCATTTCGGTAAAAATTTAGGCTAACAATTCATACCAAAGCCTGGCTTTGATTTCCAAACTATGTAATACATGTAAGGGCTGATAATTTCGCTGATGAAAATAGTAGGCTACCTGGTGACTATTGATACCGACTGGATTGGGTTAAATTATTTCAATGACATTTGGTAATTGAACTGAAAATACACAAGACACGGTCTAGTGGAATACAATTCCTGTGTATTACTGAAAGACGTTTCGACTATTATATAAATGGGCTATTAATAATATACATGTTAGATTGATCTTTTCGAAATTTAATGGTTTACCAAACAGCCCTACATGCAAATATCCACGCCAATTTATGTTTTGGTGGAATGTCTTGCTTTTGGTGCATGCAAAACATTACGTGTAAACTATACATCTACTCTATGTCAACTTGTTGGTATGACAAGGACAGCTGTCTAGTCTTTCGGATGAGACGAACAACCGAGGTCCCGTGTAAACATTGGAATGCACGTAAAAGATCCCTTGGCAGTTGGAATTCGATATAAGAGTAGGCGATAGTGCTGCTACCCAGGCAAAATTTCACTCATAGCACACTGTATGGCGTATGCCCGTCTTTATTAGCCCAGTTTAGGAGCAGAACAGTAGGACGTTAAACCCCATTTCATTTTTTGGGGGTATTTTACATTCAGTAAATATTTTATTATATCCCAGGTAAGAGACGGAACTGCCTGTAGATATTTCGTGGGAAATTATGTTGCCTCTTACATGTGTATATTTCAGTGTGAATTTTAAATTTACCTTGTGCCTACAGGTACGTATTAATCACATGTTTTACACCCAGGACAAGCGACATAAATTACTCATTTAATAAAAAGGTTTGTCAAAAACGTTTACTAAGTGGTAGGCTATAAATCATATTTGATACGGCAATTTTCATTATGTATGAATGACGACGGCATTACGATAAATGTAAATGCACGTAAAGTAAAACGCAGAATAGTCATGCGGTAAGAAAAAAACCGTATTATAATGGATAAAGCCCACTGAAAATATCTGGTTGAACTTTATATAAAGGGTTTGGAGTGCGAATAATTACCCAAATTTATATTAATCTATTGGTTTAGTCTTTATCTTTACATATTGGGTAGAGGTTTTTGTACGATCGTGTATTTGTAGGGCCTCGTCGTCCAGTGGGGTTCATAATTTAAGAGTGGAACTGAAATATACCGGTATGTAATAGTGAAGGGCAGTTGATTTTCGTGTTGACTCATGTAAACAGAGAGATAGAGAGAAATGGGGTTTAACGCCCACTCGACACAAACTAGGTCATTTCGAGACTAACATATGATTTAATTTTATTTCAATAATTCGCTTATGCGTAGGGGTCTTTAGCTGTGGGAGGAAACCGGAGGACCCGGGGAAAAAACCCACGAGGTTGGACAGGCGACCCAACTCCTTGCCACGTACATGTACAACTGGGGGAGTCGAACTCTTGTAAACAAAATAAAAGTAAAACAAATTCAGTTTAGAATACATGGTAAATATTTTGTCTCAAAAGATATTCATGTATACACATTGTACACTGGTATTTTATTGTAGATGGCCTGTAGAATATATAATCAGGTTCTTTGACATAAAAAAGTAAGATGAATCTCATCGATGTAGCGCAAAGGGTGGCCACGGTAAACACAACTATAGGTTTAATACTGTGATGTGTATACGTTGTAGAATTCTTCCAACCGTGACTAGATGGAAAAAAACTGCGAAATAACTTAAGAACTCTACAATACACGTATAATCAATCGGCATTTTTCTTCGATGAGGCGTCATTTTTTTTACAATCTGGGTCATTCGTTACAGCTACGTAGGTTCTTACTTGGAGTATTCACGCTAAAGCGGGCACTTCGGCAATGGTTTCACCTACATTTACATGTACACGTTTCAACGAAGACATCCCATCATATTATAAAAAAAATCGAAAATCTTCTTTCCGACCCGTATCAAAGAGATATATTTGTTTTAAAAGAAACAAGAGCGGGTATCATATATTTCGAGAAGTGACGTTTGTTTTATAACTGTTCGACTTGTATAACTGTATCTGTTCCATAGATCTGGTTTTATAGCTTTAAGTGGTGAATGTTGTGAAATACTTCCTCTTTCTGTTCCTCTTTCTGTAACAGCCAGAACCACTTCTTATTTATTTACAAGTCTCACACGCCCAACTACATGTAATTGTTTTATTATTTGTTTTAAATAAAACGAAACGAAAGGTGATTCACAAAGCCTTTTTTAGTAAGAAAAGATTTAGGACGAGATGGGTAAACAAATAATCCAATACATGAACGTCGAGTCAGAACAAGTCTGTGACGATATGACAAAAGTTTGTGTGTAAAGGTGAAACTGTTTATATAGGTACATGTTAAAATAGATAAAACAAAGATAACACTGTTACTAACATAACGACATTTATTTCTTCTGCTTATATGTCCTCATTTTTTTTCTCCTTTTTTACTTTTGAATTAGAAATAGTTGCAACTGTATGTTATACAGTGTGTATTACGTATAATTCCGGACAAATATTCATGTAAAGATACGGCATTTGTTGATATTAATTGATGTTTGGGGTTTGTCCCTTGGATGCAGTATCTTGTCCAGAAGTTATTTATTTATATTCTCCATCATGCTGCATGTAATAAATATACATGTACACATGTATGTATGTAACACGATATAAAATAAACAGTCTTTATTTGGTATCCTATATTTAACGGATCCGGTATTACGTTATTATTATTTTTTAAAACCTAGTATTAGTTATCATGCTGCAAGTAATAAATATTACGTTGATAACACGATATAAAATAAACAGTCTTTATTTGGTATCCTACATTTAACGTATCCAGTATTACGTTATTATTATTTTTAATAACCCAGTATTGGTTATCATTATATCTAATAACCTGGGCCCTGTTTCTCGAAATCTTAACTAGAGTTAAAATCCAAATTTTAGTAGATACTTCAATTATGATTGGCTAAGCACTAAAATCCAATCTAACATTATCCAATCAAATTACTAAAATTCGGATTTTATATTAGTTTAAATTTCGTGAAGCAGGCCCCTGGTGTTACGTTTTAATTGTATTTGATTGTTATGTTTGTTGCATATTCTGTAGATATTTGCCTACTATTCACATAGCTGTATCATTTGCTTGATAAAGACGAGAGTATCCTCGTTGAAACGTCACTTAGTATTAAACTCAGTAATTGGGTATCCATAAAATTGTACTTCGTGTTAACCTGGTTCCTGGTAGAAGTCATCAAAATGTGCATCCAATATTTACTTTTTTGACAGTACATGTGTGAAATAAAGTATTAAAAATGACTCCGAGTTTAGGCTGAACCATATAAGTAAACCTTATTGAAGAAATCTCCAGTTAAACATCTTTAGCATAGAATTTTTTTTCCCTCGGGTTTCACTTTCACCTTTTCTAACATAACCTCTGAATCGTGCTATATGTACTGATAGTATTAAACTTTACTACATGTATATAGGTACGTGTACTTCAATGGACGTTGTAATACATGATGGCTATACGATGAAAATATTATTTTGTAAGTTGTTGGGATATATATTGTTCGATAATATACATGTACATGTACGTGTACTAATATAATACTATTACCAGGATAATTACAGGTAAAATTACAGGTAGTACATCCTGCAAATTACATCCTTATTATCTACATTATACACCTATGATGCAATAAGTAAACATATAAAACATGGATATCTGTATATATTTATATTATTGCACTTTCAATATTATAATGTCCGTGTGTGTGTTTGGGGGGAGGGGGGCATAGTAAATGCAACATTACATGTACATGTAGATAAAATAGTACATAAACTATACTTAAATTATACTAAAAAAAATGAAAGAATGTTTTACTTACCACTTGAAGTAAAAGAAACATCTTGATGATGAGAACCTGGTATCCACACAATCACCAACAGCAAACCACACAACAATGTCTGAATATTCCATCTTATAATGTCTGTCTTTGAAGCCATGTTTTTCATATATTTCAGTCTCGACATCTTTTTAAACGCATCATTGAACAAAACAAGTCCAGTTCACACACTCAGTCCTACATTCCAATGTCACCGTTTACAAATTTACTTTCACTAAAACCTAATTAAACCCCTTAATCACAAGTAAAACAATCGCTAATTAACCACTTACACTGTTTACCTACCATCAACAAACCCCCTTAAACCCAATTTGTATAACACCTATATACCTATTGTTTTACCTGAAAAAGACAAAGAGATTTCTATTACAACATATAACGTTTATGGTTATTGGCGATCGGGATATAACGCACACTTAAGAAGGCCCTTGTATATTACATAGCCAATATTGACCAACGAAATTTGATTATATCACTGATGTTAATACAAATACCTGGCCACAAATACGATCTTCGATAGCCCAATACACTTATCACGTCCTACAGAAGTAAATCTTCAAACGCTTTTCATAAACAAATTTATATAACGTTCGAGGTGACCTAGATTCTCGCTTATGTCAACTAAAAACATTTCCTAATAATAAATGATTGATTTGATCGTTGTTGTAAAAAATGTCGGATGAAATTATAAAGAAAATTACCTGTTTATTCGAATTGAACATTCTTCCCCTACATTACACCTATATACCATAATCCTGTGCGCGCGATAAGAAGACGATAACTGTATCTCCATTTACGTTCCATTCTGACCCTTGACGCGCCCGACCTGTCATCGTGAATAACATATTGTACAGCGACATCTGACGGACAGGTAAACACATTTTTTATTTAAGGGACATAACTCTGTATTGAAGTTGACACAAGTTTCTTTGCAAAGGAATCAACTAATTGTAAAAGAAAACATAATGTAGGCCTATTGCAATTTATATTCTTTAATTATGCCAGTATAATCTTGTTTTAGATTTAATAAATCGGCAAAAACAGGATAGGTGCTTTATTATATGATTTTTGAAAGATGATATGCACCGTGCAGATTGTTTACCAGGGCAATGTTGTCATTCCATAACCGATGAAGTTAGTAGTTGTTTTTAACTAAAGCAAGTTGCATCGCTGACGTCCCATCGACAATAAGACCATCCTTATAAAATGTACTATGTGAAAACATCGTAGGTTATTGAGTATTTGCTAAAGTTTAGAAGAGAGAGAGAAATGGGGTTTAACTTCCACTCAACACAAACTGGGTCATTTCGGGACTAACACATGGTTCAATTTTACTTCAACAATTCGCTGACGCGTAGGGGTCTTTAGCAGTGGGAAGAAACCGGAGGACCCAGAGAAAACCCACGAGGTTGGACAGGCGACCCTACTCCTTGTCACGTACAATCGGGGAATCGAAACCACGCCAGTTGATTCAATGACAGACCTAATGATACAGCGCGCACACGCAAAAAAATTCGGCCATCCAACCCCCCGCTAAAGTTTAGAAACACTCGACAAAAGTAATTTAGACTAGACCCAGTTCAACATGGAACCGAGACTCGTTTTGTTATACATGTACATGTATGTTCATAAAAATACGTGCGCGCTTTATCATAAAGCCTGTCATTGAGTCAACTGGCGTGGTTTCGAATCCCCGGTTGTATTATACTAAACATAAAAAAGAAAACAGATCGATGTGAAGCTCTAAAGCAATATTTCGTAAAGACAATGAATTTTACAACAGGAGATCAAAGGTACGGAGCTGATGCCTTTTCACCGAGTCCCATACACATGGAACCGAGCCAAACCCGGTACCTTTGGGCTTTCTATTTGTGAGATCAGTAGCGGGATGCACGGATAATTGCGATTGGTAAAGGTAGTTTATTTTACAAGGTTAAAACGTTTTAAGTGCTTGAAACATGTTATTTAATGTTGGAATGAATACTCAATACAACATTTCGGGGATAAACATATCTTCAGGAAGAAAAGAACTCTGCATGCACTGAGCCGAAAAACTGCAGACACTGTTAAACAATTAGCCATGGCCTATATTAACATGCGAGCGTGCCTCTTGATAAAAAAAAAATCCGTGCTTTGAAAATCTGAAATCTGTGCTTTGAAGAAATGTTATGTAGCCTTGTTTATCTGAGAAGATTGTATGGGGGGGGGGGGGGCTGAGCTATCATTATGATCATCGATCACATTCTGTTTGAAAAGTTTGGTATTGTTGACGTATTCCCAGAACCACCTAAAGCACAAAAATTACATTGCAGAACATCGTCAGGTTCAGGTTACAGTGAAGGTTCGTTTGTCTTTGCATTGACTTGGGATGTTTTTTGGACTGCTAATGATAATGATACTGACACGCGGTTATAAATATAAATATGTTAATTCTGTTATATTTTGGTTATAAAAGTTTAGGCGTGATATCCCGTTATCGGAAGTCAAATTCTGGATAATTCCATAGAACCCCAAAACACCAGAAACCGTGCTTCGCCAACTAAATCTTAAAATAAATAGGCCCTGCAATTGGCCATTTTGTGATAGACCTAATTAGTTAAAGTAAGTATTGTGATTAACGATTAAAGATAATTAAAGTAAAGTATAATAATAGAATTACTGATTAGACAAGTAGACAGACTAATCTAATTAAACAGGTGACATGATTCAATAATAGAAAGCTTTTATACAAATATCAGATTAACCATAATGCGGTAGAACATATTTAGTGTAGTTATCTTTCTTAAATATAGATAGCCCCTACCAAATTTGTCACGTGATCGAGTGAGTTGCAGCTCTCCTCAATGATGATCCCTAATAATATTTATTTAATTTATTTCAATTTTTGTTTAGATTATACTCTCAAGACATATTTATAAAATTATAGTAACTCTTCGGTGGGAGTTAGACTGTCTTCGGTGAACATTGGCAGTAAAATTGGTGAATGAAATGGGGTTGAGCGTCCTACATGTCTTCACCCATCGGGTTCATGAAGACGTGTATACGTCATGCAGTGTGCTATAATGAAAAAAATGTCAAGACAGCGGCACCACTACCTTCCATTTTTCGAATTAAAACTGTCAACGGCTCTGTTATGAGCACGCCAATGTATACACGGGACCTCGGTTTTTCGTCCCATCCCGACAAGGGAGAAACCACGAGAACTTTCTCGGACAACTCCGGGATAGAACTCAGGTTCTCCTGGTTAGCGACTAGCGAGCCAGAACCTTAACTCACTGCGTCATCGTGTCTTCCACAGTATAATTTTTAAGGATTCATACCCCATTGTGAGTCAGTGCGGATTTTGTTCCAGTCATAATTTTTATTATCTGTACTGTAGCGCGGTTGCAGTGCGTGAAATAAAGAATTATACAGCTTAATGCCCGGGCAGTGTCTTTTAATATTTCAGTCCTATAGCTTGACGTCTTGAACTGCTCACTAATTTATAATTTTAACCCCCGGTTTAGAATTCCTTGTCGCCAGATTAGCGAATGAAATTTGCGAGAAACCAAAGCTATAAAATGTTGTTTTTTTTTTTGATATTATTGACATATTTACGGCCCATAACATCTTGGACGCAACATAGACTTTAAACGGTATGAATAAACTTGCATATTCTCGCACAGTTGAATATTTTCTCGGATTATTGAACCTATGTAAAATATTCACCACCAGGTTATTATCTGGTATGGAAATCTGGAAAGTGAGATTTTGTCAAGTCGTTGTGAATAAGGGTTATAGTTCAGGTTAGCTTATAACAGAAAAATGTTGATGGAAAACTTATTAACTGGCCTCTTCCATATAGATGTTAAATTATCTGTTTTATTTTATATTTAAGATGGAGCCATGGTGACATTGGCAATGTGGTGGTGGCTCATCCAAGGTTGGATCCCGGTGTTTGCAGAGAAAGTTCCTCGTGGGTAAAAATGTCATTGACTGGGGATAAAAGGTCCACAAAACCATAATCCGGTTCGCAATTATAGCCCTGAGTTTCTAACCTTTAAAGAAACAGCCCAAAATGTCCTTAATTTATGGCAATGGGGCTGCGAAAAGAGATGGTGAGAGAACTCACAAAGTCATAGCACTCTCCCTTACGATATTCCTGAATTGTACCGAATGAAACATTGCGTTCAAAAGTAGCCTACGATAAGAAGAAATGAATTTAAATGGGGTTTAACGTCTATGAGAATAAACTCAAACTGCATAAATATATTTTTTAGTCACTCGAATTTGTCCACCACTGACTTTACCCGTATTGCACATACAGTGAACAAGGACAGTGTCGGATTAACTATGGCGGTTGCCCTGTGGCCTTGAGCATGTGGGGAACCCCAACCTCCACACAAGTCTGCAAGGGAAGACAACTCTGTTTGGGAGATTGCCCCAACCTAACATAGGTGACCAAAACGCAGGCAGTGTAACTACACCAAACCTAATTCGAAGTTGGCTTGATGCAACCTCCTAGTTAGTAGCGCAACACGTTGTAATCTAAATATTGCCGCTAAAGAGGAGTTTAATGCGTTTTCTTGATACACTTTTCGCGTTAAACAAAGAAAAAAAAAGAAAGAATACGGATACCAGTCGAATTTTCGAAAGTACGAAGCGGCATCGCCGGATTAGGCCTAGGATCTACACCAAATGCTCGGATGTCAACGATGTCAACCGCAACCAGGACCAACCATTGATTGAAGGGGTCCCATTGTCCAGGAACGTAAAAGTCCGATGGAGGGCTTTGGAGGGTTACATTACCGCTACTAGCAGATGTAGTCCTCGGTTCGACCCACCACCATGCTCACATCGCTTTTTGCGCAACTGAGATTTTTTGTTGGGCCACGGTGAAACGTGGTTAAAAGGGTAATCGTTTAGTGTAGTGGCAGATTCTGAAACCTCTCCAAACCCAAAGTTTAGGTATTCACACTGGAATACGAATAAATACGTTGCTTCTATTCATGTCTTTATTTATAGTGATATAACAAGGGAAAGTTAAACGAAATGCCGGCGTACAAGGTAGATTGAATATTGAAAACTAAAGGGAGATAACACAGTTTACTCAATAATTTCGATAAAATATATATAAAAAATAAAACATTATGCAAGCAAGATTTAAAATATTAAAAAAAAACAACAACCCCAAAACATTAATTTTATCTAAGCAAAGGAATAGTGTTTTATAGTCAGAATCAAATTTCTTATAGAATTATTTGAGTATTGTGTAAAATTCCATGAAGGCCCTTTGCCCTGGTAAAAAAGACCAATTTAAAATCACAGGTGTTCACTTTCAATTGAATGAACAATATAAGAATTTGTCCTTCAATATCTATTTACACTATATCTTACCCAAAGTAACCTGAATATATACTGTACATGCAATATAGCTAATGCATATGAGTGATGGACTGATTATAAAATCGTTGAGTAACCTGCTGTTTAACAAGAAACTTGAGGATTTTCCTGCATGGTTCCCCCTTGTCAGTGGTGCAGGATGGAGGGCCTGGCAAGGGAAACTTTGTGTACACTTTGACATGCACCTAAAAGAACCCCTGAAAGTTGCAAATCAATGTAAATATAATAGTATACCGCAGCACTGCTTTCCGGACAACAATGACCTCATAGCACACTGCATGGTGTATGGCCATCTTCATTAGCTCGGATGGAGAAGAAAAGTAGGACTTTAAGCCCCATTTCATTTCTGATTCTTAAACCTAGCATAATTATACACCAGTCATTATTAAAAAATATTGTTCTTGGTATAATAAGATGTTAAACCTACCCTTTTTGAACACCTGATACCACATGTTGTTTGGGATCTCCAGAGAGAGATGCTGGATTTGTTTCATGTTTTGTTTAGTCAATGGCTTATATAAAGATAGGTGGGCAGGTAACAACAAACATACAATCACATTTGTATTCTTTTGCAGGCAAAGGGATCATTTACAAAACACTAAAAACCAATCAAGACAACAACCCATGCAATAATTACCAGAAATAATTAAAATTTGACAGGTTTCTAGGTAGTCCTGGTGTTAACATAAACTTTGTACTAGTAATCAGATAACCTTTTATTGAAAATCATCGGAAATTGGATTTGACACAAACACTGTACTTCAATTTCAAGTCAACCGATTGATAACTTTAGCCTCTTAGTATATACACAAGATTTATCTAAGTGATCAAGGATGGTAATTATTGGATATCATTGGAAATCAAAAGACTTTTCATTTCATGAATGTAAACACCTTGATAAATTCCAAGTCAATTGGATGACAAATTTAACCCCTAGATAGAGCATCCTCGAGCAACTCTGGATGACAGACAGAATTGATGATAATATATGATTGCATTTCAAAGTGGTTGAATAAAGATACCCGTGTCTCCCCTGAAAGGGATTGTGCACATTAAAGATGCAATATGTAAGAGCTAAACCCAGTTACTGCAGATTTATTGTTTGGCCGCAAATGTTATATAAATCATTAATTAGACATTTATTCACATGCCAAGCCAATAATTAACTCTCTAGAGCATTGGATGGTTGAGATTTTCAATGGATTTAAACAAGGTCACAAGTTAATAGTTCAATTAAAATATGGATAATCGAGACTATACTATTCTTCAAACAGTGATAACTCCGTTCAGAATGAAGTAATTTGACTGAATTTTTCAATATATTCCCTTTTGGTTATCTATTTTTTAACTATTATAGCGAGAACTGTCAGTTCTAATCTTACGTAATGCATCTGTAATTGATAATTTTAGTCGATATGACCATTACACTGCAAGTCAAATCTGTCAAAATGGGAGAGAATTTCTCCAAAAGGCCCTAAAGAAATCTAGCGCCTCAAATTGGAACATTCAAGATTATTTGCGAGTCATAAATTTCCAGACTACTCTTCTTCCACCTTAGCACCCTTTCCCCCCACCCCCACTTACACATTATCTGTAGACTGTAACTACCACTGTGTAGTCATAGATATATTTATTAAATTTCTGTGACTGCAGTTTAATGCATTCAAGATAAAGACAATACAAATTTATCAAACAGCAATAGGTAAGGATTTATTTACATTATTATATTTATAGACATGGCTGCATATATATATATATATATAAGATAAAGACAATACAAATTATCAAACAGCAATAGGAAAGGATTTATTTACATTATTATATTTATAGACATGGCTGTATATAATATATGTACATGGAACAGGGGTTCATGCAATAAACATGTTTAATGGCTTTACACAAACTACATCTTCACAATGTCAAGGCTAAATAAAAACAAAAAAAAAATGCAAGCAAGCTAGTAATGCATTATGTGAATCCAATTAACAGTTGAATTAATGTCTGGTTTTACAGTATTACATTATATCATACATCTAATATGTTTACTCTGCATTATTAACAAGCTGCAATCATCAATTTATTTCTATGTTAAAACAGAGGTGGCTAATGCAGTCAAGATGTATGACTGTTCAGACATAAATTGTAGTATTTTCAATCTTGTCATAGTGAATATGGCCCACCTATCAATAAATAAATATATAGATAAATAAAGACAATACTGTTCAGGTCATCCTATAAATTATTATAATACTGTTTAGAAATATTATTCATAACATTGTCCATATACTTAGACACTGAATTTGATAGCCTTAAAAAGAAAGAAATTGTATAATGTAGGTTAACTCATTATGTCAAAATTAAAAATGTAGCATAGGCTCATGCTTGGTATTATAAACACAGTGACTGATAGTCTAAATTAACGTAGGTACACATATGATGCACTGTACTACATTATAACAGTAACTTCAGAAACAAATCCGGACACAATACTGAACCAGAGGCAATCCATGATCCGGGCAGAGAACCCCTAAATACTGCATCTCGGTCCACAAATCAATTCAATACCAAAGTATAAAGATGTTTAGAACAGATACCACACTTTTATTTTTATATTCTTTTCAAGTTAAGTTCAATATAATTCTTCAGTAAATAACTCTTCAATATATGAGTACAAATCTTATGTATAGTACACTATGTTCCACAGGACTCTACACCAAAAGGAAATCGGGGCATCACCGCAAAATTATTAGGAACCATATAAATAAGGCAATAAAGTTACATATTTAGCAATTAAATCCATTTAACTTCCTCCTCCCAGCATGCATCCAACTGACTGCTTAGTCTCGTGTCAAAATTGCAAGCTCTTTGTGAAATGAATAGCAACAAGAGCATCACTGTTGAAACTTTGCTCCTATTCAAGTCAGTACTGTAATTATATTCCATCAAGTGTGTGGGTTTTTTTTACCATATAAGTTGAGTATCTTGATCAACTCAAAAACATTATTGTGTTCTCTCAACAGAAATTATTACACAATTTTAGGGACTGGACATACACCAGTTGTTGTTTCATAACTTTTTCCATTTAAAAAGTATCGAAATTGTTGAGATTTCCTATGGTATAGATCAAAACTACCACTTTAACATTTTACTAACCGGACACTGACTGACAATAATGGCATATAATATATGACTAAAACTAAAATATATTCTCTAACATAAATCTCTTTTTTTCTTTTGATTGACAAAATGTATTGAGATAGAAAAAAATGGCACATTTTTTTTATAAATGGGTGGTTTTAATTTTGTTTCTAGAGATACATTTAATCTTGCAAATCTGAATATCACTGTGAAGTTGTTTTTGCCTACAATGATTGTTGTTGACTTCTTGTCAGTTAATTTCCAGCCAACGATCATGCCAAAAATCACATGAAAGTTGTATTATGTCTCACCAGTACTTCTTATCGAATTAGTGGTGCATTTTCATTGCATCACAGTATATAGACAGCATTTTACATAGAAGAGAGATTTGAAGAAAATACTTTTCATGGTCTATATAAGAAATTAAATACCACTACCTACTAACACCACTAAAACACTCTTATTATATACATCAGTATAAAAATATATCTCATTAAACAAACTTTTATTTCTAATTGCTTATCAAATAAATATCACAGAAAATATTTACACACAAACTATTACATATCTTTAACAGTACGGTTTTGATAGTTAAATGTACTGGATCAGAAAATACTACTGCATGATAGATTCAATTCCCAGACAAAATATTGACCTATCAGGGGCTAAGTGAGAGGGATGCAATGACGAGCTTTGCGCCATGGTTACGAAATTTTGCGCCCCCTCGAAAATGGCAAAAAATCATGCGGTTTCCAACATTATAATCATAATGATTAACCAGTGTCAAACATATACCATGGGTAAGACATGCTACAAATTGACTTTAGCATGTTCCACACAGCTCAATATAACTTGGCAGCACTGGAAGGAACCCCTTCTCCCCCACTCCCCCGCACACATATATATGTATTGTTTTTTTTTTGGGGGGGGGGGGGAGACGGGATCGTTTTCCTCACGCAAAGTCATGGGTCACCACGCCCCTGACTGGTATACCATATTTGACATACTAACCGCCTGCCCGGTATACCATATTTGACATACTAACCGCCTGGATGATTCGATCCCAGACAAAATATAAACAACAAAATAAAAATATTTTATAAGTTTTTGATACCATGGAGTATTATGTACAATTAGGCCATAATTAGGCTGAGGAAAACAGTACCATAACAGTTTCTCTACAGTTTTCTATAAAATAACACAATATCATTTAAGTCGGATCTTTCTATTTCAATCTGGGTCTAATTTTGTCAATCTGATTAAAATACAGAATTACAGATCTATATTTCATTTCGTTTTTTTATACTTTTGATGGCCTACACTACATGAAGATCTGACAAGTTGTACTCGAAGGTGGTGTCAGGGGTCCTACGAGCAGCTTTTGACCCTATGACGTCAGACATTGATTGATCAATCAGCGTTGACGTTTTTAGCGGTTTACCCACAGTTCTGTGCATGGCACGCCAAGAAGTCACGGTAACAGACCATTTCCCTCACTTCAACCAAAACGCCGGTAATATAACAACTATTCCAGATCCTAGTGTAGTAAAGACAAGTAAAACGAAATTTTGAACTATAAGAAACGAAACGAAATCGGATCTGTGTTTTAATCAGATTGTAATTTTGTTGGAATCGACTACATGAAGATCTAACTACTTCTTTACTAAATCTCTGTTCTCCTTGAACTTTTATTTTAAAAGGTCAACTGAACTCAAACCTAGTAAATATATTGTTAGATCCCACTGTAAGGAAATATCAACAACGAAGGTATGCTCTAATATTAATCATATTAAAAACGACCAAGAATTCTATGAACAATTAGTAACAAACTTTCTTTCACATTCAGTATCACAGTTCAGCCAACATATATATTTTATTAATCTAAGCATTACCATGGCAACTTTAATACAACTAAACCAATTTATCCAGGTAGGAACTGGGGTTAACCACCATCCAATGTGTGGGTATATCTTTTAAATTTAATTTTTAGTAAACCTAAACAACAACAACGACTAAGTGGAACATAGATTTCACCAGTAGTGAATATTTGATATAAATTTATAAAACCAATACCAAACAAGTGGAAAACTAATAAATTATTAAGTTACATTCTCATAACTAAATATAAAGTAAAATATCAAAAAAAGTATCAAAAACATAAATAAAGCAGGAATACATATGAATAAATCCAACAAAATCATTATTTTTAATTATAATACATATGAATAAATCCAACAAAATCATTATTTTTAATGATAATACATATGAATAAATCCAACAAAATCATTATTTTTAATGATAATACTACCAGAAATGATTTACATATTATTACGATTTTTAAAGTAATAGATGTATATACCAGTGACTGTAACAGAGATGTTTGTCTAAAAGTTACATTATCACAATATCCTTTCTGAAACTTTAAAGGAGCTAACCCTTTGTCCAGGTCAATTTTATGGTGAGAGAGAGAAATGGGGTTTAACGTCCACTCAACACAGACAAGGTCATTTTGGGACTAACATATGGTTTAATTTTATTTCAATAATTCGCTTGCACGTAGGGATCTTTTAACAGTGGGATGAAACCGGAGGACCCCGAGAAAAACCACGAGGTTGGACAGGCAACCTTACTCCTTGTCACGTACAACCGCAAATTAATGGTAAGAATTAAATTTGGTTGATCTGATGTGTTATTTCCATTAGTTACAGGACAAGATGTATATACAGTAATTAAATTTTCTATGCAGGTTAAAGATGCTTTATGAGCTGGTCCTTCTTGTTATAATAGTTCAAATAATGAAAAATGAAAATATCAAATTATTTTATTTTGAGCGAAGTTATGGGTGTTTGAAGTTTTGACGATATAATTTGGATTGTCAAGTACCATTGCTACATTAATAATAAACAAAGTCTCGATTATCCATTTTTACATTTAATTATCAAATAACGATTTTGTTGTAATCCAGTAAAAAACACAGCCATCTGATAATCTAGAGAGTTCATTATGGGTTTGTTAAGTGAATAAAACCCTAATTAATAATTTATATAACATTTGAAGATAAAACAAAGACGTTCAATAGCAGATTTAGCTCTTACTTAATGCATCATTAAGCAGAAGTTTGTTTGTTTACTAATTTTAGCTTCATTTTTGACTTCAAATGGGGAATTGAAAAGTGAATCCGCATTACAATTTTGAATGGAGACAAATCAAATTATAAAATGTGATAAAATCAACAAGTTTATTTGGGATGTGCTAATTGATGCCACATTCTGTCACTTTTTTTTTTGACGGCTATACGGCTATGAAACAGTTTGAGAAAAACAAGTGGGAGAATTTTGATAGGACGTCACTACTTTACGTTCTTTTACGTGTACACATATGGACCTCAGTTTTTCATAATATAGACTACGACCAGATATAAATAGAGATCGCTAAAATACAGGATACCTTATTACAGATGCATTATGGAAGAGCTAAATCTGCCTATTGCAGACCTTTTGTCTAGCTTCAAATGTTACATAAATTATTATTTAAACATCTATTAACATGAAAATAATAAATAATAAACTCTCTGGGTCATCGGATGACTCTGATTTAAGATTAGAACACTGTAGACATTTAAAAGTGTACCGATAAACCAGATAATTTGGATTAATAAACAATCTACGCTATATTTTGTCAAAACTTCAATCAGTCATAACATTGCACAGAATAGAGTAATTTGATATTTTCAATACATTCATTTTTCATTATCTATTACAGCAAGTCTTTAATCACTCTGTTATAATCATACGGAAAAAACAATTTTAAAATAATTTGTATATTTGCATATATAATGAGTTCTAGTAGTAGGTTAATAACCTAATCTTATTAAAATTAATCACTGTCACTATCACGTGAGACTATCTGACGGTGATCTAACAACTGTCTTAGCTCCGCAGCAACTTGTCCAAGACGTCTACCAAGCTCTTGGACCTCTTGTAATTGCTGACGCCGAAGATTTCCCTGCTCTAATTGTAAATCGTAGACCAAGGGAGGCACTTCCACATGTTGGTCAGCATCATCAGAATATGTTGACACCAACCCTTCCAATCTGTTTCGGCTTTCAACCAGACGATCCCTAACAGTTGTTAGACCTCTTCCTCCTGTTTCATTGGTTGGTCGTAAGGTCGCTGGTGTCAGATTTTGGCTAGCACGCCTCCTCGTCAATAAACCAGAGCCGGACGTTGACGCAGGTGGCACAGATGGAGGAACGTGATTAATGAGAGATGGCAAAGTGGGAAACCGACGACGTGCTAGTGGATTTGGTCGTGGGGTTCGAGGGGGGACTGGAGCTCTTGGGGACAAAACGGAGGGTTGATCTGACTCAGTGTCGGCATTAACACTGGGAGATAAAGGATCATTACTGTTGTCATTACTGTCTATACTAATACTGTTATTATTGGGGTCACTAATAGAAGGGGTCAACCTTGACCTTGTGTTGGAGCGTGGTTGTAACACTGACCTTGATTCTGTAGGTCGTGGTGTGGCATCTTTTAATGGCGGAAGATTTGTGGAACTGGAATTAGAAGATGTTTGGTAATTGGAATGTTTGTGTGTTTCTGCATATTTCAATAAACCTTTCCAATCACAACCTTTCATTGTACATCTGACCCTATTCATCAAAATCTTGGTGTCTAATACAGGGTTTTTGGTGTAATGGCCTTCACATCTGCAGACTGGACAACGAACTCTATTCATAAATTCACCTGTGGTTGACCAGACTTGAATACAAGAAAAACAGAATTTGTGTTTATTTCTACATTCCATTACATCCTTCATCATTAGATAACTGAAATAAAAGAAATTAATTGATTACTTTACCCCAATCCAAAGGGTGTTGTCATTTTCAGATTAGACAAATGTCATAAGTAGGTTGGAGAGCTTGGGAGAGAGGATTTGAACTTATTCATCACAGCTTACAAGAGGATAAAATAAAGTGTTGAAATTGGTTGATCTGATGTTTAAAGTACAGACAGATACCTAATCAATAAACCAGCGGCTGTCAGGCAGGATACGCCCACATTTTCGAGAGATGGATAGAGAACAAGCCAACAAGAAAGTGATTTTTCCTACAATCAAGGGCCATAATTCAGAAAATTACAATTCGACATGCGCAAATATCGAAAGGAACCAAGATCTTTGGGTTATAAATATACATTTCAAGTTTCAACAAAATCAGATAAAAATTATGACCTCTATAGGGTCCACAACCTTGATATACCATATTTTTACGCTATTTGAGAATGAAGGGCGGCCATTTTGTCTGTCAGTTTTGGGCTGATTTTCACGAAATTCGAACTCAGTCATCCTTAGGGTGTAACGATGATATAATAATACGTTTTTTTAAATCGGATAAAAATTATGACCTCTATAGGGTCCACAAGCTAAAAACGCGATTTTTCGTATAATCAGGGGCCATAATTCAGGAAGGTACGTTCCGATATGCGCGAATATCGAAAGGAACCGAGATCTTTGGGTTATAAACTTACAATTCAAGTTTCATCAAAATTGGATTCAAATTGTGACCTCTATAGGGTCCACAACCTTGATATACCATATTTTTACGCTATTTTGTCTGTCAGTTTTGGGCCGATTTTCACAAAATTCGAACTCAGCTGTCCTTAGGGTGTAACGGTGATATAATAACCTCGTTTTTTAAACCGGATAAAAATTATGACCTCTATAGGGTCCACAAGTCAAAAAACGCGACTTTCAGTACAATCAGGGGCCATAATTCAGGAAGTTATGTTCCGATATGCACGAATATCGAAAGGAACTGAGATCTTTGTTTTAGAAGCATACATTTTAAGTTTCAACAAAATTAGATAAAAATTGTCACCTCTACAGTGTTCACAAGCTAAAAACGTGATTTTTTGTACAATCAGGGGCCATAATCCATGAAGTTAAAGTCCGATACATGCCAATATCGAAAGGAACCGAGATCTGAGGGTGATAAACCTATATTTCAAGTTTCATTGAAATCGGATAAAAATTGTGACCTGTAGACTGTTCACAAACAATTGTGGATGGACGGACAGGGGCGACGACAATATACGTCCACATGAAAATGTGGGCGTATAAAAAACAACATATTAAAACATTTTATGCAACACAAAAAGGTTCAGTCAAAAACTGAATAAAGACCAATCTAGTCAAAACATAATGACAATCATTAGTGAGATTGTGCTCTTTAAAGTTACAATTTCATATTTTTAAGCCCTAAAATAGATGGTATCTATAAACAGTCCTACCTTGTTAAAGAATAATCCTATTAATCCTATAATTCACTATTGCCAGTTGAGAAATTGGCAAAAATATAATTTTCAACTTCAAATTCAAACGTTTGAAGATAGCTATTCCATGGTGGGGAATAGGAAAACAAGGGAGGTAATTGGGAGGTAATTGTGTTATTATTTCCGGTGTAAAGATTTTTAAGTGTGAGAAAGATAACCTATGATCGTATAATAGTGAGTTGACAACATATTGAGCAAAAGACGTAGAAATAATTATGTTTTGACTTTCTTAGAAAATATGAAATTGTAACTTTAAAGTCTGAATTTATTCCAGACAATGTCTGTGACAGGTGCCTTATTTCCACTCTGATTAGTTCTAAATTAGTCAATTCTATTGGGCTTACCATGTTATGAACTATGAACATTAAATAGAGAGAGAGAGAAATGGGGTTTAACGTCCACTCAACACAAACTAGGTCATTTTGGGACTAACACATGGTTCAATTTTATTTCTATAATTTGCTTGCGCGTAGGGGTCTTTAGCAGTGGGAGGAAACCGGAGGACCCGGAGAAAACCCACAAGGTTGGACAGGCGACCTTACTCCTTGTCACATACAACCGAGATTCGAAACCACGCCAGTTGACTCAATGACAGACCTTATAATACAGCACATACATGCACACGTACGTGATAACCATTCGGCCATCCAATCCCCGCTATGAACAGTAAATGGATTAATGTTTGTATCTAATATAATCAAAACTTATAGATTCTGTTGACATCTGTTGTGAGACAGTTTTATAGAATAATTCATACAATTGAAGTGTCAAGTATTGTAATTCACACATTTCAATTTGATACAGTGAATGTGACACATCGATTTAACAAATTATTGTGCTAGCACAAATACTTGCCATATAGAACATTCATATTCATCTCTTTTCTCATCGGTTAAATCTAGGAATATCTCATCAGGATAACCACCTGCCTTGATATTAGGTGTAGGCCGTCTAACTAGAGAGGGTCTCACTGCTAAAGACAGCATAGCCTCTAATAAGGCCATTAAGCTTGCCTCGGCCATGTTGGATTATTGTTTAACCTAATGTCACTTCTTTTGATTAAATAATGATATTTTTCATCATGTACATTTTAATTATCTGTAATCACACTTGGGTTCAAAGTCATCGAATTTTCATTTTTTAAATCTATGGTACGGTACCATATTAGTTCAAGTGAGATTTTGTGATAGCTTAATTATAAAGTTTTCAATAAAATGTCAAATCCAGACACAGGCTGTTGTAACAGGCTGTCTTCCAACTTGCAGAACCGTAAATTAATTCTCGGAACTTGTCAGTTTCAGATACCACACGCCAATCTGCATGTACTTCACTCGAAGTCACATGACATTCTACCGGTGCACCATTCCTTTCTACATCATATCTGTAAGAGAAATAAAAAAAGATGATTACCATTTCATAAAGAAATTTAATTCTATAAAAATCCCAAGAATGCAGGAATGATGATTTTCCGTTTAGATTTTAGAATCACACTAGCTATATTGACAAAATATTCAGTGAGCAATCCTGTTACCCCAGATTAGATAACTGGTATATTGTTCTAAACAGACTAATGAAAATGAAGACTTGCAGTGAACTACTGGTATGTCCCTGATATTGCCAGTGGTGCTACAGTCTACTCCTATCTCAGCCAACTTTGGATTAGAAACTTAGGAACTACTATTTGGTCGGCTAGCACCATAGGCGTAGGAGCTCAAAGTAATTCAGGGGGGCATCAGAGAAAATTGCCCGAAATCAATACCGTTTTTTCGGGCATACATGTCATAAGAGAGCTTCGGGTATATTTTCGGGCATGCAGTGGACAAGAAAAAGATGAGAAAATACATTTCGGGCAGTGTGGATCTCATAGAAATAAGTTAGTTATATTTTTTCTCTAAACGTTAATAGAAAAAAAAGGTCGTCGAATTTTTCATTGCCCGAAAATAAATTTGGGGGGGGGGGGCAAATGCCCCCCCTGCTCCTACGCCTATGGCTAGCACCATACTCAAAAAGCCACTATGGCTCCTAAAATAAATTCATGGACAGATACTGATATCACTCCACTCCAATTATGGCTCTCAATAATCTGTCTAAACTGGTACAGAACATAATGTATGTTGAATTTGGGAGTACTGCCTGTGATTAGCAATCCTCTATTCAAGCTTTTAAAACAAATGAAATACGCCATACAGTGTGCTATGAGGGAAATTTTGCCCGGGCAGCAGCACTATGACTTACTCTTAAATCGAATTCCAACTGCCAAGGGATCTATTACGTGTATACACAGGACATCGGTTGTCATCCCATCCAAACGACTAGACAGCTGTCCTTGTCAGACCCTCTGTCCTACACCACTGACAAAGGGAACCCATGTCAGAATTTCCCGATGAACTTTCCAAAGTTCTGCTCCGACTGGACTAATGAAGACCGGTATATGCCAATACAGTGTGCTATGAGGGAAATTTTGCCCGGACATCGGCATTACGGCCTACTCTTATATCAAATTCCAACTGTCAGGGATCTTTTACGTGCACACCAATCCGTACAGAAGACCTTGTTTATCATCCCATCCGAATGATTTGATAGCTGTCCTTGTCAGGCCCTACTTCCTGCACCACCGACAAAGGGAAAACACGCTGGAAAATCCTGAAGAACTTTCTCAGCCAACACCTGGAGGGAACCTGCGACCTCCAGGCTAGCAAACCAGCGTCTTACTCACTTAGCCACTGTGGCTGCCAAACAATAATCAACTTTGCCGACCTAACATCTAATGAAAGACAGACAAAAGATATTGATACAGCTCTGTAAAATTGCAATATGTTATGAAAAAGAACCAGTACCTGGCAATACAAATGTCTAAAGTAAGCAGTCAGTAGTAGGTCATCAGATAAATGATCTCCCGGTTCATTTGTTCTAATAGCTAATCAATAAACTGTATTACCAGATAATCAATTGTGTAAATTATTGTTTGTCTCGCTTGTTGACTACATTAGACCTATTAACATGTTTATCACACTTCTTCCAAATAAGACATGTAAACTTCTAGATAATATAAAATGCACTAATCAGTAGGCAAACATAATAATGAGTAAATAAGAAAAAGATTCAAATATAACACCAAATCAAAGGTTTACTATTAATAATAATATTATAAATAGAGTGTAAAATATAGATACATGTAACAACAAAACATGATGCAATCAGAGAAATTAAGTCAAATAGATACCTAACTGTTGCAGTTTCACCAGAGTCAAAAACATGTACAAAGTCAACGCGCAACACCAAATGTCATGTTCAATCTGTCATGCAAATATGTGTGCTAAATAACTGAACAAATGCAGGTTGACAGAAAAGTTAGATTGAAGAACTTTGAAGGAATCTCATTAAACTTACTAATAACAGTGATTAATGCGCAAATCAATATCCATCTAAAAAGAAATAATAACTTTCTTCAGTCATTTAGAAAAGACAAATATACCAGAGTAAAAATTTAAAACGGTGGCCAACAATTGTCATCAGCTAAGCCAACATGGATCAAGTAGAAATGAAATGAAATGGGGTTTAACGTCCTACTGTTCTGCTCCTATACTGGGCAAGACGGGCATACGCCATACAGTGTGCTATGAGGGAAATTTTGCCCGGGCAGCGGCACTATCGCCTACTCTTATATCGAATTCCAACTGCCAGGGGATCTTTTACGTGCATTCCAATATATACATGGGACCTCGGTTTTTCGTATCATCTGAAGAACTAGACAGCTGTCCTTGTCAGGCCGTCCGTTCTGCACCACTGACAAGGGGAAACCACGTCGGAAAATCTGGATGAACTTTCTCGGCCAATGCATGGATCGAACACCCGACCTCCAGGCTAGCGAGCCAGCGTCTTAACCACTTAGCCACCATGACTCCCCGGGCCAAGTAGAAGTCTGGTATTATACAATGTAGTCTATATACAAGTCAATGGCAGTTTTTAAGAATTTAATTTAAAATAAAAATCTATACGTATTACATTCAAGCAGCTCTACATTAATTAGGGATAAATGTTAAAATGAATCCATCAAAAATGTCCTTTTCAGTATTTTCACATTATATTCACTATTTGGTATTAGCATTTTGGTGAGTTTGGGTAATTATTTTGATATTAATTGTTTTTTAGTTATTTTTTTACCATGACTTCCATAAATTATTGACCTAATGAACTCTACAATAGCCCATTACTTAGTCTAATCTAATTGATGAAATTAAGGTCACGGATCTGGACCTGTTTCATAAAAATTAAACAAAACCAGATTTATAGACAAATTTGCTTGCTTCTTGCCGCTAATCAAATAATATTTTAAAACCACACACATTTCAAAATAATAAAGACCCTGCGTTCTCTTTGACACGGTGAAGCATGTCGCCCAAAATGTGTAAATGTACTTGAATAATAATTAAATGTCTGCACACCTATCACCAAGTCAACTTGACAGCTCCATGTTTGCGTCTTCACAGCTCCGTCTAGCAGGTGCCCGTTTATAAGGGGAGGTAAGATGTAAAATGTAGTTGTGTCCCTTACATCGTAGAATTGATTTTCGAATTAGATGAACGTTTCAACAGAATTACAAGATAAGGTTTATTTTATTTTTATAAAATGAGCAGTGGGGAAAGAAAAACAGCAAAGTAATAGGTCACAGAATAAGAAACCAGCGTGTCTAGCTTAGCATTTTCATCCCACGTCTAAATAAAATTATATGCGCCAAACTGACACTGATCAGCAGTGAATATTCGCGAAGCCACTGTACAATCATTGATAGGTATAACATAGGTGTGGCTTAATGAGCTCACAATATTTTTACTTTTTTACTTCTGCAAATTAAATTCTAGAACATTTTTTCTGAAGTTCTAGAAAAATAAATAAAGGTGTTTGAAGTATATCTAGATACAAATATTTCCTATTTGGTGCAATTATGGGTATATATAATGAGTATAAGGTACCATTCTGCCTGGGCCAGTTCACGCTATAACTTCTTACGCATGGTCTTACGTAAACAATGCATGCGGCATGGAGCCACACACTTGATCAGGTGAATATTCGCTAGTCCGCTAGTCCGGCGAAAATTTCCCTCATGGCATACTGTATTGCATATGACCATACTATGCCCGTCTTCATTAAACCATTTCATTTCTGTAGACCATCCAGTGGCGGATATTTTAAACGGATTAAAACACGGTCGCCATTTAATGATTTAATATTAAATAAAAGAAGAAGCGGGGCTAAGTCTTGAATAACAAGTACCGTTGTTACGATAATAAACAATCTATGCCACATCTTGTCGTAAATTCAAAAAGTGATAACTTTGCTCAGAATAAAGCAATTTGAATGAAATTTTCAAGATATTCATTTTGTATTATTTATTTTTAAACTAGTATAGCAAGAACAGTCAGCTCTTTATCTAAACCTTACATAAAGCATCTACAAGATATCAGGGGAATGTAACTATTTACGTGTATCCTCGTCCAACTGTTGCATATGGTAATTAATTCAGTAAATGTTTATATTATGCGATCAAATAAGTTAACTGTAGGATTTATTGAAGAACAGATCTCAATAGATTACCATTTTGTTACGATGTATATTTTAGTGTGTAATTTATATTGTATATTACAAAATGTATTTGTGTATTTCAAGGCGTGATGTGTATTGCATACTGTAATTGACGATGTGTATTTACTGTGCAATTTCAGTATCAAAACTATGCAGTAATAGTCCCGGGAATGTCTTACCGATGTGGTTACTTGTATAGTTGAATTTTACTACATATGCTTACATTCGTATTTCGTGTAGCATATAGCAGATCATGACTCATGCTGGCATTGCACAATGAGTTCTTTGGGTTGTATTCCTAATTGTTTTCAAATTTGAGTGAAGTCTGTGTCACTACAGACCCGGGACTGTACAGCGCAGTGGACGCTTACGGCTAGCCACCGGATCCATTCACTTTTTTTGAATTGTCTGTATGTTTGTGATTTCCTGAGTATGATGTCCTGTCCGTGTATTTGTTTTTACGTAAATTTTGTGTGGTGCAGTCCCCCTGCACTTACTATTATCACAGTGTACATAAATAGAAAATAAAATGAAATGGGTCTTTTCTTGTCTGCGATATCACTCAAGGTGGAAGCGGACATTAAGCATTAAGGAACGAACGAAGTGGGGGTATAACGTCCTACTCCGACTGGGCTATTGAAGACGGGTATATAAATAGGACATAGTCAATGATTGCGCAGTGGCCAATTTATATAAATGAAATGAAATGGAGTTTAACGTCCTACTGTTCTGCTCCGAACTGTGCTAATGAAGACGGGCATACGCTATACAGTGTGCCATGAGGGAAATTTTACCCGGACAGCGGCACTACTTCCTACTCTTATATCGAATTCCAACTGTCGAGGGGTCTTTTACGTGCACGCCAATGTGTACACTGGACCTCGGTTTTTCGTACCATCCTACGACTAGACAGCTGCCATTGTCATGCCCTCCGTCCTGCATCAGTGACAAGGGGGAACCACGCCGGAAAATTTGAATGAACTTTCTCGGCCAATACAGGGATCGAACACCCGACCCCCAGGCTATAGCGAGCCAGCGTCTTACCCACTTACCCACCGTGACCCCCTCAATTTATATCAAGCTGTACAATTGATTAAAACAAAGCAAAGCAAAACAACACCGAACCCGAACGCACTGGAAAGAATTTCGTTTTTACCTAACAATATGCTGGAAATCTTCAATTCTATCAATTGACTTTTGTTATATAAGAGTGTTGTCGTATGTCTAAGTGTGTATAAAAGCAACAGAATAAAAAGATAAATCTATGTGTGGCGAAACTATAATTTACGAAAACCTGTGACATGTAAATATCATTTTATTTTTTTATAATAAAGATGTGTGTTATCCTTAACTTCTGTATACTCAGATAAACTAATAGCGCGTGGAGCGTGCACGTGCCATTTATATGTCTTGTAATTTAATACACTTGGGTCTGTACTTGTTAAGCATCTGACCCATCCATATTAAGCGTATAACGGTACTGTCTTGAGAAGGAAGATGTTACCAAGGAAATATATCACCGGCCATTTTGGTTGGCTGTCAAAAGTTAACGGCACCGCTGTGAGTCATAGAGTTTTATGAAGGTAAGAAAATAAATAATTCCATTCTAGCGTTGAATAACAACATTTTATTTATTATTGTATAAATTGAACGGCTGGATGCAGGTAATACATTATGTAGGCCTTATTACCTATATTAAATCATATTATGGGAGCGTGTAGCCCCAGTCTGTCGGCTCTTTGTATTTTATTTTACACGCGAGTAGTGGAATATTGATTACCTGGCGCGTGCTCAATGGAAGAATATTGTATGAATGTTACACGTTCTCTATTCGCCATTTATTTGTCTTGAAATAAAGGAATATTGTTCCAACGTGTTAACCGGGCAGAATTAGGTAAGAATTAATTTGTTTTTATGGAAATTAAAAATTCCCAACACTTCAAATGATAAATAGGCAATCAATGTCGGGCAAGTATCGTCTGCTTCTGTTAGTTTTGCATGGCTACTGATATCTTGGTTCTTCGGTAAACAGACAGATGCCGTTAAAAAAATTCTGGCTGCAGACTCCCAATGGCATTGTTGAGAAGAACATTTTATTTCTGTGTTTTACAAGGTTATAAATTTATTTCTTTGTGTACAACTTGGTAGAGTTCTTCTTGCTAACAATCGATAGTTTCCCGTACTTAGGTTTATTGGACTTGACCATGAATTTTACCGTTAGATTTAATAGAATCTATCACGATATTTGTGAAACTAATATTATATTGGCTGTTACCCTTCTAACAGAAAAATCTGTAGGCTATATGGTTACGGCAAAACAAGCCAAACTGTTCACATATTACTCAGAAGTAAACAGTATGTATTGTTGTTGTAAAGTCTGATTTTATTATACAATTAAAAGAAGCTAAGTCTCTAAATCAATATCATCTAAAGTATTCCACATATTTGTTAATTTAAATATATTCAATATTTAAGACAAAATAAACATTTTACCATTGGTGTATCATAATGCGCTTCAGCGCCATTTGTAACAAGGGACTCAAAGAATGAGGCTAGGCATATTCCACAAGTCATATCAAACGGTGACGCCATATTCTTATCTGGAGAGCATACACAATAAATACTATTGGTGTGGACTGGAATAAATGATTAGAAATTATAGTAAAAACTGAAACAATTGAATGTAAATCAGTTTATACATTCATAGTACATTATTATATGCGTTGCGACCCATTTGTGTCAATTTCTAGGTCCAAAATATTAGCGATTTAGCTCTTTTAAGCACAACCAAGAATATAAAAAACTTGTCCTGCTCCTATGAAAAGCCCATAAGAATTCTTATTACTTTATTTATCTTAGCCATATAAAAATGGCAGTGTGAATTAAGTATAAATTTTAAATGGTAACAACTTCAGTTAAAATTGATCAATTTGAAAAATTTATTTCTGGACCAAAATGTTTTTAAATAAAAGTACTTTGATTGTGTATGATCTTAAAAAACCTTTATTCTGACATTTTGAACTTTACAGGCTCAATACCACTCTTGTTGTAACTGAATAATATGTCCCAATCTTTATTCTGGTAAACAAATTGTACTATTTTACAATATTCCAATTAATTGATGATACAAATTTCATCTTAACACACCTAATTTAAAAAAATGGAAAAATTCAACTAAATGATTTGAAAAGCCTGACGTAAAGCTTTTCAAATGTGACTTGGATTTAAAAATATTTTTGAACCCTTTGGACAAGTAAAATAGGATTTAATGGATAATTTACACAACAGGTAGGACACTAACACATCTAGTACTTAGAATAAGGCTATTTTTTATTTTCTGGAGCTGTCAAGCCAGCAAGAGTATTATTGTCCCTTTAACATAAAGGAAGAAAAAAACACCTTAATCTCTAACAATTGAAATTAAAAACATAATCCAAATATATTTTGAAGAATCAAATAGATCAAATCCTTGTTGATAATACTAACAAGGATACAGGAATGCCTGCTAAGTAGCTTGTCAGATAAAAGGAATCACATCCACAGCCTGGATATTTAGTCTAGAATTTATATATTATTCCTGATTAATGTAAATACCAGTTTTAAATGAATAGATCTGTATGTACAGTTTATTTATAGAAACCAGTGTATGTATGTATATTGATTTTTAAAACTTGCATGATGTGGTCAAAATAGGCGGTTTATATATCTGGTAAATTTAGATCACTAACCAGACAGTTTGCATGTTGAATATTAGTGTATAAATAGGCTATACACTGTAGGGAATAATTGAATATTAACAAGAAGATATGGATTAATTTAATATTTGTAAATTATAAAATCTGATATCGTAAGTTATTGAAAATTATCTACTTTATTGATAATAGCAAAGACAAAAAAAAACAAGACAAAAGAGGCATTGTTTTCTTTAGAGAACTCTGATAATTGGTAAAAAATATTTTTTTGATTTCCTGCGATTTAAATACATCAAGGTTATTCAAATTACTATTATTTTGCAGGCAAAATTTGAGACATAACTGATAATTCATCGATGAGAATTATTCTGGTTAAGATTCTATGCAAGACATACATATGAATAATTTTTGAATCACCAATTACATTTTTTGGGGAAGATGTCTATTTATTTATATTATCTGAGAGTTTGTTTCTGTCTCTTAGTCTGGAGAAATTTTACATAAATATCACGCCTTTAATAAACTTCTTTTTTTACAGTACATATTCATTTTTGAAATATTCTAAACAAACTTTCAAATTATCTAACTTTTTTACTTAAAGACATTAATACAAGATGGTGAATAGGCTATCTGTGCTAAACTTACTTTCAGTATGTGAAAATATATTATTTATGATTAGATTTGGGTGCTAAGATAACATTGGCGTCCATTACTAAATTATAAATAAACAGTATGTTAATGAAGTATTTTCATAATATTTTTTAGCACATGTACATATAAAATAGCATATTGTTCTGTTTTAATTTGGTATTTACTCTAAGAGTGGTAGGTTTAATGCCCATACAAAATTCTCCATCCTCATATTGCACATGTGACTATAATATAATAGATACTAATGTTAGTCTCCAAACGACCAAGTTAAATATCCAAGATGCTAAACCTCTATCCATTATGTGCTCTGGAATTAAATCGGATTGTGGCTAATAGCCCTGAATCATTTGTTTTGTCTGTGTTTTGTTGTACAGTTTATTATCAGCAACTATAGCCAACACCATATTGGATGAATCATATGAAATGATTTATAAGTTTATTAAAATCAAGAATGTTGTTATATATATGTATATACCAGATGATGAGGAAAACATGTGCTATCTTGTCTGGTATTCACTATACAATACTGCATATAGAGAGGAATAGATGTAAACATCTATATAAATACTCTGAGAGAGAGAGAGAGAGAGAGAGAGAGAGAGAGGAACGCATAAAGTGTGGGAGAGGGAGATAGATGATGGTGATTCTATTTCAATAATTAACTTGCACATAGGTTTGTTTTACAGTGTTACAGTGGGAGGAAACTGGAGAAAACACACAAGGTTAGGCAGGCAATCCTACACATTGTCACATGAAAAATATCACATTAAAGTAAAGGTGCTCAGTTTACATGTGTTACCTGGTCAATAATGTCAATTATTAATATCTAGATTGCTTGCATTTTCCACCCACCCCGATCTGGCCCATCAACTATTATTCTCTATTTTCAATGGAATTTATATCTTAATGGTATTTTTTTCTTAGATAATTTTCAGGATTGGTGCACCATTTTGATAATTACCAGTAGCAAATATGATAAAATTAGTCAAATTATTATAATTAATTAATATTATATATAAGTATATAGGTATATACCTGTATATCTAATTATGATATTGATTATTAAAGTGGATATTTCAGTGTATGAAACAGATGGTACAGGTGTATATAGGCAGTGATATGACTAAAAGGTTGTGGTGTATTAGCTCCATATTTTCTATGTGACAGATGTTTATATAACTTGTGTTTTGAATCGTTATAGATTCTTTGTTTAACCCACATATATATTGAATCACAAGTTTGTGTAAGGGCTGATAATTTTCCTCTTTTATTGAAAAGTGATAATTTTAATGTCTTTTAAAATAAAATAACATTGATGAGATTGTAGCCAATGACATGTCTTAACTAGTATAGTATTGTCAGCAGATTCATGTGTAATTTCGCAGCTTCTACCCATGCCCCAACCCCCACCCCACCCACCCCCCAAAAAACATGTGTAATTTTCTGCTTCTACCCATGCCCCAAACCCCACCCCCCAAAAAAACAAAGAACAAGAATTTGTTAATGTTCAGTGTTATAGTAGTTTTCACAATAATATCTTCAAAATTGGCTTAATACTGACCAAAGAAAATGGATTTAGATCAATGCTTTCAACTATTTTCGAATGTTATTAGAGGTATGAGATATGTTTTGACAAGTAAAAGGGTAAAATAGAGATTTTCTTTATAAAAATAATAAATGATCCAGATATCAAACATGGTTGACATTTATCATAAATCAATCCCTGTAAGAAATCAATGTTTTATCTTTTGTATAATCTGGATATATTTAGATTCAGACATTTAGTACACTGCCTTATAAGCTGTGCATATTATTGAGTATTAGAGATTTGATTTGTGGATAAATACCAGTAAATTGCAATGATTAAAGTTCTTGGATCCTGTTGGGATCCAGACTGACTCCATGTTAGTCTGAATCTTACCTCATAATGAACGAAGTATATTATTATCGACTTTAACATCCCAGCCCAGTTGTCTTCCCAAAACAGGGGTGTTGGATGGCTGAATGGTTAGCACATGAGCGCTGTATTATAAGGTCTGTCATTAAGACAGTTGGTGTGGTTTCGATTCTTCGGTTGTACGTGACAAGGAGTAGGGTCGCCTGTCCAACTTCATGAGTTTTCTCCGGGTCCTCCAGTTTCCTCCCACTGCTAAAGACCCCTACGTGCAACTGAATTATTGAAATAAAATTGAACCAAGTGTTAGTCCCGAAGTGACCTAGTTTGTGTCGAGTGGACATTAAACCCCATTTCTCTCTCTCTCTGTCGCTCTCTCTCTTCTTAAAACGTCAGTTTATTTAAAGTGAATGCTCAATTTGTGTACTTGGATAACTAAACTGTTTTGCTACTTATCTAATGCGATTTTCGATTCAGTTTGAAAGTTCAGTATTCAACTTAATATTTCTCAGTTCTCTACAATAAACCATTGAATTGTTTTTCCAGAACTATCCTTTATTTCTTTATGTCTAAATTTTGTGTGTAGTTGTTTATTTTAGTTGCTTTTATCATTCCTATATCTCTGATAAAACTGTTTATTGAGACCTTCCTGCATCAGTTGTGAACAACTCTTCCATAAACCAAGCCAGCTTCAATACAGATTTATTAACTTGGACTGTGCATTAATAGCATACTGGAAAAAAGTATTCTCCTGTATCAGTAACCTTCTTAATTAAATTTCTAAAAAAGATACTTGCATCATTGCTTTACTGGCATTAAAACTACTTTTCTAAATTAAATCCCAGAAATTACTTCAAGGAACAACTGTGATGGAATCATCCCACTGATGAAAACTGATGATAAACTGGCACTAATTATAGGAAGGAGGAATCAATATGGCATAGTATGAAAGTGGAATAACAAATATGAATTATGTAATAACTAATATACCATAGTAATATAGACATTCAGTTAATAAGACACGAGGATATTCATCTGATATGTGTTAACTATAGTTATATCATGGTAATATTGACTAGTTATTAACTAGATCCTGGGGAAATACAGTTATATAACATCATACAGAACCATGAATTGATCAATACTTCTGATGATACAGCTCCATATCTTATATAAATTATAAGCAACAGAGTCTAATTCAGGTAAAAAAAATTCTTTCAGAGAAAACTCTGTGGATAACCTTGGAAGTCAATACAGTAATAATACTATGCTGGGTTTTAAAATCTGTCTTTATTGCAGGAATATTGAACATCTGAGTAAGCTCGTGTAATTTATGGTGTTGACAAATTTTAATATCGCTCCCTTATTAGTAGTGAAGGACATTATACCTGAAGCGGGGTTTGCATAGTTTCTTGGATTTCTGATAACTGATCTTGTCTAATTTGGCAGTTTAAACAGTGATTCATTTTTGTTGTATCTTTCTATGCCGAGGAATATTTCTTGGAATATTACTGCTACTACTTAGGACCACTGAAAGAGAGCTTTGTCTTCTTCATAGTTAAAAAGGTATTAGTATTGCAGAAATTTGGTAAACATTATTTAAAAATCAGCCTATACGATTAAATTGAGATGATCGTGTTAGATAGTATGTGAAATTTGTAACAATTTTGTCCATCTATCATTATTGAATGGTTTAGGAAAGCACCCTCCTTAATATTTATGTTATTTTGTTATATCCTAGAGTAATCTGTTGTTAAATAATTTGGTTATATAATTTCAGATGAAGCAGGGATGGTGATAGGGATGAGGATGTAGCTGTTGTATATCAACAAACAGCCATTCTATTCTATGGAGACTGTTTATCTGGTTGTGAATTAAAGATACCATAATGGCTCAATCACTGACAGCAGATAACGGCTGGTTTTATCGTGGGCTGAAAATCATCTGTTTCCTCACCTCTTTTATCTTTACGGTGATTGACGGGGAATCAGGTCAGTTCCTTATCTCTGCTCTTTTAATAATCACAATAATCAGGGATTTCTTAGTCACATAAAAGGAAGTGTCCTTAATGATGACTAAACTTCATACAAACCCATATGAGTTCTGAGTTACCAGTGATAACGTTAATAGAAACAGATATAGTCATATTAATCAGCTGTAGTCTCTTCTGATAGTAAGTGCAGGAGGACCGCACTACATGCAAAACAAAAATCTACAAGATAAACCTGGGCCAAGACAGAATATAGACATTGCAAAAAATAGGAATTGCAAGGCATTATCAGTAATTTGAGAACACCCGAGATATTCAACCAGAAATATTATATAGTCTCAACTATGAGTGATATTAATAAAATCTGATATGTTTATATAAAATTACTAAAATCAAGGAAATAGTAATGATATGATAAATTATAATGCAAAAAAACCCAAGTAAATAAACTCAATATGTGCTAGAATACGAGAAATTGAATACTTAAATTGGTATGGATTCAATCACTATGCTTATCACACAGCAATATTTCAACAAGATTTCACAAGTCATTTTCAAGTAAAAACCTAATGTCAGTTGCTAAATCTACTCAAAGAATTATAATACATAGTCTACTGAATCTCAGACACATTTATATTTTCATTGCTTTCTGAGCTTTTCCAATAATCTGACCGATCTGGGATTACTTAGCAACATCAAAGAAAATATTCTTAAATATATCCGGTAAGTCAATATTATGATTAGTAATAAGCAGAAATATTACAATAAAGTTCATATATGCTTACATGTAAACCCACACAATTTAAAATAATCCACCTTTTGTAAATGAAATGGGATTTATCGTCCTACTATTCTGTATGAACTGGGATAATGAAGCGGACATAAATCATGCAGAGTGTGCTATGAGAGAAATCTTGCCCGGCCCTGATCTCCACCTAAGACAATGTGTACACATGACCTCTGTTTTTCATCTAATCTGAATGACTAGCCACTGTTCTGTCCTGACAAGAGGATACCACAGTGGAAAATAACACCAATTCTAAAGTCATTTAAAACCCCATTAACATTTGTTGAAACTTGCTACCCCCTGAAATTTTCCTAAAAATATGTTCTTCAGTCAGTTAACATAAAATTAGTGGTGTTGAAACATCTTCCAATTTGCCAGATCATGAAGAGTCTGATATATTTGATGAAATAGGTTGTAAAAATTGTTAGGAAACTATCTTTTTTGATGATTATTGATGAGTTGACCACATTGGATTGATTCAGCCTGCCATTTACAGAACAAGTTACAGTCTCTATGAATAAATTAGCTTCAGAGAGTCTGATCATGTCAACAGATGATTAGAATAGAGTTTGTTGTCTCATCAACACAAAATGTCTATGATTATGTGGGCAATGCTAGGTAAGGAGAATTTTGTCCAAACTGCAGAGTTTTTGCCTGCTCTTTTTTGATTTCCGAGAGATCCTTGATATTTTCCAAAAAATTCATACCCAGGACATTCTAGTCGAGAGTCCTAAGCTCTGGCTGCTTTAATGCCACGGATTCTAAAAAAGAAAAAGGTGAATAGAAATAGCTCTGTATGTGAGAATTTTATCAAAAGCGTCAATAAGGTTATTGCCAGAAAGTACCTGAGTGAGAGTGGTGGGGTGATGATAGGTGGTCGGGTTGTATTTCCACAATGTTTACGGTTAGTGTTTTAATTTCTAGGTTTTCCCAGTATTTTTGTTTTGCTAGTGTTTTTGTTTTCCCAGTGTTTACGGTTAACGGTTTTGTTTTCCCAGTGTTTACGGTTAATGTTTTTGTTTTCCCAGTGTTTAAGGTTAATGTTTTTGTTTTCCCAGCATTTACGAATATATGTTTTATTTTTTAGTTTATATGGATAAATGGGGCCACTGTACCGGAAATGCCATATCAGTGGATAGAGACGTTTATACCTTATTTTCTACTGGAGGTGGATTTAATCATGAATCTTTGATTTGTGAAATAACATTTAAAGCGAGGCATGATAAAAGTCTGTGTTTAACATTTAAGACATTCTCTATTGATGACTGTGGTGTAACTTTAAAGATCTTTGAAAGAAGTACTGCATCAGGCAAGAACAGGGTGAGTATTACTGTGATTACTCAAATTATTTACAGGTATATATATATATAGATAAGTCGGTATGGAAAGTTATTGATCTTAAGTAATTTTAGTAAATATAGATTAAAGTTTTGTTAATTAATTTTTCTATGTGAATAAAATAAGAAAATCTTATAACAATTTATTTTGGATATTTTTTAAATCCTCTGTGTGTGGCATGGAATCTTCGACTCATTTGACACTGATCTTCAGATGATGTGTACTTCTGGGTTGACATGTATATGTTTGGTTCAGAATAAACTTAAATGTCACTGTCTAGGCAAAACACTACCCCGAATAACTGGGCCTGATGATCTTCAGAACACACTCAGCCATACACCCCCCCCCCCCCCCTACACTTGTTTAGACTTGGATTTCACTGAACAAGACAAAGAACATATTTCGTGTATATTTCAGGATATGTTTGGCTGTAATGATAGAAAACCTAATAGAATTTGTACAACAGAAAGATATTTTACTGTTAAACTGGAGAAAGCTGCCCTGAATAATAATCAGAATTATGAATTCCAGATTGATGTTCAAGAGAGTAAGTATGTAGTAAAGGACATCTTCTGATGTAAAATGAAATAAAATAGGGTTTATCGTCTCACTTTTCAGTAGCAAGTGGGCTAATGAAGAAGGGAATACTTGGTGCAGTGTGCTATGTGGAACATTTTCACCTATTTGTCTTTGAATTCCAACAGCAAAGGATTCTTTTACATGCATGTCAATGTGTATTCAGGACCCCTGTTTTCTGTCTCAGCTGTCCTTCACCACTGGCAAGAGGAACCAGGGGCTTCTCCCAAATAGAAGGATAAATCTGTTCAACTCTTGCATGCATTAACCAATATTTTTGTTTTAACTGATAATTTCAATGAAAGCCTACAAAACAATATCTGTGGTAAATGTTGTGCATAAATTAATTCTTTGAATTAGGATTAAAGCAGGCCTAATAAACTTATCAATATGAGGACCAAAGTTTCCACATTAACTAGTTTAATAATTGATCAATAATAAATTTTAATAATTGATCATTTATATAGCGCCGAATATCCAACACGAGTGTTGCTCAGTGGCGAACTATGAACTAGGAGGGATAAAAAGGATTCGTTTGATGGAAAATCATTGTGGTGAGCAAGGGCAGATTGGGCCATCGGGCGATCACCCGAAGGGCCGGTCGGACAAAAAATGAAAAAAATAATTTTGTCCAATTCGTCAAAATAACCTATTTCTGCTAAACATTATATGGGGTTGGGTGGGGGAGGGAATATTGGACTGGCCATGGAGCTATGATGATCATGTTGTATGTGGCCGGTGGCTTTAACAGGCCGCCACGCCATCACTGGAGTCTGGAATGGGCTGGTATAACAGATTTTCTGGGACGGGTGTGCTGGGTGTGGGCCGGAATTCGGAATCCTGCATTTTTTAATGAAAATATTCCTACTTTCTCAATATCCCTAAGTGGTTAATCAAATGGTCAAAATTTTCTCAACTAGTCCCATTTTTTAACCAGTTAAACTCTTGACTCTTGACGATACAATGATGATACGTTACTTAATAATATGACGATATGATAATTTTACAGGTTGATGGTTGTAAATTACTTGCAGGTCGGGGTTTGGGCCGAAATTAATCGATTTATGAGATATATTATTTGACAGAGATTATAATCAGATATGCCACCAAATCGCATATTTGAGGTTCATTTTTCAAAATTTTCCCGAGGGAGAGTCCCCTGACCCCCCGTCCAGGCTCCGTGGTCAGTAAAAGGGGGCCGCTCCGACACGGGAGCCCGGGCCAGTTCCCGGCCCCAATCCGCCCCTGGTGGTGAGAGCTGCATGTTTTGCGGACAGTTTGTCGCAAATAAAAAATCAGAGAATCATGACAAATAATCCTGGGTGGTGTGTGCAAGCTTTTGGGTTGACAAACTGACATATATTATGTTGTTTGGTTGTAGTTTTACTTGTGAAGATTTAGTGATATATAGTATGATATATTTTTTCAGGTGATAGTTTTACTGGTGAAGATGTAGTTATAACATCTATTGGTGTGTTTGTTGGTATTATAGTAACTGTTATGATTATTATACTCGTCATAGCGGTTTTAGTTATATATTGTTGTTGTAAAAAGATGCGTCACAGTGCTGGTCCTAATATAGTTTATAACCCAGCTAATACCGCCCCTCCACCACAATATCCAGTCCAACCATCAGGTAAGCCTCTACGATTAACCATTGCAGTCTTGAAATAGGTAAATAAAATGGGGTTTAATGTCCTACTGTTAGGGAGAGGAGTTACAAATTCAGATTTACTCAATGAAAATATTGCTTATAAAAAACAAAACGTCCTACTGTTCTGCTCTGACTAGGCTAATGAAGACAGGGGTAAACTATTTTAGTTAATTTCCATAATAAGAGACACCAAATTTATTCATATTTTCCTGGTTTGCCCTGTGAAGGCTATCTAGTATTTACTCCATTCTGGTTTTGTTTTTACCTTCTAAATTATTTAAAATGTATATATTTTGCTATATTTTTGGGATCATGCTCATCATTTCAATAGAGAGATCCCTTCTCTCATTTTCTTTGAACACAATCAGTACTGGTACTCAGCCCCAGCCTCCATCTGCTCCTTTATGGATTAATCAATATTGAAATATATATTTACATTTTAATGATTCGTTTCTTCCAGCCCCTCCATTACATGATCATCCAGACAGCCATCAACCAAACAATGTGAATGTCCCTCCATATACACCACCTCCACCATATTCACAATATGATCCAAGTACTGAAAAACAGCCAGTATAATATACAGCATATCGCAATTTCTGATCCAAGTACTGAAAAACAACCAGTATAATATACAGAATATCACAATCTCTGATATTCTTTCTGAAAAAAATCATTATTTGACACAATAAGCCAAAATTTGAACTAAAATTAATAAACAAGACAACATGAGCCTAACATTTAAAAAAAAACAACATTTAATCGCATAGCATTAGACTTGTCACTAAATGAAATAACAATCAGATTAAAACAATTCAATACCAGTATTTTATCTTGACCTAAATCAAGGATCTTTAGCTCATTTAAAATAAACTTTAATTACAAGTTTAGGCCTACATTTATATTTGTTATTGTATTTATCATGTCCTGAATATTTTTTTGTTACTGACATATCTCTTGGAGTAATATCACAAAGCGTCAATTGAGAATGATAAGGTCACAAAAAAAATAAATCACATTAAACTTTGAAGTTGTCTTAAAAATTTGGTTATTCTTAAATATCTCTAAGATATATCATTGTACCAAAAATAATATTAGACCATTTTCAGTAGCTTTTCGAAAACATGCCTTGTGTGAATAAGCATTTAAAGATTTTTTTTTTAAATTTGTGATATCATTATATAAATGTACACTATGTTTTAAAGTAAATTTTTAGACATTCTGTTACTTGTGACCTTATCTTCAGATTTCAATTTCATATCTGTCATTCATTTTAAAACATGCATAAATAATCATAAGATTCTTTTGTTGCAGTCAAAATATATTTAATGTACATATTTATATGTAATTTGTATTAAGTAATGTGTAATGTAATTTGTATTAAGTAATGTGTAATATGTGTTTTATGTAACTAAGAAAATGTGTGCTTATATTTATATATTAAAATATAAAGTACCACTTTGTTAGGTCGGGAAACCGTGCAATATTTGAATGAAAGTTTGAGTGAAAATGTGAGAGAATGTGCAGATCTTTATGGATTGATTGTAGTAATTGTTGAAAGTGTGACAATTTTTATGTAATTAACTTTATTGAAACATAACTGAAATGTATACTAATTATTAATTGTATGAAAAGATGGGTGATTATGTGTAATTGTGTGCTATTATTTGTGGACTGTATGAAGAAATTGGTGAAAGTGTATGCTTGGGTATGAATAATTATATGTATTTAATTTATTGAAACATAAAATAAAACTTAAAGTAGCAATATCGCTATTAAAACAAGTATTGTGTTACAAGATAAACTAAAAAAATTCTAGAGAACAACTCTATATTTGAGGAGGTTGCACTTAACACAGCTGAAATAGTAGGAGTTTGTGTATCAAATGCCCTTTTAACAATCATTATAATTAGCTTTAAATTTGATTAATGATAAAATACTCAGCTTATTAGCTTATTGCTACTTTACATGTATGGCTATTAGGTTGTGTTACTGTGCAATATTTACAGGAGCTTTAGTCTGTGTGTATGATATAAATGAATAATAATATGTATGAAAAGGTGTTTAAAGGGTGGTTAAAGGGTGTTTAGAGTATTGTGTAGTGTAGAATGTGTGGTGTAAATGAATAAGTGTGAGTGTACTATGAACAGTTTGCAGCCATCTAGGAATTGTGACGTAATATCAAACATTGAAGTCTATCAAATGATGCGTAATTGTCCAAGGAACATTTCTTAGAAGAATGTCATCCCCAAGAAGAACAACAAGAACAAGATGAGTAGCGCTTTGGGGCTCTATTCTTGGTCCAAAAATAATTGATGTAGACCCAATAATGATTGATGTGAGTGTTCAACAAACCCTGAATATCAGGCCGGCCTCTGGTGCAATATGAAAGATTGAGTGGATGTGAGTTATGCAGTTGTGTATTTGAATCATGTATATTGTGTTAGTGAATATAAAATGTGAGTGCTATATATTTAATATCTTAGCACCAATATCAGGTTGGGCTAATGTGCAATATGTAAGATAAACCTGTGAAATAGAGAGAGAATTAATTAACTCTTATCTCTATAGATGAGTAATCTAGTCATTGATGTCATTGTTATTGTATAATAGTATAAAATATTTATTAGTTATTTGTTTGTATATTTATTATGTTTTATTATATGCATCCATATTGAGTATTAATGAAAAGATATATATATAGAAATTCAAACTGAACTGGCTTTAAGTCATTGGATACATTGGATGTTTTTAACCGACATATTTAACAATACATGTATTTAAGTTCAGTTTTAAGTATTATTTTCTGGGCATAGTTTCGGATGTCAGGATAAACTATATTACATAGTTATAGAAGAACAATTAATGTAGTCTAGATCATCCAATCCCTCTTAACAACATCTTAACCAAACTGTGCACAACTGAAGTCATGTAATGCCAAACACAAGCCATGCAATGTATATAAGCAGTCATGTAATGCATAATATTTATTTATTTTATTTTATTATTTTGTGTTACATACAGACTATATTTTTGATTTATGCATAATGTATCATATTATTGTGAGGTATTATTTAAGGACTATTGAGGACTAGAATCTCAATTTAATAAATGTTTTAGCTTAAAAAAGGTCTGTAAATAGTCAAACCCTCTGTGCAATATTTATTTGTTTATTTTTCTTTTGTACATGTTATATATATATAATTTATTCTGTTTGTTTACATATCTTCAAACATATTTTAATAAAATTTGGAAAAGGTTGTTTTTGGATTATTTTCCAAATAATGCCTTCATTTTCTTCACATATCAGTTCACAATACGACAGAAAACATTGGGAACCATTTTATTTGTCTAAGAATCTAAAGAAGTAGATAATTTTTAAAATTAAACAGCTTTTGTGAGAAAGAAAACAGTTATTGTTTACCCCTTGCAGTAATTGCTCAAAATGATACTCAGTATTATAGATTTCTGAATTTGAGCCGTTGTCATAAATATTGAAGACATTTTAGATAAACTTTGTACGACTTGATATTTTAATTCCAGAAATTTATTAAATTCATCATTGAATCATATCTTTTTAATGACAAAAGTAAACAAAACTAACCATTATGACCATGTTTATTCTGGAATATTGTCATTGGCTAAAATAATCCCTGACTTAAGTTAAAAAATATCTTCAAAAATCATATTTTAATATAGACAGTAATAATTATAATTTCAAAAATTCTGCCGTAAAATTGTAAATTATTTAATCTACATGAAGATCAATACCTGTAGTTTATATGTATCATAATTTATCGTTTTATTTCTTGTGTTTATTTTGTTAATACAGAAATATATCATGTGCCATACAATGGATGTTTTTTAATTATTTTCTTCAATTTTTGAATTGATTGGTACTGGGCAATGTTGAGACCTGGTGATGATCACAGTAACACTGTGTTTGGGTGGGTGAGACCTGGTGATCATCACAGTAACACTGGTTGGGTGGATGAGGCTACCGACACCTTGTGATCGTCACAATAATACTGTGGTTTGGTGGGCGAGACCTGGTGATCATCACAGTAACACTGTAGTTGAGTGGGTGAGACCAGGTGATCATCACAGTAACACTGTTGTTGGGTGGGTGAGGCCACTGAGACCTTGTGATCATCACAATAACACTGTGGTTTGGTGGGTGACACCTGGTGATCATCACAGTAACACTGTGGTTGGGTGACACCTGGTGATCGTCACAGTAACGCTGTGGTTAGGTGGTGACACCTGGTGATCACATCACGTAAAAGTTACATACATGTAGTGTGTTGGATGTGTCTATTCTGGTTATCCCTTGTCCAATGGGGCAGGGCTGAGAGAGAGAGAGAGAAATGGGGTTTAACATCCACTCGACACAACTAGGTCATTTCAGGACTAACATATGGTTTAATTTTATCTCAATAATTTGCTTGCGCATAGGGGTCTTTAGCAGTGGGAGGAAACCGGAGGACCCGGAGAAAACCCACGAGGTTTGACAGGCGACCCTACTCCTTGTCACGTACAACCGGGGGACAGGACTGAGGGCCTGGCAATTAGAATAGTGTTGAGTCATTTGAAAAGGACAAAAAAAAAACATGTCTACTACTGTATGTATTCATCGTTGAGACAGTTAAACACCCTTGACGATAAAGAGTCCACTACATGGCTTATGCTCGTCTTCATCAGTCTGGCAGGTGCAAAAAAAGTAGATCATTTTAATAAAAAAAAATCCTGATTTATTTCATTCGTATTCGGTGAGACAAGGCGATCACAGCAACATAAAACATAATGTTGTTGGTGAAATTGGGTGTATTTCAGACATTTACAAAGTGTGTAAGTAAGATATATGGTGGGTTTTACTGGGCAGGAAATTTGGCAGAAACAACATGTTGCTGGTGATACTGGTGATGTTCACACAACAAAAGTAGAGCTTGATCAAAAAAGGTCACTTTTTAGAATCAAAATATTTTTATATTTTATCCTCTCAATATTTATGGGCCTATCAAAAAAGCAAATTTTTACTAAAGATTGAGTGAAACAACTTGAATCTATTTAACCCAGAAACTTTTATATCTTTGGATAGCTGTAACATTGACCTTATAATTAATAGTCTACCCATCTAACATTCCTGTAAATTCATTGCTTAAAACAAATTATTTGTACTTTTAAAACCAATAGTGTCACAATCTTCCATAGTGTACAGTATTATCTGTTAAAATGGTTGCATATTTAGCCGATTTAATCAAATATATTTTTCTATTGGATACACCCTCCCCCTCCTCCCCTCCCTCCCCTAACCTCCCCTCCCCTCCCCTATTATTATTTAACCTGTGCTGAGCGAAATGTATCAGCATGGACCAGTAATAATAATAACCTGGACGATCAAGACTAAATATTTTCGGTAAGTTATTTCCCTTAGGTCGTTGTCACTGGCAACCGGTCGATTGTTTACAACATGGCCGGCAGTTGTCATTATTGAAATTGTAGGTGAAGGAATACCCCTGTTCCCCGGTCATTCGTCTCTTTGAACCTTTAACGTAAGTGTAACTGCTGTGCATTAACCTTGTTATTTATTAATAATTCTGTTGTTACTTTATCAAGATTCGACTCATTTCTCTTTGATTTTGAGTTTCTCTTGTTGCGGAGGTGCCAGTCATTACGTCAGCTATTTGCTCAACCGGAGCTATAGTATATGATCAAGTGTTAACATTTTTAAAAGAGACAAACTTTTATTTTCAATTTTAATTGTATATATTTAATCATGTATATTGTTTTAAATATTTATATATGTAAAAGATTTGTTATATTTATTTTTAATTAATATATTTTCTGTGATATTTGTTTTTATCCTATAAATTCAATTACTTGAATTAGGCCTATTATGTGATATTGTTTTAATTTGTCTCGATAGATTCACCATATGTTTGGCGCAATATAGCCCGGTTGGAGCTGACGTGCCATTAAACAACATTTCATTTGTTGCGGAGGAAAATCAAATCATCAATCAATCGTCACAATTTGAATCTCATTCTCAATCAATTTGATTCAGGAGATTGAAACCATTGGCATTGCATTACCTGTCAGATTTTGGCGTTTTTTGGTTGACCTTCTTCTGAATCAGATTCATTGATTTTTATGACTGTACCGACTTTCTAGCCCAGGTAGGTAAGGTAGTTAAATTTAAATTGAAAATAACTCCTGACACGACAGAAAGCATACGTACGGTAATTCATTGTCGTAATGAGCATAATATATTGATGGTATCAACTTCACCTACTGTCTGAACTGTCGTAAATATTAAACAGATTTCTTCGATTACAAACAAACTACTTAACTTTGGTTATTATAAACTTACCTGTGTGTTTGAAGGCAACTCCTGTTAAATAAAATCCATTGCACAATTAAATATTCCAATGAGTTACTTGGAACTGTTTACTTATCAGCATCCTTCTTCTTATATATGCCATAGTTTCCATTAATAGGATAATGTTAAATAGGCACACTGTCCTACACATGACATAAAAAGCAAACCATTTTCATAAAATTTACTGTACTGGTTAGAATCCTTGAATATAGTCATAATATTGTCTTACTGAGTTATTTAAGTATTTTTCTCTTTTAGATTCACCATGTCGGATTCTCCAAATCAAAGATCAACAGCTGTATCACCAGCTAATTCACAAATCTCTGAAAAAAAATCTAGTGAGTAAATATTTCTAACTTAAAAACTACTATTCAGAATAAGCTTACAGAAGATTTGCAAAATAAAGTGTTGAATTGGGTTGATTTGATTTCTTATTTCGATTACTGATGAGACCAGTGGTACAATTTAAATTGTTTTAAAAGATTAAATAAAAGTCATTTTGTTTATTAATAAGTTTAATTTCATTTGTCTTTGTGTGTACACACAAATTATTTCAATGACCCGGTACATCTCAATTTTAGCTTTATCTGTAAATTTACAAATTTACAGCAAAAATAAATTCAAGTGGAATTGACGACACTACATTAATATTTTTCAGGAGTTTTAAATTGGACATTGTAATGTATAAATTTATAAAAAAAAGTTGAAGCAAATTCTGCTTTTGTTTTGTTCACCAATTTCTTCACTACCTGTAATTTTAGTTACCGGTAGATTAATATATAAACTTGTCTTGTAGATCTATTGTAAAAAGAAAATATATTTTAAATTATTTTTTTTTTTAAGGACAAGATGTAGTTTCTCGTCAGTCTGGTAGAGTTACCTTTCCTAACTCAGCTAAATCAGATTCTAGTCACCATTCTATCATGTCAGGTAAGTACAGTGTGTAGTTTCCTCAATAATTGTCTGTGTCTGTAAAAACATTAAGTATTAAGTAATTAAATTAAGATTGAGGTTGTTTGTGTATGTGTAAAACATCAAGTGGGCCTACATAATTTTATTATGTAGATTTAAGTTTTATACTGTTTTAATGTTTTTCTAAAGAACTTCTGACTGTGCACAGCTCTGTGGTGGAAGATGAGTGCTTTTATTAAATTATGAATATTGTTTTAAAAATAATAATAAAAATTAACCTTATGTGAATTGCATTTTTTATATGCCCACATTTTCATGTGGATGTATATTGTCATCGCCCCTGTCCGGACATCCGTCTAGACTTTGTTTGCGGTCACTCTACAGGTCACAATTTTTATCCCATTTTGACAAAACTTTACATATAGGTCTATCTCCCACAGATCTCGGTTCCTTTCAAAATTGGCATGTATCGGACCGTAACTTAATGGATTTATTTATGGCCCCCGATTGTACGATAAATCATGATTTTAGCTTTTTGATGAAACTTGAAATCTATGTTTATAACCCAAATATCTTGGTTCCTTTCGATATATACGCATATTGCATTGTAACTTCCTGGGGTATGGCCCCTGATTGTACAAAAAGTCAAATTTTTAGCTTGTGGTCCCTCTGGAGGTCACAATTTGTATCTGATTTAAAAAAAACGTTTAAATATATCACCGTTACACCCTGACCCCAATAAAAGTTAAAGATACATTATGGGAGATATTTATAGAGAGATGGCCATTCTTGCTATAACAGTTCAAAAGTAGATGATGAAAGAAGAATATATTGAAAAATTCAGTCAAATTACTTTATTCTGAACATAGTTATCATCGTTGTAATATTTGCCTAGAAATGGTAGCGAAATGTGTCTTCACCTTCGCCGAACGTTTGATTGACAGGCGTTAATTCCACCTACATATCTCAATTATCAAGTAAAGTTTTCAATGGCATACGGAAACGCTTTACAGCGGCCTCGCTAAGTACACTCTATCATTTAGCCTCGATCTAACTGACGTATTTTCATCAGGTTACCCATATCTGATTTAATCAATTAGTGAAACCCTATTTAAATCCGAGCTGTAGCCGAGCCATCCGTGGGTCTACAGAGTTGATATTGGTCTTGTTGTTTAAATAAAGATCTAATTTATAATTTCTATAACATCTGAAGCCTAAATTAAGACTTGCAATAATCAGATTTAGCTCTTGCATAATGCATGTTTAAGTTTGAATTTCGCAAAAATTTAAAATACATGTTTATATCCAATAGATCTTGGTTCCTTTAGATATTTGTAACTTCCTGGATTATGGCCCTTGATTGTACAAAAAAATCCCATTTTTTTTAGCTTGTACTCTTTCCATTCCCTGCAATATGTGGGCGTATCTTGCATACTAACCGCTAGTCTTTTATTTACAGATGATATGATGCCACCAGGAAATCCATTTAAGATGCCTCTAGATAGCGATATCTTTATGTTAAGAGATAAAGAAAGACAGAGAAAGAAACAGGTGTGTTCTGTCAAATTTTACAAATTGGAATTCTCTTTGTCAATGAAATCGGCATCAATTGGTGAATTTTTAATTTTTGAATATTATTACTGTAGTGTAGTACTAATTTTGTATTTACCCAGAAAATTAATACTCTCCTATAACTGTAGTAAAAATCTGAAACTAAATTATATTGAAAAAGGATCAGAATTCTTTTTATCAATTTATTTTGTCTTTTTAAAATACAAAATGAACAAAGTTTGTTTACATAAAATAACTACAAGAAGTTCATATAGAGTATGTGATTAAACAAGGAGAATGAAAATCATTGTTATTCATTATTCTGTTTTTAAAGCAAAGATTAAAACAAAGACAATTGAAAGTTCATGAGAAAACAACCTATGCTACCCGTGTTAATTTCCGTACAGCATCAATGATTCGACCCGTTGATTCTGATGAAGAAATTCAAGAAGAAGATCCAGACAAATCTGTAGCTGTTAAAGATGATCCCCAGTTTACAATCGCTGTTACTAGAGGTTCGTACTTATTTTATGAAAATAGTTTCTCTTTTTAGTAAATCACCAATCAATTTGGTTATTCTGTGCCACATCTTTTAAATGATACTTTTTATGAGTTTCTATGTAATCAAGATATTTCGTCACCAGATGTTGGATATATCACCTTAGTCCATGTTCAAAAATTCATATTTGCAAAAATAATAATCACATTGGTGGTTAGAAAAAAAGGTAAAAGTCTTGACAAATCGGCCCCGTTTGTCGCGACGCAGGAGCGCCATCACGTAGTGATCTCTAAAACTATTATGGCCACTTCCGCCTTCATTTCTATCAGGTTTGGAGCTCAAAGGATGGCAATAAACTCGCTCTAACTTGACTGAATGAAAAATCTAACATACCTTTCGACTTTGTAGAATAACAATCTATAATTCTAGTGATCTTATTTTTGGAAATCTTATCGGATTCCTGAGATAAGATGTATTTTCTTCCTGATCACCATCAAAACATTGAAGAATCAATTATGTCGTAAATTTTATGTTAATTAGATTGCCATTACTTAGATTTTCCTTTTTCTCACTGTTTTATTGTCGATTTGGGATGATACGAATATTTAGTATATATTAAAGACGTCTCTATTCATTTGATCTCATTTGACTTTTAAACCTATGTAATGTACATGAATTTTAGGTACTATTTTTGTTTGCGGATGAATACAGCTGTTCTGTATTGTATTCTGTTGTAGACTGTGAAAATTTTGGATCCTTGTGTCGACGCTTTAAATCACATGGATCCATTAAACCTTCTAACTGTTTAATTCCATTTTTTTCATTGAAGATTCTTATATTACAAATCTTTCCTTACACTAGAAACGTAATCACTGGATATCAGAAATGTAGACAAATTCAGATCCATAAATGAGTTATTTGAAATTCTATCCTTACATGTATAATTTTATATTTGCAGATAGGCATGTAGAGAAAGAATCTTTAGCAGAATATATTGCTAAAAAACGGGAAATGTTTCTAGTTCAGGTGAGAAAAAGAAAATTCTTATTAAACTCTAAATGTCAAAGAAGAAAAAAATTATTGTAGGTCATTATTATAATATCATGTTATGGGCTTTTATGTCTCTGGTTACCCCTATAATTTATTATGTAAAGCATTTATATTGATATCTGAATTTAATCAAATTGGGTTCTTTTTCTTTCATTTTCATTTGGTATTTTGTTATTAATTAATAGATTTTAAATATTAAACATACATTATGCAAGAGCTAAATCTGTCTATTGCAGGTCTTTCTTTAGGCCTGAAATGTTATCTAAATTATTAATTAGACATTAATTAACTTATCCAGACCATAATCAACTCTAGATGGCATCGCTAGCCTGCGATCTTAAGTGGATTGTGAGCCGATTTACTGCATAACTTGCCTTCTCGATTAAATGGATAATCAAGACTATGCTGTTTATCGTACTGACTTTAGTAATGATGACCGAGGCTAGGCAGAAATTTCATTCGCTTAGTTCTCGGTTCATAGTGGATCAATTTGAATGAAATTTTCAGCAAATTGCCTTTACGTTATCTAGTTTTTAACTATTATAGTGAGAACTGCCAACTCGTTATCGAATCTCCCATAATGTATCTTTAAATAAATTTATTTTGCAGTATTCACTTGGTGTGAAAAGAGATGAAATGAGGAAATTAGAAGAAATTGCTCAAGCTGAAGAAAGAAAATTAGAATTGGCAGAACAATATTTAGAAGAAGACGCTGCAATGTTTGATGAATTTTTAAAAGAAAATGACAAAAATTCTGTAGAAGCTATCAAACTGTAAGTTATAAAGTTGAAAAAGAAACCAGAAACTAATTTAGTAATAGTAACAAAAAGTAAAGGGTTTATTTATAGATCTATCACCAGACCACATATAATTAGAGAAAGAGTGGGAGTCTGTAAACGTTTGACCCAAATTTATCAATTAAAATTCACCAATATATTACTTTCACCTAAAATAAAACTCTGTGTCAGAAAAAAACATATTTCCAAAGACCCCCCACTTATGGGTTTAATTCCCAACATGAATATCCTGGCTCTTAAGTTATCCCAGATAGAACTTGATTTTTGATTCATTAAGTTATTATTTAATATTGATTTTTATTCAAATATTTTGTTTTTCAGAGCCGAGCAAGAGACAAAATTAAAATTAGAGAAAGTAGGAGAAATTAAAAGAATTCATGCTCAAATGATGTCAATAAAATCAGAGATATCTAAGTATGAAGATACCTTAAAAGAATATCAACTCTACAGGAAATTCTTAGAGGCTTTAACACCCCAGGTAATGTAAAAATGTTTATTTGGTTGTGATATTACCTGTCAATTAGATTACATCAGATATTTCAATTAATTTAACTATTTCTTGGCTGATTTGAGATAAACAAAAGCTTAAGGGGAGGCAAGGGTCGACAAATGTCAATTTTGACTCAAATTATCGATTTTTTATATTTGCATATTTGTGATGTTCATTCATTTTTATTTCACTTGTAATTAAAGAAAATACATATAAAGTGGTTTATGATAGAAAAAATGCACTTTTCAACACTCTTGCAATTCAAATTTTGCTGTTTTACCTCTTTATGTCTTAATTTCTCAAAAAGTAAAATATCAACAGTCGACAACCTTACAAAAAATCATTCTTGAAAAGTTTACAACAGATATATCTGAAACTTACACACATACTTAAGTAATGTTAGTTCCATGCAAATAAGGATTTTCAGTACTCTAAATGAATTTTTAGTCTAGTAAATTGGCATTTGAAATCTCTCATTGAAAACAACATTTTTCATAATTTTTGTTTTGTTGACATAGAATGACATGTAAGGACACAATAACAACACTATATTGATAATTGCACAGAGAAATGTCCTAGGAACATTTTAAAAAAAGTTCCAGGCTTCTACCTTTGATACTTTCAGAGAATGATTTTTTTTGTTTCCATGGTAACCAGTAAAGCAGATTCCCCCAAAACTGCCGATTAGCCTATTTTGTCGATGTGAACAATTCCTGAAAATTTCAAGTTGATAGCATTATTAGAAGCCAGTTATTTTAAAATTCATATTTGTCGAGCAGTGCCTCCCCTTAAAAAACTCATCAGACATGGTTGTAGAATATGTGTAAACCCTGGTACAAACTAAACTGCTCTCCATGTGATTGATATAGATAGTTTGTGACACTCTCTTACATAAGAACTATGATCCTTTAAAGTTAACACAGCTCGGATATTATTTATAATGTGCAGAGCTCAAATATATGCAGGAGACTTTTTATCTTTGTACAACCATATAGGCCAGTGGTGTTTAAGTAAGATTCTCTGTGGCACCAGTTTGAGGCATGTAGTATAACAACGAGACAAAGTCTCTATTAAGAAGTAATTAATTATATTAGTTCGCTTGATTGAAAAATGCAACAAATTCACTCTGAAACGGAATAGCAACTTGGATATATAAAGACAAGCATAAATATTTGATGTGAAGAATAGTACACCCTTTATCCAATCTCACTGCATACAGGTACCTCTTTGCATTTCACACGTTAGCATAAGCAACATATTTCGCCTAGAAGAGAATTAAATGCCACTAAATATTTAATGGAAACTAAATGGATGAATTCAGAAAGGGAAGGTCAGCTACAAAATTTTCTGGTGTTCCTAAACAGATGAATATCACAATACTTTTATTTCAAAAATGTTTTAACTACAGGAATGGGCAGAAGATAAGATTAATGAAAAAAAGAAAATAAGAGAAGAAAGAAGAAAAGAACGTGAGATGAATGCATTAAATGCTAAAAAAAGTGAAATGGAACAATTAGAGAAAACTAATTCAGCTGCAATGAAGCTCAAGAAGAGATTGGGAAAAACTGGTACACCTAAAACTAGTGTTTCATCTTCCAAAAGGTATTTGATGTTAACACGAAATAATGCATTAGATTTTATACTGGATGAGGTACTACCTGCCCTGTTACTGAAATACCTGCTTTTCACTATTATCAAAATTTGGGCTTTTATCTTGACTTTGATCAGGTTGGTTATTTAAAATTTAAGTGATCATTTTATCTATTTATTTGTTTATTTTAGTCAACTTGATACAGAGAGTACATCATCTTCTATGGTAGAAGAGGAAGAAGACAGTGATGAGGTAAGATTTATTTATTTTATAGTAAGACACTGTCGAAGGAAAAATGTTCTTCTGTTTTTAGGTATTCATGTTAGTCTAAAGATATTTATATTTAAAATTGTGTTCATTGATGCACAGATGCAGACCGGTCGACTCCTGTTATTAATTTATTTAATTCTTATTTTCAGGAATTAGAACTTTTTTTCTCAGACTCCCAACAATTATTAGATATATTTGCTGAATTAGAAGAACAGAATTTATCACTTATTCAAAACAGTCAGGAAACAGAAGAATCTCTAGAAGAAATGAAACAAACAATAAAACAAACAAAGCGTAAAATGTAAGTTATAATTTTTTTTTGTCTGATGTCAGTTTATAGTCTGTGCAAGTCATTTGATTGTGGTGTCATTTTGATTTTCTGTTGTTGTTTGAATGTTCATCTTGTCATTTTGAAGTAATTTCATTGTAACATCATTTGATTGTCTGTAACATCATTTGATTGTCAATGATTATCATTTGATTGTCAATGATTATCATTTGATTGTCAATGATTATCATTTGATTGTCAATGATTATCATTTGATTGTCAATGATTTTTATTTGATTGTCAATGATAATATTTGATTGCCAATGATAATATTTGATTGTCTGTGAAATTATTTGATTGTCTGATATTATAATATTTTGATTGTCAATGATATTATTTGATAGTCTATGAAATTATTTGAATGTCAATGAGATCAATTGATTGTCTATGATGTCATGTAATTATCCGTGGTTGCTATGATATCTTTTGGTTGCTATTGATATCTTTGTTTGTCATTGATATCATTGTCATTTGATTGTCTTTTGATTATCAGTGATGTCATTTGGTTGTCTATCATGCCTTTTGGTTGTCTGTGATGTAATGTAGTTATGAGAGAGAGAGAGTTTAACATCCACTCAACACAAACTAGGTCATTTCGGGACTAACACATGGTTTCATTTTAATTCAATAATTCACTTGCGTGTAGGGGTCTTTAGCAGTGGGAGGAAACCGGAGTACCCAGAGAAAACCCACGAGGTTGGACAGGCGACCCTACTCCTTGTCACGTACGATCGAGGAATTAAAACCACACCAGTTGACTCAATGCCAGACCGTATGATACAGCGCGCACGTGCTAACCATTCTGCCATCCAACCCCCCGTAATGTAGTTAGGAGCCAATGATATAAATTGTCTTTTATTGTAACATGAGCCATTATATATCCATAGCATCAATTTTATGTTTTACCTTGTCCTTTCAGATAATGATTTTTTTTTTATTTAAAGGGAAAAAGAAACCCAGATATTAAAAGAACAAATAGATAAATTAAATGCTCAAATACAAAAAGAAGAAGCCAAAGCAGCAGATTTAAAAATGAAATCAAAGTAAGGATTATTTATTCTCATATAATATTAATTAAAATCATAATAGATCCAGTATTATAAATATGAATGAAAAATTATGCTTTTCTGTCAAGATTGAAAAAATACAAATTTTTATTGCTAGTAAAAGTACCAATAAATGAAATATAGATGATTAAATATAGATGAATTATGAAAAACTTCTACAAATAATTGTTTTATTTCAGGATGTTTAACTATGGTGAATTTAAAGCAGAAGATCAGGAAAAGATGCTGGCATCGTTAAATCGTAAAGTAGAAGAAGTTTATCGGGGATGTATTGGTGACAACGAAGCAAACATCAGGTTAGTGGAGACATCTGGTGTTGAGTTACAGAATCAGAGTTTATTAGTCAGAGACCCGTCCAATGTTTCTGTTGTCATTATTGTAATTGTCTTTTGGTTATGAATAATGCATTAGACAGCACATGTTATGTTAAAGAGACATTTGATGAAGAAAAAGTCAATTAAAAATTTGTTGATGAATGTATGAAATTATATTTTTCTTATCAAATTTGAAAAGTATAGAAATACTGATGTCATGGCATAATTTTGGTAAAAAATTTATTGAAAAGCTTGTTATCTCCAAGCAAATAATCAAATAACTGTTCAAATATTTTTTTTCATAAAAATGTCTCTTTAAATTTAGTATATTTTGATTACATTGCTTGCTGACTTATTGTTTTAAAAGGTATACAGTTCTTCACCTTTGATATTCTCAAAATATTACTTTAAAACAATATTATGTATTTTATTTCCTAATGCTTTTTTAAAAAGAATTACTCTAAAAGAAAAGTAATGTTATATTTGGTATTAGAACATTTAAAATCTGGTATCATGGATTATAAAGTACTAGGGCTTTTCATGGGCTAACCTGCCAGAAAATACTGAAATTTTTAGTTTAAAAATTCAAAGAATTTAATTGTCAGTGTGGTGTTGGTGAAGGACTGTGTACCTGAAATTTGCTTGATTTGTTATGCTTAGTGTATGCATGTAATGCTTGCTTATTATTGTAGAATTTACTTGTTTCATATGCTTATTTATACAATTTTGCATGTTAATGCCCGTATATTGTGTTAGTTGCTTTTATTTATGCTTTTGCTTGGTATATTCATTCACATTGCTTTCTTTTTCTCCAGCAGTATATATACACATATTTTCATTTGTATGCTCTTTGCTTGATATCTATTCACGGTTCTTTTTCTCATACAGCATAAATAACACATTTTTCAGGTTAATTCAGTGATTGTTTTATGGATGTTTACCATGGTTGCAAGTTGCTTCAATAATAATATTGTGTTGATATCACAGTACTAATTTATTTTATTCTCAAGCATGCACAAAAAGTTAATAACCTGATATTATTAATTCACAATAAGAACAACCAGTAAGATGTATGTGACCTTAGTAGAACTTGAATTGAATTTGGTAGACGTTCTCAATGATACAAGTACTGACTGTAGTACAAAATATAGAAGGAAAATATGAAAATATTCAGATAAAAAGTGCAGATAAATTTAATAAGATAAATAGAAAATATTTTGTCCTGTCTACCATTTTGTTTACATATTATAACAATTTTCTATCACTAATGCATTTATTTACACAGCGATGTAACAGCACTGCTTGAATTATTAACAACACTGATAGCACTGTATTATATGCTATGGTCTTTCATTTTATCACAAGAGTAGTTATCACACATTACCTAAAGACAATTTACCACTGTAAACTTTGATATTGTAATTTAACCTACAGGTGGAGCCACTGATCCGAATGCTTGCTGCCTTGATGTTGATTCATCCCTTGATCGAAACCAAATATAAATTGTTTTATGTTGTTTTCAGATGTTAGTTTTTATAAAATAAATTGTTATAATTTTGATGTTATAAAAGTAATTTAAGATGTAGCAACATTCCCCAAAGTGTATTCAGGTGACTTTTCTCAAAACTAGCACATTAGTGTGAAATTGTATCAAACCTGGATGACTTAATGTCATTAATTGAATAATTTGTTCTGGCAGGTGGACATTCCTTCCGGTTAGGTTTTAATCATATAAATTGTAGAGAAACTGATCCATTACTGAACAGTTCACAAGTCCAGGGTAACCTGAATATTGCGTCACCCAATGTTGTTAGCTCTTAATTTATTGATAACATCAAGAATTGTAACAAACCAGAATGTATTTTTTACCACAAACTAATTGTAATGATAAATCATAGATATGTTTAATCATAAATCTTGAAATATATCCAGCACTCTACAGATGTTGACAAACATAGAAAACAGAATGGAAGAATTATTTGAACAAATAGAAACAATGCCACAAGACAAAGTGGAAGCTGCAGAGAAGGTAATGTTTGGTATTTAATGTGATGGACCTATGTCTTTGATTTACTTGTTGCTTGCCTAAGCCTCAACTCTTAGATGTTTTACAGATTTTCTGGTTTAGGGGGAGTGTTGTTGAGGGTCAGGGTGCTGGACCCTTGATTGGAATGTCCAGAGTTTGAATCTGACATGCAACAATAATAACCTTGGGAGTTTTCATGCTCCGTCTTCAGTATGGCTAGTTTTTCAGATGGTACAAAAAATCCAAAGTCAAGCCATGTATAAAAAGAATTGACTGTCACTACATAAGAGAAAATGAAAAAAAAAATAGAAAAAGTCTGTGCATTACCATGTTTTTATTAAAGAGCCTATCTCAATTATTTTTTGGAGAATAAAACTGCTTAATTATATGTTAAAAGCCCTTAAAATCCTCTATCTTAGGGCCGAGCAACTAACTCAATAGTCTTCATCTGGAAATGGAGACTGGTGTACTAAGCTGTATTATACAGTGTCTGGATAAAACCAGACTTTTATTTTCATAAAATTATGTGTAGGCAATAGATTATCAGGTTACCCAACGAAAAAATTGACCTGAAATCTTAAAAGGGTTACATGTTCGGATAAGCGGTTTTGACGTTCATGTCCAAATGATTCAATATTTTGAGCTGAAATTTTGAGACAAGGTAAATACACCATTCCTCTATATTTTGATGTACACAGACTTTTATTTCTGAGACTCTGCTAAAATCGGGATGGTCCCTGAAAGTATAGTATGAATAAAAATAAGGAAATATACAGGTCTTTTATATTTTCCTCGTAACTTGTTACTTCAGTCAGTTATATAAGGACAACTCGTGTTTGCCAATTTTTGCGTCACTTCCCATTTTTTCAAATCTTTGATAAGCATCTGCTGCAGCAATGATCTCCTTGTTAAAATTATATCTGGAATGTGTTGAACCAGTTCTATCAGTGATCACGTGTTGATGACTGACAACGACATTGTCCTTTAAACCCCAATCAATTCTATATATTTGATTAACATTATGTTTTGTTAAATAAATGTGGCTGATCATTCTTGGATTCTTTTAATTATGTAACACAAATAAATTATTATTTTTTATCAACCTATTAAAAGCAAACCATGCAACATATCAAAACAGAAACCCTATACTACTGCATTCAAACTTGTTGAAGCAATGAGCTTATCTATGTAGTATTATAGGGTGCAGATTTATCAAACAAAATAGTGCAAAGACTATGAGTACTAAAGTGTTATAAACTATTGTTATGAATTAAAAATCATTTTGAGTCTGATTTTGTAGGTGAACAAAAAGGGTTGTCTGTAGTCATGAAATAATGGATAATGATAATTGATTACACTGCTAAAAATAAGAATGTAATTGCCCAGCCCTGAATATGTGCATGTAGTCACATTGCAAGTAAGATTTATAATGTTAGAGTAGTAATCTATAAAAATATCTGTACATTTAATTTCAGGCTAAAGAAAAAGAAAGAAGATTAAAGATGAGGGAGGAAAAGATTGAACAACAGAAGAAATATCAAGAAGAAAGAGTTAAACGAGCTTTAGAACGGGCGAAGGCTGAACCTAAAAAACAGGTATACTTATATTGTACATTACAAATTTTAGACTTTAGTTATTTTCAAACTCAATAAAATTATGTGTCTAAACTGTAAAGTTTACATCAGCTTATTTTGAATCTTAATCTTGTGGCCATGTTTCTTGTGAAGAAATCTTCTAAAGACTTTATTTTTGTTTTCCATTTCAGACTGGCAAGAAATTAGTTTTCCGTTCCGAACCTCCTCGATTAAAGAAAAAAGAAGATGAAGGTGCTGATCAAGCTAGTAAAGAGGAAGAAGAATTAGCATACTTCTTTACATGGTAGTGACTACCATGACTACTGTCTCTTAGCATTATCTGTTGCATAGCAACCATTACTATACCAACTGTTTAAAACATAAATTTTGCCTATAATAATGGCCACACATGCTTGAATCAAAATCCTGGTAATGTTTTATGAAGAACTGAATATAAATAGTATAGAAATTGTTTCTAAAATCTGGTGCTAGTATTGTCGGCTCTAAATTTAGATGTATTCAAGCAACAGTAATAAAACTGGCAGTGGAATAGGAGTTACATGACGTTACTTACATTATTCCAGTTGTCTTCAGGCCTATGAACAATTTCATAAAGGTTTTTTTTTTTTTGCAGCGGCTAATTGTTATGTTATTGTTGCTATAGATCAGCATTTGATATGTTATATCATGATTTATTTTTGTCCCCCGCCTTTCGAAGAAAGCAGGGGACTATTAAAATGGGTTCGTCCGTCTGTCTGTCCGTCTGTCTGTCCGTCCGTCTGTCTGTCCGTCACACTTTTTGGGACACAATAACTCTCTTCCTAATTGAGCAAGAATGTTCAAACTTGGTGTATGTGTTTATTAGGTCAATGCCTTGATGGAGTTCGAAGATGAGCATTTTCCGCTTAGGGTAAGCAGAGATAAGCAATTTGATTGGTTGATGCTTTGGGACACGATAACTCTCTTCCTAATTGGGCTAGAATGTTCAAACTTGGTGTATGTGTTGATTAGGTCAATGCCTTGATGGAGTTCGAAGATGAGCATTTTCCGCTTAGGGTAAGCAGAGATAAGCAATTTGATTGGTTGATGCTTTGGGACACGATAACTTTTAATTGAGCTAGAATGTTCAAACTTGGTGTATGTGTTTATTAGGTCAATGCCTTGATGGAGTTCGAAGATGAGCATTTTCCGCTTAGGGTAAGCAGAGATAAGCAATTTGATTGGTTGATACTTTGGGGCACGATAACTCTCTTCCTAATTGAGCTAGAATGTTCAAACTTGGTGTATGTGTTGATTAGGTCAATGCCTTGATGGAGTTCGAAGATGATTATTTTCCGCTTAGGGTAAGCAGAGATAAGCAATTTGATTGGTTGATGCTTTGGGACACGATAACTTTAGTTCTAATTAAGTGAGATTGATGAAACTTGGTGTATAGTTTCATTACAGTAATACCTTGACTAAGTTTGATAATGAGCATTTTCTGCTCAGGGTAAGCAGAGCGATACGCAATTTGATTGGTCGAGACTTTGGAAAACAATAACTCTCCTACTTTGATTGTTAGACTATAAGTAAAGATATACTGTTTGATTGTTCAATACTTTGTAAAAGATAATTTGTGATAAATTTATATGTGTCCTCTAATTATTTTCCTATTTCGGCGGGGGACATCAGCCTCACTGTTGGCTTGTTGTTATATTTATGATAGAATAAGAAAAGATTGTTATATTTATGATAGAATAAGAAAAGATTGTTATATTTAAGATAAGATTAAGATAGGTATTGTTATTTATATTAAAGTAAAATGAGAAACATAAAATAACTTGTTTTTTGTTCTTGATGGATCTATGGATTGGATATGTTTCTTGGTTTATTTGGGTTTTCAACTCCTTCCAAAAGTAAATTTTGTAAGGAAACAACTGTCTACACAGAAATAACAAATTTTTTAGATAAAATATTTGCACAATATTTGTTGGAAAGGGAAGTATTAATATTCTACTCTTATGGTAGTAGTATCAAAGCCAAACATTTTTGTCTTCGAACAAAGTTCTAGCCAAAAAACAAAGCAATTCGATCCCAGGCCATTTTATAATTATACCGGGGCTTTACTCTCATGTTGTTATCCACTGACTACCCGAGACCCAAAAGCTTCCATATATTGCTGTTGGGAGCCACACTATTTCTATCCCATTTTATTTCTTAATGGGCTGTGTTTTAAGGTCTTTGACCTCAGAAGCTGCCTCCTGATGTAATTTACTAAATATGTTAAAAAAAAAAAGCACACCCGCAGCATTTAAGTGACATTAAGATAGCCACTAAGTTGTCCGGGGAGTCAACAAGGGTTGTTGAATATTATGTTCTTTCGTCAGAAATGAAAACATTTACAACACACTAAAAATCTAACAACCCATTTTGCTTCTAGTTCTGCCCTATACTAACAATTAGTATACAAAAAATTTAAAATCAATTGCCATAATCATTGGAAATCGTTGAAAATCGATAGGCTTCTTTGTCTCAATAGAGACTTTTGGCAAGTGCAATTTCCTGGTCCGTATCGCGTATCCGTATGGATTTTGCGTGTGACGTCATCAATGTCTGTGTATTTCTCATACGTGATACGGCAGCACGTATGGAACGGCTACCATACGGAAATGGTCCGTATAACACTGTCGTCTTTTTACTGTCTTTTTTGCTACTTTTAGACGCTGAAATGTTGCATCATAGCGTTTTTATGAATCTATGTGTATCCTAGAACACGAAGGTGTATATTTGATGTGATTTTAACAGTGATAACGACTGGAATTTAATCATTATTTTTGATGGGTTTTTTTCTCGGAATTTTTATATTTTTCCCGCCTGTCTGCATACTGGTTGATCTACGCGCTAAACTTTCTGAAATGATACATAAGTGAAACCAAAAATTGCTAAAATCTGCCAAAACTCTAAAACTACATTGACGCAACGTATCACGTATACGGATGGGAAAAATCCGCTTGCCAAAAGTCTCTATTACCTTAAACACTGTGTATAAATTTCAAGTCAGTATTAACATTAGCGTCAAGTCATAACTCTTGCAATAATTCTTCATCTCATGGTATTAAACACTGTGTATAAATTTAAAGTCAATTGGATATTAACTTTACCCGTAGATGACCTACGGGGGCGATGACAATATATGACCACATTTCAATGTGGGCATATAAAAACGGATTGGCTATTCACATTCAGGTGTTCTATTTGCATTTTTTTAAAACTGATACTTTGTGAAATATGAGTCTACTTCTTTAATCCATCTCCAAGTAATGACATACTTTAAAAAGATAGGTTGCCAGGCAACGAAACATATGCCCACAGCAGCTAAATCGTCCGGGCAGTCAACAAGAGTCATCGCATATTTTTACTTTTTCAGTAAGGCTGACCTTAAAAATATCTTTGTTTCACCAAACCCGACCCACAATCGAGGAGAAGGGTCGGTAGGTCGGGTTTTTTTTCAGATTTTTTTTTTTAAAGTTAGAGAAATCAATACAGAAAACTTATTAGCTGTATACTACAGATTCATTAATTTTGTTTAATGAATTTGGGGTCTGACGTAAAAAGTAACGAACTGAAAGTCTTTTTATTAAACTTAAGAGCTAATTTGACAGCTTAATATAGAGCGAAGCTCTAAAGCACCGCGCGAAAGCTCTTTTCCGGTAACACAGGAGCGTAATTGAAAATGTCACCCACAGACTTTTGATTAAAAAAAAAATTCAGCCGGAACCGGATACACTGGGCAAAACAGGCAATGCGCATGTCAACTTACCAAATCTCGTCCAAGCGAGATCACGTAACTATCCACCAAATCTCGCCCAAGCGAGATTACGCGCCTCATAGAAATATTTCTATGACGCGTCTAATCAATGACGTCAAATATTTTTTACGTCAATGAAAATAATTCTCACACTTTTTTGTTCTTTTTTTAAAAACAAAATTAATGTATAAAATTTAGATCTCAATAAAAACTAAATTATTTAATATTTTTTGTATCACTTGAGAAAATTAATTATGAATGAAGGTTTTATATTTGACAATAATCAGCTTCGCTCTACTCAGGCAATGCCTGTTACATATTAATTTTCCGGGTGGAAACATTCGTCTTCTTTATTCAATTGGCAAAAAAATCAATGACATCGGGAATTTTTCGTGATGCCCGACTCGCACACGATTTGCCACGAACTTGAAGTGTGAAACTCCTTCAACACGTTTTTAAAGATAGTGCGGGTTGTGCCTTCATTTTTCTCGAAAACGGATATTGAAAATATCGTCGTTATGTTTAAAACTACGCACCACAGACATAGAAGCAGAATCATTTCGTGGGAATGGACGTGTATTCGTCTGCAACCATTTTATTGAGAAGCGACACCTATGACGCTTTCGTCTTGATCAACCAGTTTCAATAATGAATCAAACCATAGCCATAGTAAAGGGAAATAACTCTCGTGATATATTTCAGGTTGACACACAAAATAAAATAAAAAGATCGTGGAAAAGTGCAATAAAATAATTTAAGTCGGGGGTGGTTTTAGTTAGTCGGTCGCGTTAGGCGAAACAAAGATATTTTTAAGGTCAGCCTAATGAAACATTTATAATACACTAAAATCTGATTAAGAGTAACAACTCATTCAGTAATTATCAGAAAATCATTAGAATTTGTTTGGTTTTTATAAATTTCTGCCCCATGCTAACGTTTAGTATACAAAATATTTAATATCATGGATTTAGCTGTTCAAGTTATCAAATTTCATTGAAAATCAATATACTTGTTCGTTTCAAGACCTGAAACTCTGTGTGTAAATCAGATGATAACATAAGCCTCTAGAGTGTCACAAGATTTTTCAAAGTGATCAAAGACCATAACTTTGGCAGTAATTATCGGAAATCATTGAAAATCGATAGGATTCATCGTCTCATGACCTTAAACACTGCGTATAAATTTAAAGTCTGGCAGTAATTATCCGAAATGGCTGAAAATCAATAGGCTTCATCACATGACCTTAAACACTGTGTATAAATTTTTCAAAGAGATCAAGGGCCATAACTCTGGCAGTAATTATCCAAAACCGCTCAAAATCAATAGGCTTCTTCGGCTCATGACTTTAAACACTGTGTATAAATTTAGAGTCAATCGGATATTAACTTTAGCCTCTAGAGCATCCACAAGATTTTTTGAAGTGATCAAGGGCCATAACTCTGGCAGTAATTATCCGAAATTGCTGAAAATCAATACCATAAACACTGTATAAATTTAAAGTCAATCAGATATTAACTTTAGCCTCTAGGGCGGACGGACGGAGGCGACGCCAATATACGACCACATTTCAATGTGGGCGTATCAAAAAGAAGATCCAAGTGCAGTTTGGGTAAATTATTTATATATATATATAGTGTACAAAACTTGCATCTTATTTAGTAACATTTACAGTATGAGCTAGTTTATAACAGAACAAACAAAATATGACAATAATAAATGTAAGACTTATTTTTAAAGACATAAAATAATCAACTTACATTTAGATGTTAGAAACCCTGTTACATTTACCCCCATATTCCTAGAACATGAACTACATGCAATTAGAGAGTATCTCAGCAATAATCAAGAATATTTAATCTCTATTTGGGTTGGTTAATATTCAGGAATCTAGTGTAAAAGTCAATATATCATAGATGTAAACAAACTTTATTTATTCGCTAAAACAGATTGGGTTTTTTTTATTAGTATATGATGGCTACCAGTAGAAATAACTGTATGAAGATAGCAATTTCAGAAATCAAAATTCTTAGGCGGCAAATTCACAAGGTTTTATAAAAAAACCTTTTATTCCATGTTTAAAAACACATTTGAAAATCAGTGCTAGCGCCATAGCTAATAAGATGACTACCGGTAATTTCATCAATGATGCTGGGGTAGAACACAAGATACCACTTTTCATTTCACAAAGCTAATGAACTTCTCTGGCATTTTTATATTATTTAAATCAGGTGTAGGTGTGCTGTTAAAAATATTTATTGGCCAATGATTAATGTATATGTTTATGATAAAGACTTTACACTGATCTATTTAAGTCTACATTATCATACATGTTAACACAAATTGTTGAAAACAAGAATGATATGGTAAGTAGCTACCCAGGGCTCTCCATTCATTTATATTTGCTAGTCTTTACATGCCATAAAATTAGGTATTTTTCGGAACTGGATTGTATAAAACAATAAATACAGTTAGACTTGCATTGCATTATATTACCTAGGTAAAACAAAGTTCTCTCTGATAGTCTGATCCCAAGCAAACAAATATTCAAAACATTGACTGGCTAGCAAAGTATTGACCTGAATGCGGCTTGCCTATTTTTAATTCATACAAATGTCCATAATTTTTAATAAGAGGTATTTTTCTAAACAATATTATTTGGTATATAAAGGCACCAACACTTAGACATTCCAAACTACCAGTAACTTATATCTAGATAAGTTAATAAATGCATCATTGTCTGAGAAGTTGAAAATACAGGAAGACAAAGAGACCTATATGAAATTATTTCAATACTCATTAAGAATAAGGCTTACCAGTAAATTGAATTAATCCTAAAATTGGTATAAGTAGTCACATAGTAGGCTACACTTATAATTTCTAACTATGGAAATCATCAATTAGCTAATATCAACTTTTATCTTGTAACAAATAATGTGCTCTTTATAAAACAAAGAGAAATAGTGAAATGCATATATGCAATATTTTCCTGTCTAGCTATAGTCTGGGAACTCCTAATTTGAATCCACAGTTCACGTTTATCAATTCTATTTTAAAAAATTTCATCATGATAATTAACAAATCTTTTGATCTATTATTAAGCACAGCCCTTTCAGAACAGCAAAAACGAAAAAAGAAAGATTTTCTCTTATTATTTTTAAATACACTATTATATATTAACAGTTTGACATCAGGTTAAAAATAGACTAGAAATAATGATTCAATCCCTGGTGTTAAAATCAATATCTAAAGCAGTGAACAGGGTGCCCTAAAAGACCAGGATTAAGTTAAAACTTTCACTACAATGCTTTTATAAATTTGGTTCCCTAACTACATAATTACCATTACATACATTTTGAAGTTTATTCTTATTTCAGGATGTGAAAATTCATACTTTTAGCATATTGGAAATAAAAACTACCACAGAAAAAGTTCCCCAATTGGAGTTATCCCCCTTGGTACCAAATACTGAGCTAACCTTGCAGTGATTGATATGAGCCACCAACATAAATAATGTACTTTAATAAAGATAACTACACATGACTGTAGCCGAAAACTCAAATGATAATTTAAATAGAATAATATTTTCTAAATAAAAAACTATAAATGTTTTGAGCAAATAAATCATGTAGCTTTATGGTATGCAAAGTGAAGTCTAAAATTATATAATTGTTGTGCAATTATACATGATATTACCTGTATGAAGCTATAATAATAATAATAGAGTTTCATATAAATGAATTTGTATTATGGACAATGCTACATTTAGATTCTGTTCTCAGTTCTTAATATAAGTCATATTTACACAAGGGCTTGGATTTACAATTGTGTTACAGTGAGGTTTGGCTATATTGCTGTTTGAAGCCCCCATCTTAAAGTAAACACTAAAGTAAACACTATAGTGACGCCCGAGTGTAAGTATGTATTCTGCATTAAATAAATTTCAATTAGTGCATCATATTAATATTACTGGCTCATACAACATTTTGGAAGAGAATTTAAAACAAAAAGGAAAATTATAATGAGATATTTTAAAGTAGACATGCCATGTAAATATATAAATCATACAATAAACATATATTACATTGATTTTTAAATGAAAAAGAAAAATATATGACTAAGTTAAATATGTATATGAAATTTCTGTATTATAATTCTCAGATATATATTATTATAATAGAGTTCTATAGATGCAATGCAATTTATAAATATTTTGATTTTCAAAAATGTTAAAAAATAACCTTAAATATTAAAGAAAAAGATGTAACATTAACAACCTAACTGAAGACTAAATTAAATGGTTTCTAAATTCAACCTATTTAAATGGTCACAACGAATACATGTATGTCTACAACCTATTATTTTGTACAATATTTTTCCAATAAATAGATAATCTCTTCTTGTTCTAACAGCTTTTGGCTGAACGGATAAAGTGTTTCAAAAATGACCTACATGAAAATGAAATTAAAATTTGTATTATTTGCTGTCATATACACAGCTCAACCAACAAATTTTCCATTTCAATATTCTAACAAAATTTTGAGGGGGATTATAACAATCCGATTAGTTTCGATTTGGCACCTTGGCTAAAATTTGACACAGAGAAGCATGACAAATCTCCACTTTATAAATGAATCACTATTTTTATAGTTAACAGCTCTTCACCATGAATAAAATTTGAAGACTTTGCATGCTGTAGCATAAATTGGTGTACTATTCTACTCAGACTGCCTGTTTAAACTAACTGAATGTATTATAAGAGATATTCTCCATTTATTGGAAAAATCTAGATACAATCCATCATTAATGGATTCACAAAAAGACTTTTGATCCTTATATAATATATGGACAAGAGATATGTATTTTAGAATAAACATATACACACTGTATATAACTGCATATATAGGACCTAATAATATATTGTTGAAGTTATCTATATAATAATATCTATTTACACTAATATACATTTAACTGGAGTTTATATACAGTTTCTCTAAATACACTTATTTTGACTTTATGAAAATGTTGGCAAATATAATCTAACATGAAATATTACAAAATGCATTGTACAAAAATTATGTATAGTTATTGGCTCTAATAAAAGTAACAAATTTGAAAATTCTAAAACTTCTTCACCCTACCTATCACAATGTTACACTAGGACCCTGTTTCTCACATGTATAATGTTAAAGACTCCAAGAAATCCAATACAAAAAATGAAGTTTGAAGGTGTGATGGCCTCTTAATTGGATGACAAAATGTAATTTTTTTTTTCACTGTGCTCAATTTTGTTCATTACTTTACCCCAAACATTTTTTAGAAAAGTATTATTGGTATAAATGATTGTACATTTTAAAACACAAAAGTCCTTTATAAAGACACAGATGTGGAGGGGAATATGACAACTGTGTATAAATTAGATATAAAAATATACCAGTTAGAAACAGGGTTGAACTGTTATCAATGTACTAAAATATTTTAATACAAAGCATTTACTTCTTGCCCGAAGGACTACTGTATGCCAAACCATAAATTGTTTTTTTTTTTTAAAAACATGCAATAATATTTTTAAGTATAAAATCACCCATGTTTCATAAAATCACAATATTTTAAGGCAACAGAACAAAGCTCTACTACAAAAGATAAACTACAGAGAGCATATTACAAAAACTTTAAAATTGTATCCAATCCGAGTGCATAGACTATATGACTATATAAAAACACAGTTTGAAATTATACATTACTATAAACATTAAGATTAAATGATTTTATGCTTAAACTGGGTTTTAATATACACAATATTATCATACTAAACTACTAAAACATCTATCAATATAGTAAACTCAGCACTATTACTGTTTAAAATCTGTTTCTGTGATACTATCTTACATGAAAGGATGATGGATGAGCATTTACAATGATGAAGATAATTAAAAAAATAAAAACTACTGGTCAATGTCGATTCCAATTTAAAAACAAGATCCTCTAATTTCTTTACAAAAACTGTTGAGAATCCACGGTTAAGAACTTTTCCATAAACATTGGATTTTGTTGATTTTATTAATACAAGAAGTCACTACATTACAATCCAAATTATCATTCAATATTCTTCTAACTCAAATATTCCAGATTGGTTTTTTGTCACACTTTATGATTGTTTTTGTACAAAATACATCTATTTTTGATGACCAACACGTAATCACTAAAAATATTTCATATACAGCTATGAGTGATTCTAGAAATGATCTATGAAAATATGGAGAGGTCATTCTGATTGTTATATAACATGTGAATATATCTCAAATACTGAATAAAATGTCTTCCTCTGAGACAAGTTTAAATCATTACACAAAACAATTTTTTTTTCTTTAAATTGTTGGTTAAATTACACTTTTAAACATCGATAGCATCAAATTATTCCTTGACTTATTTATTGTATATTTTTTAGATTAGCACCAACACTCAACAGATTCTTTCAAGTTAAAAGCTCACATAAATAAACTGTTCTCTTAATTTCAAAAGCTGACTTAAATCCAACCCTCACTGTAAATCCAACCCTTGAAACCAGGGATGTAAATCCTGACTAATGTAATCCCTGTCACAAGGATATGAGTATGTTAAATGGCTGTTCATAACTGCTGTTAAAAACTCCAAGAGGGGTTTATCGAGTCATATGACAAATGAATATCACTTTCTTTCCTGTCCACTCAGATGTCATTTAAATATCAGAAGGCATGGGTCTATGGATATGTTGTTTTGCGATGTTTAATAGTTAACAAAGGCTCTACCACTAGGATATGTTGGATATTCTTCTAATTGTCTTCGACCTAAATGAGGTGAACTATGACCTATTGGACCATTAGATATAGCACCTCTAGGATAGGGTCCTGTTGGAGATGGGGCTCCCTCTGAAAAAAAATTAAACAAGGTATAAAAACAGATTCCAAATAAGTATCTTCAAGGTGTCCTGAAATAACTTATCCTTATCTTACGTCAATCATCAATTGTCTTATTCCAGACCAGAATTACAGAAAATATACATTACATTGATGGCAAAATTATACAGATTCATTGAAAAGAATAACAATGAGCTATCAAACCATAATTCAGTTTTCTCTCAAACAGGTTGGATGTCTTAAAAATTTGCATTGTTTGATGCAAGTAAAAATAGAATTAATACAGGTATAGCTCTTTATTAGAAAATTGAAACCCAATAAACAAAAGCAAAACATAAATTGGGCTGCCGATAAATGTGATGCGTAAAATTTCATTCTCTGAGTTATGTCATTGATGATAACTAGATTTCATCTACCATTACTTACCAAATACTGGTGGGGGTTTATTTGTTCTTTTCATTTTTAATCGTACAATTGTTCCACCATTTTGAATAATATCTATAGCTTCTGAGTGAGTCATATTGCTGGTTTCTATTTGATTAATCTCAAGGATCTGATCACCGACCCTCAATCGTCCATCAACATCAGCAGCTCCACCTTCAGCTATCCGTAAAACAAATAATGGCATGTTGTTAAATTCGCGACCACCTCGTATGGAGAAACCAAATCCTCTTGAACCACGATCTAACTCAACATGATATATAGCCGCCTTCATACCCTACAAACAAAGAAACAGTTTGATTTAACAAGAACAAAAATATCATTTCTTTAATACATATTTTATATTCAGAATGGGTGGGTTGGATGTTCAAATATTTCATGGTACCCTGCAGCAGATCACAGGTCAGTCATCTGTTCAAGTTACAAGTGTTGTATGAATGTACATGACCAGCATTAAGGTGACCAGTCTAACCTTGTTTATAACATAATAATACAGTCATCATACCATAAACACAACAACTATTTTTCTAACAAAAAGAACCCATATCACAGCACAGTGGTTAATGAGACATAACAAAAAATAAATTATTATTAATGCTTTTTCCCTTTCAATGATATATCAATACTGATATCATTACAGGTAGGTTGCCAGGCAACAAAATATACACCTGCAGCAGCTAAATCATCCGTGCAGTCAACAAGGGTTTTCGCATATTTTTTCTTCGGTCAGTTATGAAAACATTCATAAGACACTAAAATCTTATTACGAGTAACAACCCATTACGTAATTACCAGAAATCATTAGAATTTGTTTGGCTTCTAGTTCTGTCCTATACTAACGTTTAGAAAAAGATAGGTTGCCAGGCAACAAAACATATGCCACAATGATAGAATTTAAATAAAGGATATATTACCAAAGGAGTATTGTTAAATCTAGCCCTGTTAGCTTCCTGAGCAGTTTTATATCTGAAATACACAAAAATATTATACATACACATATATTTATGTGTAGCTTTTATAATTTACAGAAATCATTGATTCCCTCAAGAATATCTTCTATCAAGCAGCCTTGTATCTGAATTTCAAATCCAACCTTTCATGTACGAGGCATAGTATACTTTACTCATTACTTTTCATTTTTTGGGAGCTCTGCAAACTTAACAATTTTTGTTGTACTGTTACATTAAGTTACTGATCAAAAATTGAACAAGCTATATGTACCTATTGTCCCATGTTTGATGTGTATTTGGAGCTTCTGGTCTACGACCTACATCAGTTTCTGAGACGGCAGGATAGGCCATGGCATTCACCATAGACCCTTGAGAACTCTGAAATTACAAAAATACACTATCATTAGATTTCATTTACATATTCAGCATTTCAAAGTGGAATATAGAGATTAATATGTTAAAAGACTTTCTCAACAAATGGATATATTATTTTATAATAAATAAAGATTTGTTGAATAAGATGGAAATATTTTTGTAGATAATTTCTATTTAGTATCACCTCACCTTTTGAGAGGCACTGGCAGTGCTTGATGCATCATCTGTAAAAAATAAAATAAAGTCAGCTATGATCTCCTCTAAAGATACATTATGGCAGATTTATAATAGATAAAGAGCTGGCAGTTTTCACTATAACAGTTAAAAACTAGATAATGTATAGGGAATTTGCTGAAAATTTCAGTCACATTGATCCACTCTGAACTGAGATTTTAGCGATTGAATTTTGCGTCTAGCCTCAATCATCAATACTAAAGTCTTTACGATAAAAAAAATAGTCTCGAATATCCATTATTTGATTTAATTGTCAATGAGCGTTAAGCAGCAGATAGGATTCTAATCTACAAAATATTGCAGGCTAGCGATGACATCTAGAGTTGATAATGATCTGGATAAGTAAATTAATGTCTAATTAATAATTTAGATAACATTTCAGGCAAAAAGAAAGACGTGCAATTAGCAGATTTAGCTCTTGCATAACGTATGTTTAACAGGAGAGCACATTTTATGACTCTTGACACAAAGATTTGTTAACAATAGATTGAGGATAAGACTTTGTCATATATTATTTCAAAATAGAAAATAAAAGTGTTGTTGATTTCACCCACCTGGAGGAGGTCCTATTGTTAAAGTAACAGAATAACCAGATTCTTTAATTAAATTAACGATGTCTTCATGATGTATTTGAGATATATTCACACCATTTACAGCTAATATTCTATCACCAACATGTAATCTATTACATCTTTCTGCAGGACTGTTTTCTAATATACGCCCTGAAATTATACAAATGTTCTTACAAATTAACATAAATTATAATATCACTGCAATAATTATAGGTTTAAGCTGTAAGAAAACATAATTTTATGTACAGGTTGATGTTATTCTAAACACTGAAATGATTGAATTTGGTGCTTTAACATTACAACTATCAAATTACTTGCAATTTGTAATGACAGAGAAAAGTTTGGGAGATTTAATCAAAGGTACAATCGAAACAATGATATATCATACTTTTGTTTTTTTAATTCATAAACATTATTTTACTTCAGCAGGAACTGGATAGTCCTATGCTGAGAAATGGGATTCGACCGGTCATAAACTAAATTTGTAAATGACAGTGTATCATCTGCATCAATCCAATCATTTATGTGTGTTTATATAGTCAAATTGTAAGCTGTGTTATAGCAACTAAAGATGAAGCAGAAATATTAGTTTTAAACTCAAAATTTGTGAAACAGTTAACCATTACAATCTGGATATAGAAATAAAAATAATAAGAGTATGCTCAATTTTCAGACAGTTACTTAGTTAAGAGTAAACATCGAAACACGTTTTTTAAGCATGATTTTATGAATAAACAGATCTGGCTGTCTCCATTTATTGTCCTGAGATAGATTTCTGTCAATTATTTGTCACAGCTTCAAATGTTATAACATATTTTAGATACAGAATATAGATAGCAATGAGTGCATTAGCTGACTTTATGGCAAATGTTATCTGACTACTAAACTGATTTGTTTCATCTAAATTTTAAAATTCCAAGAAATTCAATGAAATTAACAAATAAATGGACATTATTATTTCCCTTAAAATCATATAAAAGAACATTCACTGTAGTGACAAAATCCTACAAAGCAGTCAAGGTGTCAGAAATGAATATGAGATATTGTGTATAAATAATAATATGTGCAGTCATCAATATATACCTGAAACCACCAATGTTAATAAACTAGCTTGCATTACAAAATATAGATGTCTTAAAGGAGCTAAATCTCTATTCTTTGGCAACTAGAAATGGACACAAATGGGTCGCAACGCATACAATAATCTAATATGCATGTATATAAACTGATTTACATTCAATCGTTTATGATTTTACTGTAATTTTTAATCAGTTATGTTTGGCAAAATTGAATGACAGTCTTTGGCATCTTATTTTGTCTTAAATATTGGATATCAGAAGCCCATCTTTTCACAGTAAGATAATAACATCAATGTTGATTTAAATTGACCAATAAGTCGTGTTTACAATGTCGAAGACTGTGGATAATATTGAGTTAAGAGACTTGCCTCCTTTAAATAAAGAATGAAATAAATGTGTGCATATAATAAAGTAAAAATACAGGTAACATTTGACTTCTGCCTCCATGAGTCATATTATTCTGGTTCATACAACACCGTGATGTTCATACCTATGCTCTTACCACCACAGAAAGGCACTTTTCTTTTTTTGGCTACAGAATATTTCGTTCTATATAAAATTTGATTTGAACTACCCAAAAATATACACATACAAATGGGTAGACTGTTATACTGGGTTAAATAATATCTTCTATAAGAATTTGACATACAACCAGATCATATAGGTAACCATGAAATGACAGAGACAGTTCACAAACCACTGTGCCATGTTTCTCCCTGCACATGATCAACGATCAACAGACACTAATTATCCTAAATCAAAACATGAAAATGCTAGATTTTTTATTTGGTTTACATTGGGGATAATTTTAGTAGAAAGCAAAACTGACAGGCTTCCATATCAATAATATTTTTTACAACAAAAGATGAGAAACAATCAGTGTTATTTAGGAGGGAAAACTCTCATTCATCTCTTATACCGAGCATAAGTGAACAGTAAAATGATGGTGAGGAGGATGATTGTATTTTAATTACTTAATTAAGCAACATGTTCACTGGCAGACAAAATATGAAATTTGTGGAGCAAAATATGTCCTCAGTTGACAGGTGTACAAACTACTATAACCCATTCCCTCTCAACAGTGACAGAGATGAGTTACTGAGTGATAGATACAATGGGTGAACATGACAGTACTTGTAATATTTTTAGAAGAGTGCACAATATATCTTTTCAATAAAGATGAATAGATTCAAACATTTTTTTTTTAAAGTGCAGCTGATAAGTTTATCATGCTAATTCAATTTAAAGCTATATATTTGATACACTATACATAATTGGGTCATGTGAAAAATTATGTAATATATTTTTGTGAAATTGGATTGTTGGGAAGTGTTATATACCAAGTGACACAGACAGGTGTATACTAATTCTGCTTAAGACAATCTCACCGATCCAAGGTAATTCAAAATCATCATCTGAAATTATCCATTTGTTTAGAATTTCCATGTTTTAATTTTCGAAAAATCTTAATAGGATACATAATTTAAATGGGGTTCATCTCATCAACACAATACTTTGGTAATCTGAGACTAACAATTTTGCATCATTTAAATTTTACTTATATAAATTAGGATGTTCCATGTATTAGTGCTTGCTCAACTTGAACTTTAAACTCCACTAACTGAACTTAATACTTAAAACTGTTGAAAGTGCTTGTATTGATATACAGGGCTGCACATTGTGCTGAATTAAGGCGAAATGACTATAATGCTTTAGTTACAGTTGCGTTTGGACCTAAAAATCTGGAATACAATTGCCTGATACAATTGTTATTCGTCCTGGCAGAACATCGAGATGATGGAAAGTTGGTTATAAGTTGTGTCGTGTAAAAATCCCCCCAAAATAAACAAAATTGTGATCTAATTCTAATAATCAAAATGTGGTGGAAGACCTAATTGGTTTTCTCATTAAATAATAAATCAAATGGAGAAATCGATAGGATAGAGAGGAATGGGGTATACCCAATGATTTTGTACAGACTATAAATAATTTGAGTTTGTAAAGTATAAAATAAAAAGAATAGAAACAAAAACAGCAGTATTTAATTAAAGCAAAGCTACATATGTATCTAGATATACCACTACTTGTATGATTTGTAATAAATAATAATAAACAATATGCAGTTCAAACTCACTTAACCGACATTAGTAAAATAAAACGTCACATTCATTTAGTAAAAAATATGTAAAATTTTAACAAAATTATACATTTGGATAAATTAAAATAGTCTAATATGGAGTCAGACAAATGGATTTACATTAGCAATTTTAAAAGATAAAGCAATATTTTAATCACAAAAATTGATCTATGCAATAAAATGTCAAATATTCATTGCTATGGGATGCAAATGAATACACTGCAAAGTTTTGATAAAGTTAAAGCCTTTACATTCTGGATATCTGAATCATGCATTATTCGTTATAGGTGTGATTTACTAATGTCGCTTAAGTGAAATTTCACTGTATAATATCCAACTCACTGTATAATATTTGTTTACTTACCTTAAATTATGTATAATGCTAATCTACATTAAATATATCATATAATACACAGTTTATACAAATATATCACACAATATTAACAATTCTAAACATCTTTAATCTTTTTATTATTTTTAATCTGTGGGATACGACAAAAAAATAATGTTACTTCTCCTTACAAAAATCTTCATAATGGTAAAAACCCTTATAAATTTGGAAATTTTAGTGAATGTTTTAAACAGTACCGGTAGGTTAACAGTTTCAAAAATCAATTAAAATCTAAAAATAACTTTAAAAAACATCTACAGTTAAAATTGTGCTGCAACAATAAATCCAATATTTTGCATGATTTAACTGCAAGTTTTATAGTATGTACAAGATTACATATTCTAAACTTTGTGAAATATTTTCAACGATCAATTTTAGCAAATTTGGCTAGTTCTGTTAAAATCTATTTCATCCTCATTAAATCTATTATGACTTTCTGATTAATGACAAGGTTTATAATTTCTACAACAAGTTGGTGTTGGTGTTCAGGTAGTATATAGTACTTTCAATCAGTGTAAGTCTGTTCATTTACCCATGACAAATTTTTTTAGCAGATGTTTTGTTAAGTAATGTTTATTTATATAAGAGTCACGTTACATTAGTTTTTTTTATCGTATCCCGGGAATCTAAACGGAGGCCATGCAATAACCAAATAACCTCATGCGTTTAGTTTAACCAACAAAATAAAAGTAGAAAACCAGACACGTACCAATGAACTCACCTATGGTACTCCCAGATTTCGTTACCGAGGAAATAATAACAAACCCAAATCCTTCGTTTTCTCTCCGTGTAACCGTGACATCATAGGGATATGTCTGACCACCAGTGGTATGGCTTGTTACATCTACAAAAAATTAAATAATTGTTTCAATATGCATTTAAAGTCAATTTATTCATGTGAATTTATTTTTGCTATTTCTAGAAAAGATTTTTACCCCAATACATAATATCAGGAGAGAAATGAGAGAGGGAGAGAGAGAAATGGGGTTTAACATCCACTTGACGCAAACTAGGTCATTTCGGGACTAACATATGGTTTAATTTTATTTATATAATTCGCTTGCGCGTAGGGGTCTTTAGCAGTGGGAGAAAACCGGAGGACTTTATGATACAGACTTTATGATACAGCGCGCGCACGCTAACCATTCAGCCATCCAACCCCCCCAGGAGAGAAATGAACTCAAGATCTTAGAAATTGAAAATTTTGACATAGTTCTCATGTTGAACATGTACCAGTATGTAAAAATTTGAATTTCCAAGTACCAAACAAAAACCAAAGTTTACTCATGGGATTATCAGAAAACTCATAGACACAGCACATGATCAAATAGTCAGTTTTATTATGTCATTTAATAAGACAGCACCAAATATCATTGGTAGTTACAAAATCAAAGATACTGGTGTAATTCTAACTGTAATAGGAACAACACAAGCAACACTGTGCTGAAATCTTTTAAAGTGGTGATACAATGAAATATATCATGTCCAAAAGTAGAATCATCAAACTTGACACTGACCTGGTGCAGATGTTAATCTCCGTCTTGCAGTTATTGTCACATGACCATTTAATGATGCATGTCCCATCAATTGTACAACACGACGATGAGTTGAATTGATGACACAATTCTGATCAACAAACATGATTTCATCTCCCTGACGGAGTTGTCCTTCTTGATCTGAAGCCCCACCTGGTACGATGAAACCCACAGAAACCTGAAATATAGATGGTTAGTATTAATCATGGACAAATTTATTATGAATTGTCAAAGAACTTGACACACATCTTCGCTGTTTGCCATCATCATACAACTTTTGTAAGTATAGGAACTGTTAGACCTTGCTCCTGTAGAACTTTATAAGTGATATGATTAGCTATAAAATGGTCAAACAACAGTTTATGTACCTACAGCCTGTGGTTACTATATACAATTTACGGCAAGTTCACACCCATCTGATTAATTGAGCCATCTTCAATCAATGTCGCAAATACAGACCTCACGTATAAATGATATTGTCAATTATCGAAAACACTCTTAATCCCCTCAAACGCCAGTGATGTCACAGTGACCAATGGAGTATTAGAAATGTTAATTCCTTAATTATCATATACACCCCAGGGACGTGTACTCATTATGTTGGCTTTTACGAAACAAATGGGTTTTAAGTAATAAGCAACAAAATTTAATACATCAATGTTATTTATGTTATTGGTCATTTTGAAAATGGAGGAAGCATATTTAGAGTGATCTTGTAATAGTCATTTTTTCCATTTGGACAAGATTTGTCAAGAGAAATGATTGCTATATATTAAGATTGTTGAGTGGGTAATCAAGTTTAGTTATTAGAATGGAACCTGTGAATTTGTTTTCTGTTAGCGTATACCAAAAAAATCAATAAAGTTATGTCATAGATTTGAATTTCTTACAAAAGCAACCTACTCTTTTCGCAATACTTTGTGCTTAGTAAATTTATGAACAATATACGACCACATTTCCATGTGGGCGTATAAAAAAGGAGCAGTATCTACCTTTGAAAGACTAACACAATTCTCAGTAACACAATTAAGATAATGCGACATAGCAAATATTATAATCTAGTCCCAAGTTATAACAATCTATAACAATACTAGATCAGAAAGACACGTTAACAATGCTTCTACCCAATATTGAATTTTTTTATAACTTAGGTAACGGTTAGTACAGCATGTTATTTAAAGCGGCACGTCGTCAATCCACGTCAGCTTGTGTATACAGTGATACGATGGGTCATCAGTGTGCAGTCAACTGGATTAAGGCTGTAATCGAAAAAATTGAGAGATGTTTTTGAGGGTCTGACACATAATCAGTCATATATTAAATAATTTTAATCAGATTGGGGCGAAATTGGCTAAAGTGTTTATAATAAATACTGGCTTCAAGTATATATGGTTTTGGTATGACCATTTTATGTGCTTTTTGTCTCAAATTCAAATATTTCATATTAGGCGGACCAACTGGAATTAAAGATGTAAGCAACAGATGGAAGGTGGACAGAAACAAATGGGTAGCAATGCTTTTTTTTATGCCAAATATTTGGATGCACTGATATTTTATGCCATGATTGCTTTAATATTGAAATCCCCAAACTAAAATATCCATCAATGGGGCTCAATATGAAATGAAAATTAATCATCACTGTCCACAACAAACAACTTTGTCACTATTGTATTTATAAATTAGTAACATATCTACACGCAATACCATTAAATATTATCATGGCAGAAAGTTGTAGTAAATTATCATCTACCTTGATAAGAATCACAACCACTATTTTATTATAAATAAATAATATAAGCTTTCAACATGATGGAATTTATAGTATGTTGATGATTATAACATTTTACTGTAAATATTAATATAACCCTTCCTGTAGGTGTATATAAATATAATAAATTGTTTTAACCCACATAAATGCATGCATAACTAACATATCAAACATTAAAGTGCAAATCTGCCTTTCACAATTGATACTGATAAAACTTTGGACAATTGATAAAACAGGTAACTTTTAGTTCTAATGATATTTGAGGTGTTCACATGGCTAACAAATGTTGGTTGTATTTTCGTATTATTTTAACTTCCAACAAATTTTTCGAATAGTAAGTATCTAATTGTGTTATGCCATGGTCCTATTTTGTTTGTTCTATTCATGTCTTTTGTGGCAAGTCATGTTGCATCGTCAAATAGATCTCTAATGGTCTACAGTTTCCTTATTCCATCACCATGTTTATTCTGACATATTTGAAAGATGGGACAGGAGGCATACATGTACATCCCCCCACCCCACACTTTTGTACTCTTTAATAGATTAAATACCACTTCCAAATTTTGTAAATGCTATAGTAGCTTTTGGGAGGCTCAAGACCCTTGAACCTACTGAGACTTATTCCTGGACCTTGTCAACAGACCACTTAAGTTCTCCTCTACCATTTTCTATATGCCCCAAGATTTGTCTGGTGGTTTTCTTTTTAGTGGCTTACTTGCATGGCATGTTCCTTCAATTATAATGCCTATCCAGGTAACCAAATAAAGAATTTCTTGACCCACCAATCGTTTGATTCAATTAAAAAGTAGGCCACGCCCCACACATCAACATGCAATCAGTCAAGTACCAATTTAGATAATTGTTTCAGGGCTAGCTGTACATCTAAACTTATAAACAAAAGATATTTTGGACAACATTCTGAAACATTTTATGACTTTGGCATTTCCAGTGTTTATACTAAATTGTAATGATAAGTATCAGCTATTCTGGCAAACTGACAATATTTCTTTCTATAAAATGCTTGGCACCAAATTATAGACAAAAGAAATCCCCCCAAAAGAAGATGTTCAAGTTTAAAAAAAAAAGACATTTAAAATTCATCAAAGAATTTTTTGGTTGCTTTTCTTATCAATTATTTATAATCCGTGTACGGTAGATGTTTTATTTGTCCAAATTAAGTTTGCAACTGAAGGGCATTTTGGTACCGTAGAGTCAATATTAAAGTAGCTACACCACTTTGATTTAGGTCAAAATAAAGTGTGGAATTTGGTTGATTTGATATGTTCATTACCTTCATATTCATATAAGCGAGGTAATCAAACTTCTAAATCACTAGAAATATTGAAAAGGTGAGAAACAAGATTCTCTCTAATTTTCTCTAATATCAATTATATTCAGCCCTTTCCACAACAACATGGATTATTTTTTACCTTTTGACAGAAAAAGGTGGGATCAAACAGATTTTTCATGTTACAAGATCATAATTTTTGTTTTGAATATTAAGTGGTGGTCAAATCATTTTTTAATTTTAATTTTTGGCAGAAACTTTCAATTTGTGAATCTAAAACTTAAAATGTAGACGTTATATACTTCCTTTGCAAAACAAAACAAATTATATTCTTTATCTAATTCAACGTGTTTTTAAATCACTATAGTGATAGGAAAACCCCACAGAATATTAGTTCTGAGACAAATAAAGAAATCTTGAAAAACAAAATATTCTACTCACCTGAGATCCTTCTTCGGTTCCTCCAATAATTCTAAAACCAAAACCACTTTCATGTCTGGGTAGATGAACAGTCATTTCTCGATACTGCTGTCCATCTTCTTGATCTGGAATACGAGTCAGTGGTCCATACGGAGAGACACCATATTGGTTACCTGAATGTAAGGTTCCATAACGTTTTGGCACTCTCGAAATTTCCTCGCCTTCAAATGATGTACTATGTTTCTGACGACTCGGTAATGGTGAATTATTACCTACAGCTTGGAAACTTCTTGTAAAATCATTGCCATAGCTACGTTCATGAGAATCTGTATGATCATGATTAAATCTACGTCCAATGTTCGGAGAATCACCTGGTCTAATGGGACGATTGTAATCATGACGATATTGTTGACCATATTCCCACGCAGGATTAGGCGTAAATCGTCCACTCGGTTTAAATCCTGAATGATTGGAGGACATACCTGGTGTTGGTGTTTTACTCCTCATATCATTGGCTGTTGGTGTTTTTGGACGACTGTGTTCTGGTCTATAATCCGGACCATACCCACGATTTAACATGTCCGGACCTGGTGTCCGACTTCGGAACTGTCCTGGTTTGATATTTTCTCTCTCTAGTTCACGCCTATCTCCATCATTTTGCATAGCATAATTATTAGATCTTGCATAACCATATGGATCATTGCGAAAGTTTTGATGAGGAATTGGATGAGATCCATAATCAATGTGACGAAATTGATCGACCCGGGGACCGGGCGGGGGTCGTGAATTGGAATCGTAGTTCCCAGAATTATGAAAATCCGATCGGGAATGATTAAATTCATGATGATTACTATTGTCATGTACATTATCACCATTGTAACGATTTTGCACATCACTAAACACAGGTCGACTAGCGACTGGAGGTTTTGTTCGATTATCAACCAACGATCCTTGAAATCTTGTGGGTGTTTTGGGACGATTGTCATTCATCGTCGGTGTTTTAGGACGACTATCGTTTAATATCGGCGTCTTTGGTCGATTCACATCATTGGGAATTTTACCCCTCATTCCACTGTCCACTTCATCAGGACTTTCTGAAACGGATGAAAAGCATAAATGTCTTAAAACTTGCATTTTGGTCAGAGTTAATACATCAAAAAATTCCTGAGATGATTATGTAGAGCTATCTCCAATATGTCCCCTTTCTAAAGCAGAATTAACGAATTCAAGAATTCATTACTGTTCATCCAGTTTTTGTTAAAGTTTCTCCACATTACATAAACCACATGTTAACTTCATTTTAATTATTATCCGAGATCACATGTTTTATTTTATAATCCTCAAACCGATATTACTTCATTACATCTTTTCAGGCTATTCAGTAACAATGCGAAACTATGCATGTCGATGCTTATCCATTATTTATGAGCAGACGTATTGAGTAATATCAGTTTCTGGCAATCATTTTAACATGTCATTGTCTAAATATTTCATTTCTGCCAAATCCTAATGAAAGTGATTATACTATTCCACAGTTGTTTTATACCACAAAATTCATCCAATAATTGAGTCAGTAGAAAGAAATACTTTTCTTTGAAGTTTTATGACAATTCCAAACAGTAGTTTCAAGAAATACTCCATTCTATGAGTGAGTCAGGAGAAAGCTACAGTATCTTATTGCTTTATAATAACTCCATACATTGGTAGTTACTTTACTCGTAGAAACATTTACACTGGTAATGCGAACTTTCATGAACCTAGAATATTATTTCCAATTTAGAGTAACAAGTCAGTTATGTCTGTAAAAAGCCATAAAAGAAAACATAGTTTATTCTTTATGGCTATTACCCATTTTACTAACCACACTTAGTATTTTTCTTAATTAATAACACATAGATTTTTTTTGGTATCACAAATTAGTTTTTTTTTTAAAAATTCACCAAAGGCTAACTTCGAAATTTAAACTATTGGAGTAACTTGTTAACACAGATAACCATAATTAAATTTTAAAAAGACAAATCACAAGTTTGAAACTGTAAAAAGTAGTCTTAATCAAAATTACCACAGCCACTTCATATGGTCAACATAATTAAAAGGTAAAATACAACTGAATTATTTATCGTATTTCACATTCTCTATTCAACACAAGATATACAGATTGACAGACTAGCTATGGAAATTGGAAACCTCTGGTTAGAACCTGTAAAATGGTTGTAAGAAAACTTTATTTTGTGTCTAAAGTATTGTTTAACATGCAACTTTGGTTGGATAACATAATCAACAGTTACTGATGTAGGTTAATATTGAACTGAGACACAATACTGAGATCCAGAAAATCAGATTGTCAGAAATCTACAAGAAAATGCAGTTGAACTGTCCAACAATAGAAAACAGAAAACAAATTAGGACATAAACATCTTGTGTTTAGAATTTAGAGGACTGTTATGTTTCATTTGATACTGCTTAAATTATTGTATGAAATCATCTAATGGAAAATTTACAACACATCAAATGAACAATAACAGTTTGATACACCACTTTTCAACCAATTAGAATCCAAGAACTTTCCATTTTGGGCTACAGGTACTTATCCATTACCTATATTTACAAGTTGAGAGGGTCCTGATAGACACATTCAGTATCGACAACTACAATGACTGATGCTTGCACAAAAATCAAACTCTACAACTAGAGGGTATGAAAAAATCATCCACAATTCCACACAATATAGAAGTGAAAGAGTACAACAGAAATTGGCTAACTATATCAACTTCAGAAGTGGTATCAGTTTTTCTATAAATATATGCTATGCATAGGTTTAACTCTTTTCTTAAATGAAATGAAATCAAATGAAATGGGGTTTAATGTCCTACTGTTCTGCTCCGAACTGGGCTAATGAAGATAACTTTCTTTAAACTATACCAGGTATAGTATACCTCCATTTAGCTAGACGCTAGACATGAAAAAAATCCTTTATTAGGCAAGAACTTTTCATTTTACCTGGTGTCATTTCTCATTTGAGGAGTTCATATGGGCTTAGTAAGAAATTTTTCTTGTATTATCGTATTGTACAAAAAGTTATACTGATATCCATTCAAATCACAAATACCAGTAGACGAACATTTATATCAAGATATACAAGATAGAACTTGTGCCTTATCTGTTATTTACAAGTAGCAGGATGTTACAAAAACAGCAAATATGATTCATGATTTTAATATGAATGAATGGAGTACCTTTGATATATAGAAATAGAAATCATATTTCCACTTGTCAAAAATGGCAATAATGGAACACAGATCCAAACCTAACAGTATGTGAAAATTACTACAATACATACCACATCAAGATTTATATCCCGTGGAATGTTATTCTATAAATAATAAATACAGAATAAATGATTCAGAATGAATGAATGAATGATGTAGTGTGAGCTTTTTATGGTGAATAGATACAGCACATCAACAGACCATCATAGAAACAAAGGAATCTGTGCATCCAAATCTGTGTATTGGGATAACTAACTTTATCATCAATGATCCAATTTGTAGATCCTTAGAGACACACTATTCCAGACTAAAATTTTCAGATCATACAGGACCTTACATTGTGCAAAACATCTGTGATCTAAATTAAATAAATAATTTCTGAGATTTAGAATAACACTGACCCAATATCTCATTAAATCTTCAAAAAAGAGAGAGAGATGTATAAAATCAACACTTTCACCTGATCACGTTTTTTCTTGCAGACATCTTGATAAGAAACAGAAAGAAATCTGATGTATCCTACTTACACATAACTAAGACTAGAATGATTCATACAGATATCACCATTTATTAGCAATATGAAACATTTGATATGAGAAAATTAGTCTATATTGGTGCAATATATGGAACACATAGTTTTGATGTGCCATGTATTACAACATATATTAAAACATATTTCTGTTTCTGATATCACTATGTATGCATTGCGAAAATGATGTGACATTCAACACCATTTCTGGCATTTAATATTGTAACATATTATATTACTGTACATTACATCAATAATTTAACATTGATATTTGTTATTAAAACTTGTGAAATGTGACTTTGAAATAAAGAGAATTAATATAATTAAATGAAAACCATGGATATATTGCACTGATGTAATCAAACAACATCAAAACTAATCAGATTATGTTTCTGATAAATTATTCATGATAATGAGTTGTGAATACTACAAGACCTTTGAAGCTCGTAATGAATTGAGAAGATAACGGACAGAATGATAACTTCTAAGTCAGAATATCTTGCATTACAATATTTCTATGCAAAAATGATTTAATTCAATTTTAATCTGGAAAGGTACATAGTAATTTTATTATTTAAAATTCTAAAATGGCCCACATTAATCTCAGAATTTTAGGTCAATTTTATTTTTCAGGTCACGATAGAATTTGAGAAAGAACTGATTTTCGTACGGATCCCATAATAGCCTCTATTACTGGATTCAATCGGTGCAGAAAAGTAGGACGTTACACTGCAGTTAAATTTATTTGTATTACTGGATACACTTTGCTACAGAAAAGAACGAAAAATTTTCAGCCATATATGCCATTTCTTGATATTAAAAAGCATGGAAATATGTCTCTGTTTTTTTTTTAAAAATGAGCTGTTGATAGGAGAAAAACTGCCAACCGACAGTCTGCTTACACAAGGAGGGAAGATCTCTGCTTGTGCATGATGAAAGTTTGATAGGACTGAATGTTGTATGGTTAAAAAGACCTTTAACACAACCCAATCTTTTTTCTGAATGTGGGAGAAATTCTACTATTATCTTATCGGATTTATCATTTATCTGTCGAGGATAAGTAAGCTTCATGTTTAAGATTATACCTGTAATTGGCATCTAATATAGTTCCTACTTATAAGGGTACTTGTGAGACTCCAGTCACTCAACTAGCATTCATCTCTATTAGAGACAGCAGTATTTGGTTAGTTCGTAGATCATGTATGGTTCAGACTACATACAGGTGAAACAATATTACAACATTTCAACCCAAAGGCCGAAATGTGTATATATTTATAAAAACATGAATCCTCATCTTACTACCATTTGTCTTGCATAAACACTGCTCTATAAATATCTTAAAACAAGGAGGAATTTGGTGTTAAAACATAAGGTGATGAAACATAGAAATTAGCTAAAACGCCCATGGACAAGAAACTTTGTGCAGAAATTCTGTTATGAAAATGGACGGTAAAACAAGGAATACTTGGGGCAAAAACATGAAATTTATGTTATTTTAACACAAGATGTCGAGACAAGATTTATTAGCTAAAATACCTGTAGTTACGTAAATACACATATCTCGTTAAATCTACATTAAACTAACACCTGTAATAACACAATTCTTGTCATCAAATTAACTTACTTGAAATACCTTTACCACTTCACCAACTATATGCCATAACCACCAACAAAATTAGAAACAGAATTCAAAATTAACATACTTTTATAATAAATAACTTACACATGTACATGAACAACCACATAACAAAATCACCAACATACAAAAATCAATATTAACATAATACAACCAACAAAATGGAAACCAGTAATCATAAATTTAGCAATGACACGATTGTCACCTCACAAAAACAATCAACACATAAATTCCAATGAAAATCAACAGTTTTATTTGTGACTCAGATCAGAAACAACAAAACAGTTTTCAAATTGACCAGTAAAATATTTCAACAGACAGTTGTTCATGTACGTCTAACCAAGGGATTCCCGTAACAGGTTTCAATATTTTAACAACAGATTAAATTTTACTCTGATATTTAATTACTACCAGTGAGCATCTAGCAGGTAATCAAATCTTAAAAATATTGTCTGCTTCAATCTTTATCCATGGAAAGCACATAATCTTTTTGAATTAAAATTTCACAATTTCACAACACTTATTAACACTTCTCAGGTATTCACAGATCTTTACAGGTATCCACAAAGAATTATTCCCAGGTAAAAACTCCAGTGAGAATGACTGGTAAACATCCACAGGTATAATACCTGCCCACTTTCACACCTAGTTAAAGATCACTTATTAATACCATGTGTTAGAGAGATTCTCTACCATAGGAAGGCATTAACATACAATACATCCTACTGGCAGAGTCATGGCATTACTAAACTACTTTTATTCCTTCAGGCTATACTACCCAGCAAACACAGCTAAGTCACAACAACGTTCTATTCACGATAAAGAAAACATGTTAAATGTCAGTGAAGATAGTCTTCATTCATAACCGGAGATAAAGTGGTCCAAATTATTTAGAGAACTTAAAGGAGAACCATTTTTTATCAAATGTTTTATGTATCACTTGAGATTTTCCAGAAATCACTAAAATATCAAATCTAACAGAACAGGTGAATTATCTATTAAAGCTGTTGGAAACTATAAATCTTAATCAAGTTTTGAGCATTTACTATGGTAAACTGGCATTTTCGACCAGTTATCTTCTTCTCCTGGTTCTGGTTTTTACTTTGATTGTTTTGGAACTGGGTCAGTGTACTCAGTAGTATAGTTTTCTTGTCATCTTGCTTGCATTTGTAGAAAGTTTATTATAATCAGTGGTCTGACTCCAATGTAAACTGTAAAGAACAGTCCGACAACTTTCAGGCCTATATATATAAATTCATGTTTGTTATCATCCTAAGTTTCCATATCCCGGTGTAGTCACATCCAAAATGGTGAAAATTGCACCCATTTAAAATTTCCTTCTATGGTGACTTATTCTCCCCTGTTAATTACTTTTAGATAAACAGTGCTCTTTAAAGTCACGTTTTGAACGCTAACTGTAAGTACCAGAAGTTTAAGCAAACTGTTTCATTACTCTTAAAATATAGTCAAGTTGTTTATTAATCAACTTAGCCCAGATGTTGTTATCGTTAATGTAATATATTCTACTAATTCTTACTTTATAACCAGTATCTCAAACCAACTGAACTAACCTACTGACCATATGTGCTGTGGCTAGCAGTACCAGAATTAAGGAACTGAATCAGAACAAATTAAACACTGATTTTGTGTATTGGAGAATTTTCAATTTCAATAAATTCCTTAAATTTGGTATAAAATGCAGGAGATATTAATCAATTTTCTAAAATTTCATCTTTATTTTTCAGGAAGATATGTCAAAACCCTATTCTGTTCATCAATTTTATAAGTACATTATGAACAAAAGTAAAATATTGATTAAATGTCTGTTTCTACATGAGTTTATCATCACATGAAAGGTAATTCTTTTAAAAATAACTTTTTCTACCACTGACAGGTAGAGATTTAATCTAAAATTCTCAAAGTTTGATTGTATGTCATGGTTCCAAAAGGTTGATAATGACTAGAGAAGCCTAGTCGAAACGTCGCTCAGTAAAAAGCAGTAATTGTATTCCATAGAATTGTGACCTGTATACTCTAGTTCAATTACTAAATGCCATTGAAACAGTCCATGAATAATGTAGGAAAAGCTAGATGGCACGCTATAAAATCACAAAGTTCTGCAATGGCTTTAAGGTCTATGTTTATGACATATAAACAATCTCTTGGAGAAACATGCATAATAAGTGTTCCAAAGCAAAATCAGTTTTTACCAAACTGAATAAATGGTAAACAAATAGTACAGTTATGTCTGGAAGTTATCTTTCAGATTCATCAAGTCGTAAACAAATCATAAAACTATCATATAAATAACAAACTTGATGCTTATAAAGTAATTAAAACATCAACGCTTGACATGGATTTTATCTCTCTCTGAAAATTTCATTAACAAGTATCTTTTTATGATCATGAGGTATAATTAAAAAAAAAAAATCTGAATAAACAACTCATAGTAGTGTGGTCTCAAATAAATAAGGTAACTACAAATTCCTCTTAAATAATTAATTTCTAAATAATTACAGAGGTTAGGTGGTTGAGTGATCTAATGCATGCGTTATAGTTCGCACAAATGCAAAATTCATGAATTCAATTCAAAGCTTGTATATAACAAGCAATAGGGTTGTCTGCCTAAACTCATGGCCTGTGGGTTTTCCCGGAGATCTGTTTTGCTCCTACTACTAAAGAACCCCCCACACCAGCGAATTATTGATATATTAAGAACTATGTATTAACCCCAAAACACCTAGCTTGTGTTGAGTAAATGTTAACCCCCAGTTCTCTATCATAATTTATCACCCAATAGTACATTCTACAGTAGATATCGCTTGTGTGATATATTTCATAATCTACTGCGATATCTCCTTAGGAGATATCGCTTTACATTAATTTGATTGGTCAGTTGAAAAGAAACTACTTTTTTTATTTTCAAAGAACAGTTCATTTCTTATAAAAAGTAACTTTTTTTTTTATTAAAAATGAACTATTGTTATTTAATTGACCTTGATGGAAACACTGGATTAATATAAAGGACTTTGCAATGGTTGAATTGCTGTCAAAAAATAATGTATCACTACACCGTAATGTAATCAGGTTCAGTAAAAGTGAAATCTACAGCAAAGAATTATATTTATTTATTTGTGCATGTAAGAAAGGATTGGGTGATAAATAAAATCTCCTACTTGTCTTTTTTGATATCAAAAAATATCAACACTCGTCGATAAAGTATATAAAAATCGGCAGAGCCTCGTTTTTGTTACTTTATCGACTTGTGTTGATATTTTTTGATATCAAAAAAAGACAAGTAGGAGATTCTCTATTTAATTATACTGGAAATGAAGTGCAAAAAAACAATCAGTAAGTGTAAATATAGGCCACATGAACAAAAAGAACAAGAGATACTAGTACAAGTAATGAAAGAACAAAGTCAGTTGCTTTTTTCAAGGGGGTATTCATCTATAATGATTGAAATGAGTTTTAAACTCTGCATCTTATACGTGCACCTACAGGTAGTTAGTGTGGCTAAAATACTGTAAAGTTAGCTGAAATCATAGATGATGATGGCAGCATATGTTTCAAATCATATACATAATAGATGTCTGATGTGTAAAACCAACCCTCATTCAGGTGCTAACACATGTCAATCACTTAATTATATATGGAAGCCAATTCACCCTTGATATTAATAAATGGTATAATCATATTCCAACTGATTATTTTCTTTTTATCCACCCGTAAACATTTCATTACAGGTGAGAGTTTTTATATATATTATGTTTTTTCTCGAACATATGGGCAATTTTAGCTTTAGTTACCAACAGGTAATTTCAGTCCACTTTTTGATAGCTCAACAATGGCACACTGCATCACCTGCTTTGCTTCATGAAGGAAATTAAGGCAAATAAATGGAGAGAGAGAGAGAGAAATGGGGTTTAACGTCCACTCGACCCAGACTAGGTCATTTCGGGACTAAAATATGGTTTAATTTTATTTCAATAATTCGCTTGTGTGTAGGGGTCTTTAGCAGTGGGAGGAAACCGGGGGACCCAGAGAAAACCCACGAGGTTGGACAGGCAACCCAACTCCTTGTCAAGTACAACCGGGGAATTGAAACCACGCCAGTTGACTCAATGACAGGCCTTATGATACAGCACGCACATACTAACCATTCGGCCATCCAACCCCGGCCCCCAAGTAAAAGGAGTTTTAGTACTTTAACATAGTTTGAGACTAATACATAGTAGTTTTTTTTTATTTCTATGACTACATGTGAAATATGCAAGGATTAGATTATTTTGCCCTGACAGTGGTGTTTTCACCTACGATACTCTTTGAATTGCTTTTGGTTTTCTTGTTATACAGTAAGTTTGTGCCACCTACAACCACTACCATATTTAAAATATATAACAAAAATTGATGTTTTGGAGATATCTCAACACAATATAATTATCATATTATAATATCCAGCATAAGCTATTAAAGAAACTTAAACACAAACAAGTCTTCATTGACACAATATTAAGTGAAAGATAAATTACCTTGTACTGTAGAGAGTTCATTTAATCGATCATTTTCTCCTTGTGATAATGGTGGATTACTACTGGCAAAACTTTCATCAGATTTTTCTAAAGATAACAGTATCACAGAATTAATGAATGAAACAGCCATACAGCCAATGAATTCATTTATTTGAATCCTTTTTAATTCAAACCAAGGGGACATCTTATACTTGGTCAATTCAAACGGAAAGCTCATTTGATTAATTCAACAGAAAACCTCATTTCTTTGATCCAAAATGAAGCCTCATTTGATCCAACCAAGGGGAAACCCCTATTTGATTTATCAACCAATCTAAGGCAAAAACTGCACCTGATCAATTGATCAACCCAATGGGAAAACCTCATTTGATAATTCAAAGAAGAATAGTGACAGGCTGTTCGACACAGAAGGATATACCAGTTTAGGATGAATTCTCAAATTTGGCAATTCTTTCGGATTAGAAACTCAGGGATCAAACTTGGAGGAGGTGGTGAGCCGTTGGCATTTGATAGGAAAGAGTGATGAGGAAACATCAATAACATTTACATACCTGCATGGTTATGACTATTGGCCTCGTTAAAGAAATATGCACCTGGTTGTATTATTCCATCTCTTGGTTTTTCATCAAAACTACGAGACTGAAATAACAAAATTTACAAATTAAAATATGTACTTACGTGGACAGTAAATATGGCTTTGAAAAGTTGAAGTTTTGAAGTACATGCCTACTCAACCATATTTATGTATTACTTATGTTCAATGTTATATATGACATGACACATGACCCTGTGCTACTACTACATAATCCATTTTTGAATAATTGTCAAAAATAAAGCCAAAACAATTCCATTTGTACATTAAACAAATTGATATGGAATGTGTTACACAAAACATTTGTTACCATCAATATAAATATAGGGATCATTCTCAGTTGAGTTCACATAGCTAACACATTTTTGTTCAAGAGTTCTGCTAAAAACACTATACTGTATTCGTACATTGATATACATGTTCACAGCATTAGTCATAGATTTGACCACTTTTAGATCATAAGAGTCAAGAAATGGAACTTACTTGCACAGCAGCACCAATGAGGCTATATTTTACCAAGTAATCATATTTAATATTTTCATAACAAAAACTTTTCATTAATATTTATCCATACATATTTATACAATAAAACATAATACTTACTGGTTTCACTGGTTTTCTGCCTTTTATATGAAATGGCACGCCTGAAATATTGAAATAATTATAATTTATGTCATACCAGAACTTGATTCACTGCATACACCAAATAATTTTAAATTGACATGTTATGACTTCTAAAATAAATTTCATGTTTAGCTATTTTTAATTTCCCATCATTCAATCATGGACAAGTATAATTTGGGCAAAAATCCAAAATGTTTCAAAACCTGCAGACAGTCTAATTTAAATTTACACACACATAAATCCCCCAAACCCATCACCATCCTTGCGAAGTAATTCATTTTTCCCCTTACAAATATGCAATTTAATATCCATCCAAACTGTCACGTTATCCATTAATGGAGAAAACACAACATTTAGGAGACAAAATTAAACACCTTATTTGAAATATACTTAAGCCTTATTAATACAGAATTAATTCACTTTGAATTAACAAATTAACAGTACATAACACATGAAATATAACCAGCTTCTAAATCCACAAGATTTTTAATTTTAAATATCATACAGAAATTTTATTAGCTTAAGCCTTTCAACAATTACAAACAAACTTTTCAGAATACCAACTTGGAGAAAATAACAAATATGGAAAACATGCCTAGTTCAATAAATTCATGCAGCTAAGATTTATTGGCTGGAGTCCAATGTCAAAAGCATGTAGATGCCTCTTGAACAAACAAAAAGTTTGTTTTCTATTGTTTTCAGGCAGGTTCTCTAGCCTGGAGATTATGTGATAACCAACTAATGTAAATAGAACCGCCTAATTCACTTTGAATCTGGGTATTTTTTTGCTTATCTTGTGGAAATAAAAACTATGTAAAATGAATTTGGTAGTATGAAAGTTTATTTTCTGAAAAGTACATGTTTATTTTGTCTTGCAAGATGCAGAATACCGAGTCTGTATCTACATCAAAAGTGAAAAGAAAAAAAAAACTTACAGGCAAAAGAATTTTGGAAAAATAAATATCTTTATGGGTTAACTAGAGAACAGTCTTGCTATAAGTTCCTGATACATTTTCTTTCGACCACAGATAACCTTTCTTTAAAACAAATATGCTAACCTTTGTTTTATGAAGTGTACAAAGTAAAGAGCAATAAGAGGTGTTTCAAAATAAATTAAAATTTGACTTCATCTATTTGAATTTGAAAACAATTAATATTTTGCTATAGGCCTACAACAGATTGAATTTTTTACTGCTTCCTCTTTACATTTATGTATAATAAGGCATTATTAGATTTCATCAATAAGGAGTTTGAACATAAATTTATGCTTTTCCTTAAATTCAAAGGCAATAATTTTCCACTCAATACTGACTTGAGTGCCCCAATTGAAGTAAAGTTTTATAATAAAGACCAGACCCACATATTATACGAGTCTGCAAGCTGTACAGGTGTAAGTGTAATATAAGACTATTTCCTGTAATGGCAGGGTGTTATGTTTTAACTCTAACATAAGTAACATATAATACACCTGTAGCCTTCAGTTTACACTGATAACCTGCACTTTATCTTAGATTCAGCAAGCATCAGGTATAAACTACTAGACACAATAATTAGGAGCTACTGCAGAGATGCTACTGCTTTATATTAACAACTATGGTTCGAAATGTCTGAATATGCTTACCCTTGCTCGTGTACAATAATAATAAATCCAGTTATTGTTCTTTTGTGCATCAGGTCACCACACTCATCCCCATCACACCTAAATGCATTGTAAATAATTTCAACTTACCTCCCCTCTGTATAACTATTTTAGTATCCGAGCCTACAGGACATTCCTTTAACACCCCTACAATCTCAGCATGTGTCATATCACGGACATTGATTTCATTAATATGATGTAATATATCGCCTTCTAATAAGTTTTTACATCGAGGTCGGTCTAAGATCTGTTTCACACGCTGCCCATATGGACTATCTGCTATCGTAAATCCAAATCCACTTTGTCCGCGCACTATGTTCACAGTTAACATTTCTATTTTGTTGCTGATTAAATCTGGTGGCTCCTCATTATTAATTAAGTCACCTTGTATGCTTTGTTGTGAAAAACTAATGTCTGGGTTTGCATTATGAGATTTCGCTAAATCTGGTAGCGATTTTAAACTTCGTTGTGATGTATTTAATGGATCGAGTCCGTTAACACCATACGGAGGGGGATGATTATAATGTCCATGTTCCGGTGCATTTACAGCAAGTTTTCTAACGATCTCAGTATTGGGATCGTCTAAGTTTGAGGGTAAGGCGTATCCACGACACACATCCAAAGTCACTGTTTCACCAGGGGGAATGCTTTGAAAGACACTAACAACATTTTGATGTGTATAGCCTAGAACACAGCTATTGTTTATATAAACCAAGACATCACCTAGAATAGAGAGAAAACAACATGGTGTTTATATTGACATTAAAACATTGTTCATTTCACCTATTAATAACACAGGTGCACTAAAATTCCACATAAAAACACTGATAAATTTTACCATTTATATTCTACAATGCTCACTAAAATAAAATAATCATACAGGTGTCCTAGCCTGGAATAAAACACTGGTATGTTGAAATATTGAACACATATCTCTCATTTAGACTAAGCCCCCAACAATACATATCAAAAATACACTTTTAACACATACTTATACGGAAGAACAATTACTACGATTTAAAAAGTATTCTCTCAACGTTTTTAAACAAATAATATGTTACATCTATATCCTCTTGTTTTAATATATGACAATAAATTACTTTACAATATTTCAAATGTAATGTATACACCATATGCAGGGCCGGTGGAAGCAATTCTTGATTGGGGGGGGGGGGGCTTCCATCCTAGGTCCTTATAGGCAAGGGTCCAGGGGCCGCAATAACCTGGAGAAAAGAGTACTTGCGGCCAAATTATTGGGGGGGCTAAAGCCCCCCCTAGCCCCCCCACTCCGCCGGGCTTGATATGCAATTTCAAATTAAATTGAGACAATTACAGAATCTGTTCGCACATTATTATTTAAAGCTATAATTTAAATTTTTCATAAAACTGATATGAAATGGGGTTTAATGTCTTCTCAATAAAATACACAGATATTGCTAAAATTTTCCCTGAAATTTCCACCTAATTTATTTTCCCACTCCAAATACCTAGGATTTTTTTTATCTTAACGCCAAAGTGTAATCGATGTACCTTTGAATGATTAGGCACACTTTCTTTGTCATCAACACCAAAAGTGAAGTTTGGTGGCAATGTCACCTTTGAATGGGTGATCAAATTCCTAAACAAATGGATCATTATTGCTGCAAATAGCTATAAGCAGTGACAGATGGTTCACGTGAGGCAAGGTAATCTTAATCATTTGAAAATACTTGAAATTTCTTCTCTTTAGACAACTTTTATTGTATTTTAATATTAGCATAAGAAAGTCTGAACTTTCAATTTAGATGATTTTTTGTTCTAATGTAAGGGTATAATGACACCTCTAAATACATTCTGATTAATAAGGGTTGTTCAATAAAGCCTATTGTCTGAACCAAAACTTCCTCATAGCACACTGCATGACATATGCCATACTTCATTAGACCAATTGGCACAGAAAAGTAGGACTTTAAACCCTTTTTCATTTATCACAGTCTTCCTATCCACTGCTCATAGTCTACAGTGGAACTATCAAAATAACTAAATACTGCTTTATTTTAGGAAGAAATCGAGAACACCTGATGAGATAGTATAAGTTACAGTGTGATTATTTTTGGCAAACACATGTAGATTTTTTAAGAGCCGACAATCGAATAAATAGCCAAAGAACAGTTTAACTACTATTCTGATGAGTTTTAAAGCCTCCATTGTTTATTTTATCGCCTAGACAACTGTAATCGGACTAACATGAACTGATCAGCATTAGATTGCAATGACTCATATGATTGGTTTAAAATAACTAGTGGGTGTAAATCAAGCGAAAAGATCAACATATTGATAAAAGTAGAACAAGTTGAAAGTTAATTAAATATACTCAAGAAAAAGTTCATGTTTGAAATACTGACTACCGCAGGTAGGTCTATAGGATTTCACTTAAACCTCAGACACAGCATTGATTTATACTAAAATACAAACAGTATTAGCTCTTTAAAAGGTTAAAGTCACTAATCCTCATTTGTGGAATTTTGAATCACTTGCTGAAAGCTGAATCTTTTTTTTTAATCTTATAGATCTTGCCTCATCCCAAATTAACACAGCACATCAAATCAGACCATTCTAGTACCAATATTTTATTTTAATCAAAATCAAAGCAATTCAGATACTTTAAACCATAGTAAAGCATGGAATTTTAATGAAATGAAAATGGCTGACCAAAATATGGTACAAAATCATGTTAAGTTTAATCTAGGATGGTGTAAACAAAACTTGTACTAATCACATCATAAAGCAGAATGAAATAAATGTAACCTGTAGAATATTACAGCTAGCATTAATTGTATGATTCACTATGATATAAAAAGTAAAATAACATTAATTACCTGTTCGGAGTTTACCATCAAGGTAAGCTGGGCCATTAGGAACAATATTTTTCACCTGTAAAAACTCTTCATCCTCCTCGTCAGCTCCAATAATCGTAAAACCAAAACCTCGAATACTTTTCACTAAAGATGTCTGGAGTAAATCGCCTTTTAATTCAGCAACATTTTTAGTAAACCGGGGTCGTCTTCCCTCCAGACCTGAAAAGTAATATAATATTTGTCTAGTTAAGAAATAAAAACTCAGTATTTTGGAAGAGTAGCATTACTAGAAGTGGGTAGTGTATGCTAGGTTTCCAAAAGGGTAGGATGGGAGAGATGACATTTGTGTACCATTCATCCTATTTTAAAGCCATTTTCATAGGTCTGCCCAAAATATTTCTCTTCACCCCACCCCAAAAGAAAACAATCTCTGAAGTTCTGCAAAATAATGAGTTAATTTCCTTCAGTCATTTTTAGGAGGCATGTATCAATATCTGGTTCTCCCAAATTACAGTAAAATACAATCATGGAGATATACTTTTTATAAAATATAAGAGGGACCGCAGAAGTGACCAATATATCAATCAACATGTAGGCAGATTACCCACAGGTGAAATAAAATATGATATGATAAAAGTCAAGAATAAAACTATTAAAGGGAGACTACTGATGTTTAGTTTGTTGAAAATATATAACAAGTACTATATCTAATTGATTAATAATATATTTATTGCTCTAGACACATAAAAACAATTTCACCATCTTTGATTAAATGCAGAAACCAGAATTCAGGAATAAAGAGGTGGGAGGGTGGCCAGAATTAAATACGTTATTTGAGAGAGAGAGAAATGGGGTTTAAAGTCCACTAAACACAAACTAGGTCATTTTCGGACTAGCTTCTGGTTCCATTTTTTTTCAATAATTTGGTTGCACAGAGGGGAGACTTTACCTGAGGGAGGAAACTGGAGGACCCAGAGAAAACCCACAAGGTTTGACAGGCAACCCTACTCCTTGTCACGTACAAGCAGGGAATCGAAACCACACCACTTGACTCAATGGCAGATCTTATGATCTAACACACATGTATTAAACTATTCAGCCACCCAACACCCCTAAGTTATTTGAATATACAATATTTTTTTTAATAGCATATATTGAATGTCACTGGAATTTCAAAGATACAACAGACAAAGAAGTTCCTAAAATGTAAATAATAAAGAAAAAAGAAAGATGAAAGAGGCACTTCATAAAGAAAATGAAAACAACTGGTCTATGATAAAGTGCAGAATGATAATAAAATTATCAACAGACAGATTCAAATAGGAATTCTAAACAGCTGACAAGATAAGTTCGACATTTCAAATTCTAGAAGAATTATGAGATATGAAAAATATGGAACAAAAATATCAGAAATATACAGTAACTTGTTCCTTCAGAAACTAATATCAATTCTTAGAAAAAAGCAGGACAGCTCAACATGCAGGAGGCTTTTCTTTTTTAAAACTTATTAAATTTTCAATGTCAATTTTCTGTGTGAATCATGATCTAATAATACCAGCTGGTCATTAATGTCCTTAAAACTTACGCTCATTTATCATAAAATGTATATTTTACTGACAAAATGAAAAGCCTGAGAAAAAAAAGGGTTTATACCCCTCTTGAGATTACCACTGAGTGTGGTAATTAATAACTTTTCCAGCTTTTCAATTTTACAGGTCAGAGATAAATGCTAGTAATAATGTTTTCTATAAACACATGTTTTACATTTAAAGTAAAAATCTTTAGATATTATCTGAATATGATGTGAAAAATATTCCACTAAATTTTCTTTAATAATAATATGTTTATGCATTTTCTTTTGTTTCTAAGTTCTTTTATGTTTGAAAATTTCAGAAAACTTTGAAGAAATCTAGATTTCATTGACTGCATAACAATATGTTAACAGGAGACCTCAACAGCATTTGCAGTTGTCTCTCAAATTTTTAATTTAGTCTAATCATCTGTCAATAAGGACAAATAACTTGCAACATTACCTTTGATCCAAACAAAAAAAAACATGTTTAACTTCTGCAATTCTACATCAGTATTTTCAATATAGCCCTTTATGAATTTTTATCAGTATTACTTTATTGTATATTGGCTTTCCCGATGGTTTGCCACATCAACTTTGGTTCATGGGGCTCATGTTGTTTTGTATCTTTTAATTAAAAGTAATCACAAGAAATATCTGATGCATATTTACCTATATAATATTTCTTTAAAACTGTGATAGGCATGAACATAAACTTTACACATCATCTTACAGGTTTCAGAGAAGGACAACAAACTACATGTATTGTATCAAATAACTCCAAAATAAAGTTAGCAAAACCAGCCCAGCAATTTAGGTCTCCACCATGTTTGATTAAATGAGAACTTGAGAAAAGTTTTGTTTGGAAAGTAAATTGATTCGAAGGTAGTTACAACACACAATGAATTTGTTTAGCATCAACAAGACCTAGAGTGGGCGTGAAAAAACTCACAATTCAACTAAAAATGTTACAAGATCTTTAATTCTTTGATTTAACGATATTTGTTCAAAAACAATCTTATCGGGATTGGGTTAGTAAGCCAGAGGCATTGAGAAACATATGTTTAATCTTCAAGATCTTTTAAACCAAATCTGTAATCAAGACTTCATTTAGGATTTGAGGCATGAACTGATTTTAGGTCCCATGGTATGCTATTAGGTTTAAACATTTCTTAGAATTATACATTTAACACACACTTTCTATTCTCCATAGAGGCATAATAGCAAATCTCTTCCATTTTTTGGCTTATAAATGTGTTTTTATGGCCCTGGTAGCAAGATTCAATATGATCCATTGCTTTTGTGCTCAAAATATTAAACAAAAACTTAATTTCAGGAAAGTTGCACCTATCAAAATATTAAACAAAATATATTTTCAAGAAAGTTGCACCTATCAAAATGTTGAACAAGAACTCAGTTTAAAGGAAGTAGTATGGATTAAGATAGTACATACAAATTGAAATTATTTGATAAAATATGGCACGAAGCAAGTATTTACTGTATTTAAATGATATGGTATATACATGTATATATTCAAAATTCCTATTTGCAAATATTAAAGATAAAAGTGTCATAATCAACTGATAAGTGAGGCAGATTTCTGCCAAAAGTGATTTTTATGTATAAACATACAAAATCATAAGCTAAATATTACATTAAACGTTTCACAAAAAAGGCAAATTACTAATTTAAAGGCCCAAAAGTGCAGAATACACAGGAGCTGATAGATCATGAAATATCAATAGGTTGGCCTCACCCTAATCCAGTGGCTCACAATCATATATGATAATAAAATGATTAGATGCTACAATTTAGAGTAAACGATATTGGCAAATTTCATCACAATAATTAATAAATTACAATCGTCCAATTAACTATTTATTAGAAGTTGTAAGGGCCCTGCTGTCTGTACAATACCTTTCTGCTACAGGTGCCCTAAAAACATGTACCCTAGCAGACTTTGTTTTAATCAGGTTATATCAGTAAACTTCAAGAACAGGGTTCTAGCAAAGCCATGAAATTGGAATCACTATAAAATGGGTTGTATCAGTGGACTGTAACAGCATATATTCACTTTCCAATGTATAAGATATAGAGAACTAACCTGCTAGTAATCTGTGTATAATATTATTATCATCAAAACCACGATATCCAAATAACTCCATAATATTTAACTCAGACATTTTGTTTTCAACAACACATTCTTCAAATACTTTAACATTTTATATCCATGGTGAACAAACACTTTGTTTTTCCGATAATCTATATGAAACATCAGATTTAAATTCTCAAACCTTTAGCACCTTCACAAGATTTAACGTCTATTAGGTGACAATGTATTGACAAACAAATTCAACAACAAAATCAAAGCCTTCATTATATATGCTCCATGTGAAAGTGGGACTCTTCTTTTATAGATGAATAGCTAGACCAAGTGGTTACAAGACTTTAAAATTAAACATTTGGCTCCGAAGAAGTGATGAATTTCACAAAACATAACCACTTGCTGCTGTTAATCACAAAAAAATTACTCATCTTTCTAATTCACAAATGAGAAAGCGAAAACTTGAGATCTTTTTTGTAGAAGTTAGAATATAGATAACATATGTTTGGGATTACATTCATTAAATTTCCACTAAGAAATTACTGACATGATTTGTTGTTTTTTACTTTGACTAATAAAATATATATGACATGATATACACCATATTCATATATGAACACTGTATAATTAGTAATGAAGTCATTTATCCTTCCATCCATCAACACAACAATATCCACAGACAAAAATAAACCTCTTACAAGTCAACTCAACAAAACCTAAATAATATTACTATACTTATATCTATCTACAATATTTGTATACAAGTTAACGACTGAATAAATATTTTCTCACAAAACTGACGAGGGAGAGAGTAGAAGATGGTAGCCAGCGTGTTTCATGCTGTTTAATGGCAACCCCAGATTTAAAGATAATGTGAAAAGTTATAATGTGAATATCAGCTGTCAACTTTAGACAAGTTTGTTCAATAAAGTGATAAGATGTAAAACTGATGAAAGTTGTTTGTTTGCTCTTGGGTATTTATTTGTTTATTAAGATGGCAGATTTAGTTGTTAATCATAACAAATTTTATTTAGGACATTTTGTCTCAAGTTTCTGATATCATAACTTGAAATGAACTGATGTATTTCCCAGGGTGGTTAGCTTCAGTACAGTGTACTCACAACTACACTACAAGTGTTTTTAAAATTTAAATGTCTAATCATCTGTGACATTAGATTAGATTCTACTTTGTATGCCAAGAATATTTGATCTTCTGTTTTTAACCTTAAAGGTACATTCTCACGAAAAGTATAGGACAGTTATTTCCAATAAAAGTGTGGCAAATTTGGTATATATAGAAAGTAGAGACACCCAATCTTAGTAAAAAAATACTGGATTCCCTGAAAAATCACACAGTTTGTACACTGGAATGTATCTATAAATTTTGCTGATTTCTATCAGATTCTTTAGCAAAATCCTTTCAGTGCTGTATTTGAAAAATGTTGGACTTTGTAGATACGGGAAGCTATAAATTCATAGAATTTAATTATGTTTTTACTCCAGCAAAGACTAGACATCATTTGTTTTATAAATTAATAACAAAATCACCACTTTAAGATTTCTGTTTGTATTCAATTCTTTAGCAAGAGAAGCCGTGCCTACAGGTAAATCTAATTTATTACCTAGATATCTGTAACCTTAATCTAGATACCATGTAACTAAAAATAATCACTTCTTACACTACAGGTGGAAAGTGTTTCCAAAGTAAATAAAATAAAGAAAGAAATGCCAACTAATCAGTCTAACTTGATCTAATACAATCCCAACAGGCCCATTCGTTACTCTAGAAATTACAGTAATCATCTGTGTATTGGTGTTATTTGGAAGTTCACAAAGGTAACTGTTGTGAAAAGACGAGCAGCGTTTTCCCCCAAAAATGTAATCTTTTCAAATTGACTGCAATTTAAACAATATGAACTCTATAATCTGGGTCAAAAATAAAAATGTTGATCACATTGGATTTGAGATGTTGATTTGTCTGTGGGATTATAATCTGTCTTCAGTGAAAATTATACCTCTGAGGATCAAGTCAGTGATGGGATATAACTAATTTTGTGTTCACAATCAACACAGTAAACCAATATTTCAGCTAAAATTACTAAACAAGTTGATTTCTGCTCAATCATTCGAAACAATCATTTAATTGAATAGAGCTGTCCCATCACTAACCAAAGTAACAATCGGATCAACCCAACTTGATACTTTATGTTATATCTAAATCAGAGGTTAAAGATGCATTATGTAAGAGCTAAATCTGCCAAATACAGGTTTTATTTTTGGTTTGAAATGTTATACAAATTACTATTTAGACATTTATTCACATCACAAGCCTATAATCAACTCTCTTTACTATCGGATGCCACAGATGTTCAGATGTAAACGGATTAAAATACAATCGCCATCAGACAGCTTTCAAAAATTAACTTTCTCATTAGATTAATTAAAGGTGTAGGTGATACCGAACCAAGAAATATTTCTACATCACATGATGGGGTTGAGATCAGGTTCAATGAAATATAATTAATCCCAAAGGAATAATTAGGATAAATTTATTCACAGCATCATTAATGAAAGAGTGACTCATTACTTCATGCCTTTGAATTGTCATCATACAAATGACCTATAGCCCGTTCAGACGCTTATTTTTAAACCAGTTCATAATCGCTGGGGTTTTTAAGACAGCATCATGTTGCGTTCACACGTACTATAAGCCAAACCAGTTTAACTATTCGGTCGGAGGTTAGAGTTAACTACGCTGGGGTAGCTTCATATTCTTTATTCGTTTCTCGCACCCTTTCGATAACATTGGCACTGTCTCAACCCGATATTTTCACAGGAATGTGACAATGCGTTCTGTGTAGGCTCAAAGCAAGCTGGAACCGGGGTTTTTAAGCTAACCCGTTCAGACGGCTAAGATGAACCAGTTTAAAATAAAAAGCCTTCTTGAAGACCGGTCGTGAGCTGTTTTTTTTTTAAACTGGTTTATTTGCCCCACATTTGCGTCCAGACGCTTAAGTTAAACTGGTTTAACGATCCCCAGGGTTTTTAAACCAGTTCAACTTAAGCGCCTGAACAGGCTACTAGACACTGATAATGCCATCTGAAGAGTGAAAACACAACAGTAAACTTATTTAGGAAGTCACACAAGTAAAGATTGTTCCTTTTCTGTCCTGATATGTCATTTTAACATTATGGAAGCACATGCAAATTACAATATTGTGAAGGATGAAACTCTAATAGGAATATCAGTTCGAAAATGTTGTGTATTACAAAGATATGTGGCATTTAGATTTTATCAATCTAAAGCTGCTCGCTATGCAATAAGCCCACTGCCATTTTGTTGTCCGTGAAACATTTATTGATAGGCCTTTTTTTAAAATCTTGAATCCAAGCCAGAACTGGCACTGGTATTTTGATTTTGTTTTCTTAATTAAATGTTAAATAATCTATCTGAGTACATATTAACGTGAAATAAGCAGTGAGAAATTTTATATTTTAGTAAAAAATGCAAATGGTGGATAGGGACTTCAACTTTTTTAAACTGTTGTATAAAATGCTATTGGTAGGGTTTCCTATGGACTACTGGTAGGGATTTACTGTGTTTATCATTAAAACCAAAAAACTGATCCCTCAAAAAGCTGGATGAAGCACTTGTGACATGAGAATTTAATCTCCCCCAATGAAGTATTTAATCTTCTAAAATCTCTACTCCATCCATAAGATATGAGAATAGTACCATACTAAACTGTATGGGTATTTGTCAGTGGCATATGTTCATATAGACAGCTAGTTACTGAGATGAACAGCTTCTGCTATCTGGCAGTCATTATAATAAGATGAACTAAAGGATTTACTTGATACAGTTGATGATAAACTTTATCTACAATTTCTATCAAATTCCTTCCTTTTACTCTCCTTTCCATATACTTTGACTGGATTCCATGAACCATACAATATGCCAAATACATTTGCAAAGAAATAAATCAGAGAAAAGAATATTCTAAATTATCATTTTCAAATTTGAAAACATGTTCACTTGAATGGGCCTCCGCAAAAACTGTTGAAGATATTCTAACACCACTTTCTATTTGTAAAATTACAATGTGGATATAAATATATATTTCTTATATCATACCAATCTGACACTAACAGGTCACCATAATCTGGTAATATGCCAAATACTAGATTTAAAGGGTAATATTTTCTTTGGTTCTTTAGCATTTTGAGAAAAAACTCAAACTGTTTATAAATAGTGATACAACAAAATCTCCATTATTTGGTTACAGATTCAATGACAGAATCTTATGTTGTAGTGCCAGGGAGGAGGGACGCATGTCTTGACCTCAGAATTGACATGTACAGGACACCATGTAACACATTGGTAGTTTATCATACAGGCATTTACCAGATTTGAGCTCCCCTACCAGTTTGATTTTTTGTGAGTTAAATGGCATTATTCCAAACTTGACTCCACAAGAGCAATGTTGATATCAATGGGGTCTCAAAATGTGACATTTTGGGGTGATCCACACCGTTCTGAAGACCTACAGCGGTATTCGAGACCCTGATCATTGACTGATTTAAATTACTGTGCTTTGTGAGCACAGTACGAATATCCTGTCTTCTTTTTATCATTGGGTTATTAAAGATTACAGTATGGTGTTAGTACTTTATAAAATAGATTGTTCCTCAAACATTGCACCTAGTACTGTGTATTAGAATATTTCATACCAAAGACTTCCAACACACACATGTAAGGTCCATATGGTAAGGCGATGAAAGCCATTCAACAGAATTTACCAAAACATAATAAGATACCCAAGATGTTATTATAGACAGGTAACAGTTATATCAACAGACTGAATCACCATGTAGTCCCTTGACACATATTTACTTACTATCATATGTAGAATTATAGGAATTACCTGTCGGTAGTCACAGGTATCCTCAGAACACCTGTACATATTGAATCCATTAGATCACACATAGGGGTCACATCCCCTGTGCACGAAAAGTTATGATTTAATAGAACCGCATGTACATGTACAGTATTATCACACAGTTCCCAAACAAAGCACCTGTAGCACGTAAATTCAAGACATTTTCACTGGTGCCAAAAAGGTTTTAGGAAGTATTGTACAAAGAAGGGTATGCTTACTTTTCTGGAACAACTGTTGTAACATGTCAATGAGGGAATACCTACTACCTTCAAAAATATTGAATCTATTTCATTTTTTACCCAAATGTTTCAGCAAAACTATGATTTAATGTCACTGGAGGAAGGGTAGTTGTAAAGAAGAGTGGTGTGCATTAAGCTGGGTATGTTTACTCTTTCTGGAATAACTGATATAGTACCCTTTTAATAAATCAGATGGCCCTTCTGTTTCTATATTCTTACAAAATAAAGATAATGATGATAGTGACATCATCTTTGTATAGTGCTCCCCCAAGCTTTAAAACTGCCATGTTTTTAGTAAATCAAATAAACTATGTTTCTACCCTTTATAATAGACAATGTTCTGATTCTGCCAGTGATGTCATCAACACACTGTGGAGGTGTATAGAAGTTTTTAAAGTTAATGTTCAGAGCTCTTATCCGTATCTATGTTTTGTGTGAATATAGAAATAGGTATGACCATCTCCTTTAAGGGCAACAAGGCATTCTAGGTATAAAAAGTCCTTAGCATGGATATAATTCTGAGGAAGACTTACCTGGTTTCATTTTGTTGTTCATATCAGAATCGCTGACAGACCTTTTTGTTCCCTCGTTACCCTTACTTTGTCGAGGTAATGTACTATTTCCATTCAATTCACCACCTATAACAAAGAGCAATCATTATATTATCAATTAAAGACATCACAGGTAAGACAGAATTTCCAAATGCCATGTTCAGAAAGTGAAAAATAACCTAGGATGGATTATTCAAGTGGCAGTGATATTAAACCAACTCCACTACACAGTCTGAATGGCAGATTAGATTATTTCTCCATGTACAAACATTACAATATAGGGGACGGATTGTAAGTTTTCAAAATCAAGGTTTTATTTTCATAATGTCTACAGGATAGGAGATTTAAGTATAAACAATGATAATGTTTATCTTATTCTACATATACCCTACCAGGAATTACTATGATTATCCATACAATAATAACCCAAACAATTTGGTTTATTTCTCTTTATAAACAGAAGATTATGAAGTAACATAGGGCTTTGTTCTTCTCTAGTTATTATTATTTCACATTAAATTTATATCTTTTAAAGCTGCATGTATCATGCTAATAACATTGAAATAAATGTCTGGGAACAGAAGATAATGTCAAATAGTCATTCATTAAAGACTGATATGAAATTTAAATTTAGGTTGCTGTCATGAGGCTCTGCAACTACAATGTGTGTGTGAGGAAAAAAGAGAGAGATTTCAATGTATTCTAACCACAAACCACAGGTGTTTTGAAAGGGGGGGGGGTCTTTAGCAGTGTGGAACAGTTGGTATTACACATCACATACCAGCAGCAAGGGATAAACACTGCTGTACATGCTTCAATGATAAACCATATAATGATTTAAGTGCAAGCATTAAACCACTGGGTGTCAAAATAATAATGACAATGATTTAGAAATTAATTAAAAACAATTGAAAGTAAACACTTCTCAGCCGTTTACAAAATCATTGGCACCATTTATTAAGAACTGTTTTTTACTTAAAGCTATAGGTTATCTGTAGTTAATTACTGACGTGTCAGTGATAACATTGTTTTACTATCATGTTTTAGATTTACCCTTCAGCTAATTCTCTAATTACTGAGGAAGAAACCAAAGATCTCATGAACCATGAATGCTGGAAGTTTAGTTGCCAAAAATAACAGAAAACCCCTCCATGGAGTCAATTTAATTAGACCTATTAATAGATTTGATCTTAACACTTATACTTATAAAGAACAACAAAAACAAAAATAATGGTTTATGGAACCTGAGAGAGTACTGGAATTTATATCATGAATTGTATTGAACAACAAGTGCATTCATTTTTTCATGTATGAAATGAAATGAAATGAAATGAAATGGGGTTTAACGTCCTACTGTTCTGCTCCTAAACTGGGCTAATGAAGACGGGCATACACCATACAGTGTGCTATGAGGGAAATTTGGCCGGGCAGCGGCGCTACGGTCTACTCTTATATCGAATTCCAACTGCTAATGTGTACACGGGACCTCAGTTTTTCGTCTCATCCGGAAAATCTGGTAGAAGTTTCTCGGCTAATGCAGGGATCGAACACCCGACCTCCAGGCTAGCGAGCCAGCGTCTTACCCACTTAGCCACGTGATCCCCCTATTTCATGTATGAAAAGCAGCATCAGGTGTAATTATGATCAAGGACTGAACAGTGCAGTGGACACTTAAGGCCAACTTCCAGGTTCTTTATGATTAACAATGTCCATGTCGAATTCATGTGCTTATCTTTTTGATTTCTAGCTAATGGTTAAGTCTGGTGCGGTCCTTCAGTACTTACTATTATAGCTCCTGGTAGAAATTATTGTGTTTCAAATGGAAGTATACCATTTTACAATAACAAAAATATATACAACCCTTTATTTTAAAAGATTAATCATTAAAAATAATATTTTACCTGGTGAATCTTGACCTGAAGAACTATTGTGTTTACCAGATATCACAGGATTTTCATATTGAGTTTTCCGATGAACATGACTGAAAAAATACAAAAGAAACACTATCATTCAAAGACCATTTCAAAAATATTCCTTCCTTCCATCAAATCCCAGCATCAAAGACATACTGCATGTATCTTTACAGCTATAATAATGTTTTGAAAATAATTACATCTTCAGAGAAAATAAATAAATTGGTAATATACAAAATTTAGATCACTCATGTTTGCAATAATTGTCAATTACTTTAAGTATACCTATATCTAAATAATAGACACAACAATTTGTAGTACACAATATAATTGTTGGTATCAAAAAATGGTTAAAGTAGCTATCAAAATATGGTAAATGTAGCTATCTATGGTTTTTAAATAAATAAGAAAATAAACTCACTCGATAAAATAGGTACCAAAATGTGGATCTTCGACTTTCTCCCAGCCATATGGCAGATCTGTAAAATATCAGAGAGATATAATAAAGTAAAGATACTAGAGACAGGGCTATTTAGTAGATGGTGTATTATAAACATGTGGCATTAGTAGCTTTATATATATTCCTATATAGCTATGGAGGTCTACTGTGATCTTTACTCACACCTGTTCAACCTCCCCACCTTTATAATATACATTAATCTATACCTATCTTACTTATACCATCATACTATTCATCTTCTTGCCATTATACTTTCTATAGCCTGGTGCTCTACCCTCTCACAAGCTTTGATTTATTTCTCAAGCTTGATGAGATACTTAATTTGTCCACTTAATGAATAGTTGCAAATAATTTTGTAGCAAATAGCATTATTTTTGTTAAAATTTATTATAATCTGTTCTAAATTGTTAATGTATTTTTCATTGATACCTTTGTTGTGTGTGTTTTATTGTTATTATCTGTACAGTTTTTTTTTATAATAAACTAATATGTTTTAAGTTTATTTTTTTGTTAAATTGTTATTATCTGTGTCCATTTGTAACTTGGTTATTACATTTACATTTAAATTACAAGTATTGTGTTGTGTTAAATTTGGTATTATATGCATTGTTTTCTTTTACATTTGTTATCTGTGTATATATACTGTTATTGTCTGTATTGGCTTATTTAAATATGGTTTGATTTTGTTTTTTCTGTGAATGAATTGAGTTTTGTTACCTGCCATATTGTTTTCATAAATTAGCTACTTTGTCTGTGTATATATTTTGTATTGAAATCATTATTGGGTTAATTCTTTTACAAAGTGTAGATTTAGTAACTGTACTGGGAAAACATAGGACATAATTTTATGAAATACAAGTTTTGCTTATTACTATGCTATATTTCAATATCCCTCATATCAGTAATAAACAGTAATTGTATTGCATGGGATTTGGTCCTTTCTACAAACTATAGTCTGAGCCTTTTTCTATTAGACAATCAAGAAACAAATTATCTGCAGAGTCTATTGTTTCTTTGGTATATGTTTTTCTACCATGGCAGCTGTTGAAAGTTTATATGGTGCTTAATGTTGCACACCATTCTTTACAAGTTTACATGTCAAAATGCACCTTTATTTCCATCATCATTTCCATCATCACCATCTTGAAGTCACCTCAACCAACATAAACACCTTCACATGTATGTGTGTTCAGTGATATTTTAATCTTTCTTACATGCGGCTGACGAAAATAAACCACCTACTGATATCCTATAATACCAGTGGTGTAAATACGTCTTCTCGCTTCATTAGAACTCTTTATGATGCTGTGAGTCATCAAATACATTGTATTTTTTCTAGTCTAGAAATAAACTTCAAGATACCATGACCAGAAATTACCAAAACATCCTTAAATTAGGAGGAACTGCCAATAGCTTAAACTTTACAGAAAGATAATAAATCTTCTTGATTTTGACAATCGAAAGTAATGTTAGAAAACTTGAAGGTTCAAAGTCAGTGTTTTGTTTGCACCAAAAATAGTTTTATGTTCATTTCCAAAACACCCGATGCCACTTTCCTTTTGGCACACACACCCTTACTGGTAGATTATATAACTGTCTATGTTTTATCATGGTGTCTTTTGTCTATCTATGTAGTTTGATTGCTCATTAGAATCAATGTTATAGTATTGTCATTAAATGCGAGCAGACACACCCATTACTACCATCAATTCATGTTAACTACAGATTTGTATTTAAAAATTCTTTAAAAATTAACAGTTCTGGTATCCTTTCATTTCTTAAAATCAGACAACAAATACATTTGGAAATTTTCTGAAAGCTTCCAGACGTTTTTTCAATTAAATGACAGAATTATGAACAGTCCTTGGCCTTTTTTTACATACACATAAACAGTGATATATGAGTTATATAACGACCTCAGTCAACCAGCAGTTGCTTCTCATGTTGCCGAGAGAATTTGTATGCCCCACCCCATGGAGTGTCACTATCAGCTGTTGTGTAAAATTAACTCTCTGGATGACTGTTGAAGATATTTTATGTGTGTCTGGGGAATAAAAGTAAAGGTCTTATGTTTCATTTTCTACTTCTGTAAAATGTATACACACTTAGCTGAACCAAAGCAGGTCACATTAAAATTGATAAAGAAAATTCTTTAAGTCAAGAGCACACGATGCACTTTTACATGTACCAATGCAATTTCTGACATAGCTTATGCTTATTATGAAACAGATTTGTAGCTTTTTCAGAAGCTGTCCACCAGCTTAACCAAACCTGTTTATTGGATTGACAAGCAGAACAGGTAATGTAAGCAGTGGACAGATTCTGGTATCAAGTCACCGATTTTTTATTGACAAAAAGCAAACTATTTTGTAAATCACAAATAAAGTTTTTTTTAATACTACTCATTTATTGTGGTGGAAAAACAGATAAACAGGATTTTTTTGGGTATGTGCTTGCCTAAAATAATAGAAAGTAATAAATAAAAAGAAAGAGCAATATTTTAAGTCTTGAATACCAAGGGGAGTACAGGATGTTTTCTCAGACCATCTGATAAAATCAAGTACATTAATAATTCTCCACTGAGCAACTGATATTTATCCAGTTTTATCTGCATTAGGATCAGGGTTGATACGGTGTCTGATATTTTCAAACAATTTTTCTCTTCATTCCTGTTTGCAACCAGTATAATCTTAAAGAATTCTGAATTGTTAGTAAAAGACTATTTTGCAGTTAAAAGAATACAATTTGAAATTATTAGAAATAACCACTTCTTAATCTTTATGTCAGACTCAGAGCCTATAAAATGGCGGCTCGGTGATCTTAATGTGCATTGTGTTGGTAGAAATAAGCTTTTTTTTAAAGAAAAAAAATATTAAAATCCTATCTGAATTGACAGTAGCATGTGCACAAACATATCATAGATTGAGTTCCAGTGTTAACATATAAACATGCGATGTTCTCTTATTTATCTTATAGCTTTACCTACACAGAATAACATACACAGTTTACATTAATCATATGTTGGCATAAAACTTACTCAACAATTACACTTTTACAATGTAGTAATTCTGATCTATTTTTTTTTATTGTGCATAATTAATTTGTTCAGTTTCATTACTTCACCCAAATCTGTTTATACAATTGGCAATATTTGATCTACATCTGTTCCTTTTAGATCTTGCAGAAAACATTGCTATCATAAGTAATTAAATTAATTTTATTGAAATCCATTTGTGCCATCTGCCCTTATGGGAATGTAATTGGCACCGACATACTCAACTGTGCATTAAGTTAATTTGTTTTGTTGCAATCAAATTCTAAATAGTGTTTGTATAAAAAAATTGGCTGCAAAAATAACAATTAGTTAATCAACTCAATTCCAATACAATTCCTGTCTGTTTAAATTTAAAAAAAAAATATTTGGCAATAAAGCTGGTACAAGAATTAGACCTGACTATTTAGGCTTTTTTAATTTCTTTAATTTTAACTTGTCTAAAATCATTACCAATTACATTTAAATACTTAATTTGATGATTTGAAAATTCTGTTGAGATTTGAAAATTTGTTCTTTAAAAGTTAAATGCCTCTTAACGATTTTTACCACATATAAACAAAGTAACAAAGCATGGCATAATAAAAATGTTCTGAAATCAAATCTTAAAAATAACCCAATAAAATAATACACAGTATTGTTACTGAGAAATTCTATATTGTAGATTGCTTGCTGTACATTATACAAGAACTAAGCAAAAATAACTTAAAACGTCCAATTTCACAAAAAGCCAGTCAACCAGAAGTTTTGTTAGAGACAAAGAACAAAAGTTAGAATAACATATTTACAGTGCACAGATCTACATGTATGTTTATACAAAATGTTGGCTAACAATTTCTACAAGAACACTGAAGATAAGTCACGTCTAAATAGATTTATCCAAGTTTCTCTAGAGTAAAACAAAAACATTACTTACGTCCAAGTCCCTCACAAAAAAACAAGAGAAAGAATCAAATTAGGTTAGCCGTCTGCTAATAAATCCCAGTAACAGAAGTGAACAATTTTTCCACCATTTTGATTACAAGCCTGCCTCAGTTTCTTTATCTATCCTCGATATTTGATACTTGGTTCCAAGTTCTGCAAGAACTCTGGTCGCTCAAGTCATTTCGGTGTATCATGTAAGTGCTAGACAGTGCTACTATGTTGAGATATCTTAAAGAATTCTTGCAGAAATGGACCACTATTTAAATCCCTTTGTGTGATGTAAAAATTACAAGATTTCATCTGCAACTACAAAATACTGATGAAGAACTAATAATAAAGCACAAGAGGCATTTTCAATAAGGCATTTGAACATTTCGGCCCCAAGAAATATAAATGTCAATATTAAGAAATTTGCAGGAATTGCCAGACAGAACAAGCAATTTCTTTAAACATTAGAACTACCGGGTATAAGAAAAAAAATACCAAACTAAAAGAACTTTGCAGGAATGGCAGTTCTGGAGCCAGTTTTTAATCCCTGTTAATACAAATATTATGTGATTTATGGCACCAATATTATATATTTAATTACATAATATAATCAAATAATGGTGTAGGCATAGGTAAAAGGTAAATATTTATAAAGGTATGGTAGAAAATGCTGTTGGCTGTTTAAGTTAAAGGGTGGGATGGTAGATCTATATATAGAATAATTCCATGGTGTGTATTTCTGCTGTAGTAAAACATGATGTAAGTCATAAACTATACAATAATTACATGTAGGTGTGTATATTACAGGTACATATATACATACCCGTATACATTGTACAATGCCTATGGGGCTTAAGAACACAAATCATTTACAGGTAATCTCATAATTGAATTCAGTTACATAGGTTATCCCCAATTTCACAAAATACCACTAACAAATGTTGGTTTATATATGCAAATCGAACTCCAAAATGTAAACAAATGGCATAAATATCTAGCCAAAAATTTTCAAATCAAAATATCGAGCAGTTTGATCGTTGTATATGATAAGGTAC